GCTCTGTTTTTTTTCGGGGTTTATTCATTCTCCACGAAAATCAATTTTATGAGTGAAGGAGCAGACAATGTCAAAATAAAGGTCATGTTTCTTGATCTTCCTCATCATGAGTTTTCATCATTCCTTTTCAAAACGACGATATATTGTGTCTTCCTCTTTTTTTTCGCTGCTGATGAGCCTAAAGTGGGAGGAGTATTAGGAATTTCTGTATCAAATTGCCGTCATGGTGGGAAACGAAGATTAATATTGAAGGTGAATGTATGGGGAAGAGACATACAACAGGTATGGCGAGAGCTTTTTCCCTCATATTTCAACCTTGAGGGATATTTGGGTTTTTCACCTTGAAGAGAATCTCCTTGGAAAGGCAATAGAAAGCTATAAGAGAGTGAATATCTCCTTCCTGTATTTTTTTTTCTCTGTTAAATTGGAATCTTGGATCCTTTTTCCTGTCCTCTGATTCCCATTCATGCAACATCTGCTGTGATCCCAGCATGTGATGTAATGAAATTAGACACGATTGCTTATCTCACCTTCCTTTGGATGATATGTTGGATTTTTATGATGTGAAAGTTCTTGAAAATTCTAGTCATGAAGATTAGCCATACTAATTTTTGTACACAGTAATTAATATTCTCTAAACAGCCGTATAAAACGTTCAAATGGCGACAGGAAGTGTGAAAAACTTGTCATATCTAGCAAAGCTGTTGCGAAAACGCCTCTACGCCATACAATGTATATTTTGTGTGGTGATAAGATGAAATTGTGTGAAATTCGTTGACCTCGAAATTTTATTATTTAATCTTGATAAGGCAATACTTATCGCTTTTTTTCGTACCTTTTCACCCTCCATATCACCTTCAATATCGCACATACGCGATGAATATGTTTGTGTGTGGAAGTGAGGAAAAAAGAGCTACGAATTTCCTTGTTTAATATCTTCATCAGAGGCATGACTGATGACATGGCGTGTACGTGACAAATGTGCGGAATAATATTTGTCATTTTATGTATGAGCTCATTTGATTTTCGCACTATCGTTTGGCGATGGTCATATGCGGAGACTTCTTGTCATATACGCACAGTGTGTACATATTATGACTATTGTCTCACATCTATTCCACTGTTCACGGCGATTGGGTCAAATTTGGGGCTTTTTCTTGGCCACAAACATGGGTCATGTCCTTGGGGAAGTTTCATATCGGGGCGACTGAAGAAATGGCCAGAGATATAAGAAGCGAAGATTAATTTGTGGTTGGCAAAAAAAAGAGTGTTTGGATATCTTACCATCATCTTCGTCAATCTCTCAAGAGTGTCTCGAGGCCATGCATTGATCCAATCCATGTCGGGGTGTTATTAGAAGAAAGAGGAATAGCGAAGAAATTCATTTTTGGCCAATAAAAGTAAAATGTGTATCCTTGGAGCTTTTGTTGCCTCCGTTCGGCCCGTTTTTTACGCTTCACCTTCAAGTGTTGGTGTCTTCTTTGGGCTCGCTATATTTCACCTTTGTGAAAATCTCCCTTCCTCTCACCAACTTCCCTTTGCCCAGAGATTTCTCTCTCTCTCTGTGTGCCTCTGCATGTGTCTGTCTGTTGTTGAGGAGACTTTTTTTTGTACATATTTATTTTCTCCTCTTTTTCTCTACAGCCCAAATCTTTCCAAAGAGACAAAAAATACTTTTTTGGAGTATCAACGCCACAAGAGTTGGTAATAAATCAGTTTTGCCGGAGAATTTGTCGAGTGAACATCGAGTCCGTTGCCATTACTATTACAATAGGTTTTTTTTATGAGAAAAAGAAAGAAAGAGATATTTTGTGGACAAAGATACAACGTGATTTTTAATACTGTTGTGATATTCGATGATAGTGAAAGAGAGTGAGAAAAAAAAGTGGTTGATGAATGTGTGAAAGATTATAATATGGAAATATGCCATGGAGTTTCAGTGGCTTTTTACCGTCAGCTATCCTGTCTTGAGGCGTGAATAGAAAGGATTTTCACTGTAAAATCCTCTAAATCATATCTTTTTTATGTGCTCCCCTTCACAGTTCAATGAAGGGAAATTGAATTAAAATATTCAATCTCTCTCTTCTTTCACCTTTCTTCTGCCTGAATGCGTGTTCGCTGAGAGCACGTGGAAAATTTATTTATGCATTTCTTCATGAATCAGTTTATCAGGTAAAAACCCAGCGCGAGAGAGATTCTCCATCAAACTACTATATAGTGTGTGTGGCTGCAATGATGAATGGATTTGTGGAGAGATTATAATTTCATCGAATGAATCTCTCACCAAAGTGAAAGATATTTGCTAGTCAGATGCTCTTGGCTTGGTGAGAGTCACATGGAGATTCATCTACTTAATCAGCCAGCTTTTCACCCACGACGCCATCAATTGCGTTGCACAGCTATGGAATTCAATGAAAAAAGAGCAACATATTTTTTTTTATGGTGATATAATTTAATGACCAATTTGAGTGTGATTGTTTCTCTCTCTCTCTCTGTTTGTGTGCTTTTCCTGGATTGTAATGCTGAAGAGATGGAGGAAAAAAACATGACACTGTAACCAGATTCATGGTCAAACTAATTAAATGATTTTGTGCTCTTTATTAATTTACGCTTCTGAAATTGTCATGTTTAATACCATTTTATGTCACACGCTGTGGCGTTAATCGGAAATTTAAGAAGAACACAGTGGAGAAAAACTGTTTCCAAGAAGAAACTGGAAATGTTGGGATAAAATGGGAATTGTTTATAAATTCAATATTTACTGTAGAACGTGATTAAACAGAAATCATTTAGAATAAAATTTAGTTCTCATAGTATATGGCCCTAAGCTTTTTCCCAACAGACACTCTAATTTGCAATGTTTTGGCAAGAGTTATCAACATTAGGGAAAAAGTACCGTAAAAGCTAATACATCAATTTGGCTGAAACCTTGCTATTTCATACCGTCTCGTCATGTGATTCCGCTTACGCATGACATATGGCAAATAAATAGCATAAAATTTGCGTATGTTAAAAAGGGAGGGGAAAAATTAGTGGAGTTCACATAATATCCTTGAAAATGAACTTTGGTGTATGAAGTGAAGAATCTTCTGGAAAATATGGATGTTTTTTTGTGTACAAGCTCTTCTCCTAATCAGTGTGTGGCGTATTTTTTTCATTAGAGTCTCTCTGCTCAACTTGTTGCGCGTTCTTTTTTGGCCTTTGTGCGACCAATATTCTATGTACAGGCGGACAGAGAGTGATAAGAGACTGTGAGTGAAAGAGAATGTCAGAGAGGGAGAAAATATGATGAGGAATAATTAACGAAAATGTTGTGTTATCGGTTTTTGAGGCGGGGGTAACCTTGGGTTCGGTGTAATTTTGGCATTTGAAGGACAATTCTAATCGATTGTGTGACTTTTTTCTTTCCTTATCTGACATCTCTGTCACTCCTGTGCGCCTCATCGGAGTCACCCATCTCACCGATGGGCCAATGCTGTGTGGCGTGAGAGTTGGGTGCCAGTGCCCCGGAGTTCATATACGCGCTTTTTATTTGCCGTTCCTGGTGGTTTTTTAAACCGCGAAATGCCTCTTATGTGTGGAGCATTGTCGGGCACATGGAGATATGGAGTGAGAGAGGGCGTGTATTGACTGAGTGTGAGAGAGAATAATGTGTATTCCGTGGCGATTTTTGCAAAAATGTGCGCCCGTCGAAAAAGCGTGATCAAATAGAATTTGACCATTGAGAGGAGTGTATAGTTGCATGATGGTCGCTCGAAGGGGTTTTCGGTCACTGGAATGTGTATGTTTGCTGTGGAACTGTGCCAACAGGTAAACTATCAGGTCAGAGAGGTGAGAGCTTAGAGGACGATGTGTGTGCATGAACACGCGGTCACAATTAAGGATAATGTGTTTTCCCTTGCTCCATCTTTCTCTCTCTCTCTCTTCGAGCGTCACTCTGTGACAACGTGTGGGGGATTTTCATGTCAGGGCGGATGAGAAGAGTGTCAATATGAGTGAGTGGGACAGAGAAGATGGGTGCAAGTAAGTGGAGTGAAAAAAATGCGAAGCAGGTGGTGTAGATCGGGGAGGGTGCGTGCCCTAAATGATCGTCCTCATTTTCTTTCTTAAAATTTTTAATCGTTCGCCCATATGATCTCGCCCTTGCATCTTGACTGTCGTCTCTTTGCAAAAATTCAATACAAAGAGCACACAATATTGTGTGGAGCGACAAAAGGAGAAAAAATGTGTGCCATTTTGGTGAATACAACCTTTTTTGTCGTGCACCGACTTAAAATATTTTATTTATGTCCAATTTTCGGAATGGAAGAAGAAAAAAAAGGAAGGTGAGACCAATGTGAGGAGATAAAGAAAAGGAGACACCAAAACGAGCAGATGCTTTATTGATGCAAAAATATTTGTACATTGAGAGAGTGAGGAGAGTGAATGAAAGAGGCGGTTAGTGGCGTGGAATAAAAGATGAAGGATTGGGATTGTGTTGGTCATAGAGAGGTGTCTGAATATAATTGATATTTATTGGTTTTTCTCTCTTGAGCGACTAAATAGGTGACTAAAGATGTGCAAAAAGGTGACGCGCTGAAAGTCATTAAATGTTTTATTATAGCCAACAATTGAATTGAAATTATTGCTGCAATATCATGACTTTAATGGGCACACTCCGTGAGTTTTCGGTTCTTGCTCAATGACATAATCTCTCTCTCTCTTCACACAGTAGTGAGTGCGTGTGTGGGAGGAAATGACATGAAGATGATAAAGGAGAGCTAACACTCTTCCGCCATTCAATTCAGCCTTTTATTGCACTTCATCGCTGAAGATGAAATATAATGTTCTCTGATTGAATTTCAACGTGATGTGGTGTACTGATGAAGGGAAGTGCTGTGTGGAATACGAAAGATGTCTGAAGAAATGTGCAAACTGTCATCCTTCTTACCATCTAACATGCAATGTGACTTTCTCAGATAATTAATTTGCAACTTTTCTCCTTCTCTGTGTCTCTCCAGGTTGCCGGTCGTGAGTGACTGTCCGGCAGGTCAAACTGCTAGAGTTACATCCAACCTCCACTCTTCCAGTAGCAGTAGCAGTAGTACAATGGCGGTCAGTAGAGTACCGTCTCCACCGTTACCGGAAGTGAACACACCAGTTGCTGAAAATTGGTGCTACACTCAGGTGAGTTAACCAGAAAATTTCTTTCCACAATTACACCACGAAACTCTTTCACAAATAATTTGGCTTAATTTATGACAACGAGATTACTTGGTCGGTCGTTTCAACGAAAAAGGGACCTCTTTCTTCGTGACATGTTTTACTGCGCTTTGTGGTTGGGGTTTTTGAGGGTGAATCACTTTAATCTCTGTGAATGTTTTCTTGGAATTCTCTTCAATTCAATTCATTGAGTGTGTTTGGCAATATCAGTTAAGGTTTCTGAAAAGACTACTAAGTAGATAAATCTATTTGATATTTGCCGTGCAGTTTATCTGAAGATTACGATCTTCCACCATCAATTCATATGATTTGCTAAGTCTTCTTCTAATAACCACCTCTTCTTCCTGCTTCATTACATATGGCTAATAAATGAGAGGAGTGAGAGACGTTGATGGGAAAATTCTTTTGATTGAGAGTCAAATTTCATCACTGTGGTTAATTTTATGAAATACCACAGAGGATTTAAATGAAACCACTCTTGTTGCCTTCTTGCGGTCAATACTATATGGGCGCAAAGAAAGAATCTTTTTTTTTTTATCCTCTTCCTCGCATCTTTTTTTATGAGTTCACTTATGAATGAAAATACAATTGAGAAGATGAAGCAGAAACGAGTGTGAGAATCCATTAGAACTTTTTAGCGAGATCACAGAGCGGCAAAATATGTTCGTGGTCGATATGTTGGCTTTGCATTGTGCTTTTTTATCTTCTGGCTGGTCAAGGGAACGTGTGGCAGCCCGGAAGGTGAGGTATAGGAGCATGAGCAATGGCTCTCGGCTAGTCCATATTAAAAGTCTCTCAATCGTAACGATCGAGTGTGTGCGGAAGGGTGTGCTCATGAGGGGGAAGGTGATGCGGTTCTTCTTCTTCCCTGGGAAGATGTGGGAATTGGACGTGATGCATCTCGAATGTCGGGATTTCAAATGCATTTCTTGTCTGTTGGCTTTTTGCTGTTGTTGTTGTTGTTGTTGTTTTCCTTATTTTACGTGCAATGTACTCAACTGTGGATGCACCCAATACCGCGCGCGGTCACATTCACGTCTCATCATTATTTTATTTTATTATAGAATTTTCTACATCACATATGTTTGTATATAAATTGTCTCTCACCCATGGTTATGTATTTCTTGGTGGTATCTCTCTTTTGCACTCCCATGCTGTGGCAATTTCCTTCCCTGTCTCGGACAATGACCCGAAATGAGCATTGAACCACAGAACAACACACCACAGAACTGTACACTCTCTGATGCAATGGGAAGTTAATAAAATTGTAACAAAACACTCAATTGGAGTATTAGATTTAGCGAGGGTTGAGAAAAGAAAGACCAGGGGCTTCGAGAAGTCGTCGAGGGAGGTTGCTAGGCAATGTGATGTTTTGAATATGTCTCGTTAGTCAAATCATAATTTGATCCGCACCTTTCTCAAGATCACATGGAGACTTGGGCGAAGACAATTGATTTGCCCGCCCGACAATGAGTCATGTGCAGAATGAGAGATATTTATCTGGTAGATTACTAATTGTTGAGGAGTTCTTGTATGGTGGAAAGCGACATTTTAATGGGGAGTGAAGATGCCACATGAAACATGTTGGAAGTAAAGAGAGAGACGAAGGGGGTAATATCTCTCTTGAGGACAATGTACTTCCATTTATACACTTTAAATACGATAAACTTCTCCACCAAACTGAGAGGCCATTGGCAGTGACTCCCGTTTTAAAAGGCAATGCCTGGAGAAGTCATCGTTCCCATATAATAAAGTTCTTTTTTGGAAAAGTGAGAAAGAGGGAGAGAGACAGAGAGAGAGAAGGGGAATTCCTGCCTTCATGCTGTCATATAAAAGAGATTCAATGTGCAGCTATCTCTTTTTCATGTTTTATAGAAAAATTCTTCTCACTTCATAATTCACTCTCTGTTTCACTTTTCTCCTGGTGCGTTGTGTCTCTTCTTCTTCTAAGCTTCCTCTTGTCACGATATGCTATGATGATGATAATTATGTAATTGTAATGGAAATTTTTATCTATTAATGAATATTCCTTCACTATTGAGTGTTGTCTGGCTGCTCATTTAAATAAATCTTCAGCCAACATTGTTATCACACACACTCTCTCTCTCTCTCTCTCTCTCTCTCTCTCGCGGCATGTCTGCTGTGCGAGAGGTCTTTTCGGTGATTTGCTCATTCTGTGTCAAATTGGCCCCGAAGATGTGAAGGAAGATGAGAATGAAATCAGAGTTTGAGATCATTGACCACAAAATGTATGAGAAAAGTGCGATACAATGCCGCGGGAGGCAAATGCCGCAGCTTTTCGTTAGTTATTTGATTGAGGAGGTTTTTCGGTGTGAGAAACATGAGGTAATGAAATCGCGTTCACACCCAAGCTCTCTTGTGTGTGATACCCTAAGCCGAGGATGGGCAAATAGAAAGAATCTCCTCAATAGTGTGATACACATACACACATGTATAATATTTTTGCAGAAATGGCAAAATGAGAAAAGAAAAGAATGACGATAAAGGAGCGAACGAGAGACAGACTCGATTACCATCTCATATTGGGTGGAGGAGATGAAGACGATGACGATGATGATGGGTGCTAAAAGGCAAATGCTATCATTTAGGTGGTTGTGTTGTATGTGACTTTTTGTCTTCATTGAATGGCTCACGGTGTTTACCTTGAATTTGTCCCATGTTGAACTTTGTCCATCTCGGCTGCCTCTTCATATATACAAACATCACTTTTTATTGTCTCTATGTTATTATTATTATTATTATTTGTCCTGAATGATGTGAGGGGTGGAGTATTAATTGTAGCTATATTATGTGCTCATTAAATTTGTGTCCATTTTCATCAAACTGAAGAAGCGTTAAGATGGTTTTTTCAGTGATTTTTTCTCTCTGCACTTTTTTTTCCTTGAGGACAGTCTAGCGAAAAAGGCGAGAAAATGGAGAAAAACGAAAGAATTTATGTGACAATCGTCTCGTGAATTGTTTAGAGAGACAATTAAAGATCCCTCTTGTGGATTTCCATAGAGACTTCTTGCTCTGTTTTACCCCATGAGTTCCTCGGCATATTGCCTTGATGGTTTTTCCTCACCTTCCTTTTTCACTCTCGAGTGAACTTCAGGAGGTGTAGACGTGAGAAAGGAATTGGAGTGAGTGAGAGAGGGCTGAAAAGTCCCAAGGAAACAGTCAATAGCGGACAACTGAGTGTCCTCGTTGGTCAAATGTAGAAGGTCTTCAACACTAAATCAACCTTTGAGCAAGTCAACGAAGGAGAAAAACCACATGAGCATTAAATATTATTCCGCAGTAAATGAGTGACTTTAAATCATGCTGCATTGAAGAATTTGATATTTGAGATCGTTTCTTTTAGAGGAAAAACTGTTGTTGAAGGTGTGTTTTGTCGTCTTATTGTGGGAAATTTTTTTTTTGCTAGAACAACGTGATTCTTCGTAATAATTAAGTTCACCAAATATTTTCTCATCCATCGAGACATGGATATTTTCTCAAATGAGACAAATTGCCCGTAATTAAATGTAATTTCAATTTTAAACTCCGCTATGAATATGTTTTCCCTTGAGAAGATACTCAATAGATTGTCTTCCTTCAACTTCACTGTTCGATGGACTTCTCATTATCTTCCTCTGTTACAAACTTGAATAAATCCCATGCCAACCGACAGTGAACTTGAAGATTAACCACAATGCTGAAGGTAGAGGAGATACATGGATGGTTCACTGTACTGTTCTTCCTCAACTTTGCATGATGGCAAGTCTTGAAATTTTTCCACCACTCCCCACAGTCGCCAAGTGAGAGAAGTTCTTGTGCAAAAGACCCCTTTTCCACGTGTTGTGGTGTTGTTAGCATGATGTTCAATGGCATTGGAGCTCTAGGCGAGACGTGCGAGAGGCTAATTCTAATATGAGATGGACTTGAAAGAAATATCATCGGCGTGAACTCGCGTTAGAAGTTCACTAAGGAGGAGACAAGAAGAAGCAGATGAGGAGAATCAAGGCCGGCCATTCAATTGTGTGTCTCCATCGTCATGTATTTGTATCGGTATAGGCATTAGTGGATATTTTAGAGATAGCAGAGTTTATATACAGCTTGTAATGTTTGAATTTCAATGTGCTCTTCATTTTGTATCTCACATGTCGGTCTTGTTAATCTTATTATGGTTGATCTGTTCAAAATATCTCTTCAATTCAACTTCTTTTTTTTTCTTCCAAAGCACTTTGCTTTCTCACTGGGTACTTATTCTTCTTCCCAATGAAATCAGGCATAGGAAGAGGAGAATTCTTCTCGTGTGAAGTGAGTGAGAAAAATAGAGATCGAATTCAAATTGTAATGAGAGATTGGTGGAAGAGCTCACTAATAGTTTGAGCGAAGATGCGTAGACAAAAAGAAACAAACACACGATGGATATTTAATTCGATGAGTTTTCATTTGTAAGAGAATGTGCGTATGGCTTCTTAAGAGAAAAAGAAGAGGAGGAAAAAGGGACTGGAAACATTCCAATGAATTTCAATTTTTGACTTTTCTCTTCTCCATCGACGAATACAAAATACACACTCTTGACTTGTCAGCTGGGTAAAATATAAATTATTTTTAATGACTTTGAAGTTGAGAAGTGAAAATCACAGTTTTTTTTGTTTGTCAAATTTATAGTGGGAAATTGTGGCACGCTGAAAAAAACATAATTGGTAAAAAATGAACTGAAATTCCTCAAGATTGAAATTACTTGAGCAAAAGTTGAGTGATTACATTAATCTTTCTGATAAGCGATTCTCAACTTTATCTCTACTCTTTGAACTTGAGAAGTCTTTCCTGAGTCATATTTTATTGCCAAAGCGAGTTGGACTTTTGTTGTCTTGTTTTCCGTGTGCGGAGAGAGAAATTTTCTACAATATTAATTGAGAGCAATTTCGAAAATGCAAAATGGGAGACTCAATTCAATTGTGACTAATAAATTGTGAACAGAAGCAGATTGTTGGTGTGCGATAAGAAAAGTTGGCGTACTGATGCAAAATGCGCCAATTTTACTTAGCGCGAGAGCACAACAGATTCAAATGCCTTTCTGTACCACATTTGTTCACATGTAAGAGCTTAACTAAATGAACGCATTTGTGCACTATCTCCGGCTAAGTGAATATAAAATCACAAAGTGAAAGAGTGAAACCTTTTCCTCATTTTCACAAGTCTCTCCCTCTGTTATGCATTGTGTGATTTACACGCATTTTATGTTGGTTAAATGAGAGAATCGGAGAAAAGAGACCTAATGGAAAATAACGAGCACTTTGCGCAGAGATTAATTGATGGAATTAATCTTTTGTCTTGAGATTTTCTCCTAATAGTGAGATGATTTATATGTGATAAATTCTGAAGTCTCACGTGCTTTCGACGAGACAAGTTAGTGGTCATGGGAAAGAGTGTGTATATCAACAAGTTGAGTATTAGAGTTGAAATTTAGCATTTTAGGCTGCGAGTGAAAATGCCTCGCACAATCTCTTTATTGGAATTGAGTGCAAATCCATCCATTTGCTGTATTTGGCAATTGACTGGTGTTGTGTATCGAGCTTTTAAGGTCTTAAGTAATTTGATACTCTCAACAATTGAGTGTTTTTCTTCTTACTAAATAGACTGGAGAGAAATTGCTCAAAAACTTCAAAGAGTGGCTCTGAGATGGAGGGAATTTTGCCGATTGTTCAATGAGTCACTGGAGCTTTTCACTTGTGTGGTGTGAATTGCAAAATAATTTGCGATAATGCTTGGAAGAAGGAAATACGCGATGTTTGGGTTTCTTCAAGAGTGTGCTTCTTTGTGGGCATAAAAAAGGGGAGTGAAAATCGCCTGGAAACATTTTGTAAATCTTATCGTAATTTCAAGAAATGAAGAAAGAGAGAAAAAGAGAGAGAGAGAGAGAGGAAGGCAGACAAAAAGGAAAAGTGGTGAGACAGAAATAGTGAAAAGTGAAAGTATTGTGTGAGGCTTTTTCGATTTTAATAAAAACGCAATTTTTTCTCACTCGGAAAATGGTGAATAGCCAAAGAAAGAGTGAGTGAGAGAAAGAAGGAAATGAATTGGCAATTTAATATTCAATCAACTGTCTTTACTTTCCTTTTGCCTCAAAAAGAGATTTTTTTTGATTATCAAGTTGAAAAGTGTATGATTGGAAAACTTACATGCCATTTGAAATGTAGAGAGGAGATTTTCAGCAAAAGTTTTCTTTTCCGCATTATATATTCTGCGGATCATAAATTTTCAGTAAGTTACAGTTTGCGCTCTTTGGCTGATATATATGTATATTGGAAGTCAATTGTGAATTGGGAGGGATTTAGCAATGGAGATATAACTCTTGTCTCACCCTCAGGAAGTTGACGAGATTCATTTTTTACTTATGAAGAGACATTTCGATTGAGGGGCGTTTTATCCAGGAATTTATTACAAAAAGAGGTGAAAAAATGTCATGAGGTGAATCATAAAGTCATGAGTATAGTGAATTTTAATAGTCTGTGAACAAGAGTATATTATTTTCAACATTTTATTACCCATACTCAAAGTGTAATAACTTGTCTTTCTTTGAAAGAGCCGAAATAGTTTTGAAGGACTGCGTTCCTCTGTTTATTCATTCGTGTATGTTCATGAAATCTAAAAACTTTAAAGTGGCTTTTCACCTTTACTCATCTTTGTTTCTCGCCTTTCAACATTTAATACTTGCAAATATTGTTAAATGAACATGTTTCAGCAAGATGTTGCCCTCAAATTGTCACTCATAAAATTGCTACTGTCATATGCAATTATATACATAATATGTTTATCTTCATTGTAATTAAATGTATGAACTCGTTGAATTTATCCAGTGAAAAGAAAAGAAGAGAGAGAGAAAAAATGAGTCGCATGAAAGTGGGGAGGAAAAGAGATAAAAATTTAATGCATTGTCGCATTTGTCGAGTGAATTAAAGTGCATATATTGACTGAATGTGTGTGTGCATTGAAGCTTCTTTCACTTTTGAATTTTGTAACTGCGCGAGGAAAAGTCAATGATCTTCCTCCCTTTTTGTTATTATTTTCCTCCACATTCCCCCCTATCTTTTGCCTCTCTTTTTTTTCCTCTGTTTGCGCCTCCTCGATGCGACACGATAGAGTGCATATAGAATGAATTTTCTCAGTTGGGATTTCCACGAGATACTCAAGCCCACAAATAACACTTCGTCGCTGCGGTGGAAAATTTGTTGATCCACAAGAGACGAAGAAATATAAATTTGTGTGGAGAGTGAGAAAGAGCGAAAGAGAGTATGAATACCAGTGAGATATTTATAACGACACAAATTTTCATATAAGTAGAAGCATCTGAATGCAAAAAGGTAGGAAGCCTTTGGGGGAAAATATGAATAACGATGGCTCAGAATGTTGCGAAGGAGAGAGTTTTAGTTTAGCTTCTCCCCTGTTCCTTTTCTCATTAATTCTTTCGGCAGAATAGGTATCAGTCCTACTCTGGATGGTGTGTGCGTTGATGGAGAGTAAAAAAGAGTGGTGTGTAAGAAAAGCAGTTGGGCTCAACAGTTGGAAAATAACATTGTGCGGCGGGATGATGAGGTTGAGAGAGAGAGAGAGAGTGAGATGTGGAAAAAAAATGAAATAATTTATTGCCATAGGAATTGAGCCCCTTTCGGTTAATTATCAATTTTTGACAGAGTCTCTTGCACAAAGAGGTGTCTGCTGTGAGACAAAAGGTGGCTGTTTTTTGCCAGTCTCACCATCCATCCATCCTATGTGTGGTCAGGAGTCAATGCCCCAAGTCGTGCTCTTTACTTTTTCGGACGCCTTTTAGTACCAGCAACCAAATTTCTTGTGAATTATTCAACATGAGTCTGACTGACAATTTTCATCCTCAAAATATATATTTTTTTTTCTTCGTCTCTTTCTCTCAATAAATAAAATAAATTGGTGTGTGGAAGTGGAGATGCTAAAGAGTAGCCAGACTTGAAAAATATAATTGATGATATATTTGGTGTTTTGTGTGTGGTCGATCATCGGCATTTCCTTTCTTATGATTTCTCATTTTTATTTTTGGAGATTTTCGGCAATTTAAAATCATTTAATGGGAAAGAATTGAAGGTACGATGAAAGAGACTTCTTTGGCGCAAGGGTGATAATTCACAGAACGTCGAATGGAACGTGGAGGAATTGTGAAGAGTTTCGTGGGTTATGTTGTATTGAAGGTATTGTAAATCAACATATGTTGAACATATTTGGTGATAATCTCCGTGAATGAATAAATTGACAATTAAATTGGCAATTTTCGCAATAACATGAAATTTTATTACCAATGGAACTGAATATGTGCATCTTTCTGTCTCTTTCAGGTGAAAGTCGTTAAATTTAGCTACATGTGGACGATAAATAATTTTAGCTTTTGCCGAGAAGAAATGGGCGAAGTACTAAAATCATCCACCTTCTCAGCTGGTGCTAACGACAAATTAAAATGGTGAGACATTCTCTGTTTTTATTAATTGCGAAAGAGTGAGTGAGAGTTTGTGAAGATATACAAAAATATTTTTTGTTTACATAAAGTGTCACAAAAAAAATGTTTTCTAGTGGGAGGACTCATTTCATTTCATATTAAGTGTCTCTGCAGACTCTTAAACTCTCACCATCGGTGACGCATGGATTGAATTGCAATGGTGATTTGATACAACTAATTGTGTGTTTCATCCTTTTCCAGGTGTTTACGTGTCAATCCAAAGGGGCTGGATGAGGAAAGCAAAGACTACCTGTCCCTTTACCTTCTATTAGTATCATGTAACAAATCAGAAGTTAGAGCCAAATTTAAATTTTCTATTTTAAATGCAAAACGCGAGGAGACCAAAGCGATGGAATCACAAAGAGCGTATAGATTTGTTCAGGGGAAAGATTGGGGCTTCAAGAAGTTCATCAGACGGGATTTTCTGCTCGACGAAGCGAATGGCCTGCTGCCCGAGGATAAATTAACAATATTCTGCGAGGTGAGTGACTTAATATATATTAAGATGTGGAAATGACTTTTTAAATACACTGAATTCCATATTATTACATTGTTGTAAAGTGTCTGTGTTGTCAATGGCCAAATAATTGAGATTGTTGTTCTTTGCAATCTTTTTAGGTTAGCGTGGTTGCTGATAGTGTTAATATATCAGGCCAGAGCAATATCACACAGTTCAAAGTGCCCGAATGCAAATTGTCTGAAGATCTGGGAAATCTGTTCGATAGTGAACGTTTCAGTGATGTCACACTGGCAGTTGGTGGTCGGGAGTTCCAGACACACAAAGCAATTCTCGCTGGTAAGACCAAATTATAATTATAATATGGAGATAAAGAGGAAATACAATAAGAATATCATACACAAAATTATGTTATAAATCTAATTTCTGTCACTAATTACGTAAATTTAATGGTCATTGCAGCGAGGAGTCCTGTTTTTGCTGCGATGTTCGAGCATGAGATGGAGGAGAGGAAGCAAAATCGTGTCGCCATTACAGATGTGGACCATGAAGTGCTCAAAGAGATGCTTCGATTCATTTACACAGGGAAAGCACCGAATTTAGAGAAGATGGCTGATGATCTCCTAGCAGCCGCCGACAAGGTAATTTATCAATTAATTCGGTGTCTCCCTTTTCTCATGACTTATCGCGCCTCTCTCTCTCTCTCTCTACAGTATGCCCTAGAAAAGCTGAAAGTGATGTGCGAAGAAGCGCTTTGTGTTAATCTGTCTGTGGAAACGGCGGCTGAGACTCTCATCCTCGCTGACCTGCACAGTGCCGATCAACTTAAAGCGCAAACGATAGATTTCATCAATACGTGAGTATTTTCAATTACTATGTGTGTTTGATTTTAATGAGGAAGATGAACAAGAAAAACTACACTGTTGAGTAGTTTTTACACTAGCGGAAGTGATTAAATATTCATGCAAAAAAAAATTACTTAGGACTCGATAAATTTTGTCCCATTTAATGGTTGCACGAGTGTAAATTGTCGGACTGAATGGTGTAAATGTGTAAGACAAATGATGTGGAGAAATGTTAAATATCCGGAAGATTGCTATAAATTCACTGGGGTAATTGGTAGTTTTTCTCCTCCATTCAGTGTGCCGAAATTTCACGTGGTACATAAAGAGCTTCTCCTTAGGAGTTTCTTATACATTCTGCCTTTTTTTTCTCTCTCTCTCCTTTTTGTACCATTTGCAACGTGGCTTTATTGTTTAGGAGAGTGATGAAGAAAGAGGGTGAAATTAATACTCACTTCCCTTCCTTCCTGTATGACTTTCAGACATGCAACTGACGTGATGGAGACGGTGGGGTGGAAGAACATGATATCGACGCATCCGCACCTTATTGCTGAGGCATTTCGCGCCCTAGCGACGCAACAAGTCCCACCAATTGGTCCGCCGCGGAAGCGCGTGAAGATGAGCTGAAATAAATTGATGATTTCTAGTGCGGGTCTGGCGAGTATATCAACATTCAGCAACGCCGACATCACCTACGACGCAACATCATGTGACAATTGCAATACAATCAATAATAATGGGATGGACAGCAGCAAGACACTATTTCTCCCATCGATATCATCGACACTGACAACGGCATGTGCCACAAATTCCGCAATTGTTGTCCAAGGATCAAATCTCAACACTTTCCACCACCGCCATCATCATCATTTGCGACAGACGTCTTCTGTGATGCACCACTCTTCCGCCACGTCGTCCTCCATTGCCAGTGCTGTGGATGAGAAGCTGGGCAAGATCTCCATTGTGAGTGACAATTTGATCCTCTCGCACCTGCAGAGGTCTGCATAGGTGGACGGAGAGAGTTCAGTAGAGCTGTAGATGGTGAGGAGACACACTTCCTCTTCCTCATTTCCCCACTTTAAGATAAACACACACACACACACACACAGAATGTGCAGTTGATCGTCTATTTCTCTTTTTACCCCCATTTGCCGAGAGAGGGTGGCGAAATCCAAATGTTTTCCTCCGACATTTGCACAAATGACATTGAACAAAAAGAGTAAAGTTAATTTGTATATAAATGGGTATTTGTAAAGAAAAAAAATGCTACTAAAATTGTATAATATAGTAATGCCGATCAGGATCAAGGACTTGGCTTCCTTTTGATTTTAAAACATTTTTTTTAAATTAATATCTTTTGTCACATGAGAGGAGTGTTTGAAACAAAGAAAAAAAATGTGTATTTGCAGTTTAACCACTGTTAATGTATTGTCCTGAATTTAATTGATTCATCGAGAGAAAGAGAAAGAAGTATAGTTAAAGATAAATTTAGTATTTGTGTGTTTTTCGATATTGTAATTTGAAGAAGAAGAAGAAGAAAAAATTTCTTGATGAAATGAAGCAAAAGTCCTTTTCCTACTCAGTGAAGATTGAATATAAAAAAAACCATGAAATTGACAAGTGTGAGAAATTCCTCCGCCCCCTCCAATGCTTTTTTGTATAGTAACAAGAAAAAAAAATGTAGATGTTTAGAATTCGTGGTCAAACAGAAATTTGTAAGAGTTTTCAACAGATGACCGGAAAAGAAATCAATAGAATTAATAATGAGAGAAGAAGTGTTGAGAGTTTTTGCTACATTTAAGGAGTTTTTTGTATACCAAATAAGTATAGAATGGAAGTTAAAATTACAAACCTATTAAAAGGTTGAAACTTCTCAAATAAAACAAAACATATAATTGAAATAAAATTGTTAAGCGAGAAAAGCTATGATCAGATTCAATATCAATTGAGGAAATAATTTAATGGAAAAAAAATGTAGAAATATTGAAACTATTTTGCTAAAAACAAAGGGTTATCATCATCAATGAAACAAAAGAAGAAAAAAATCAATCTATCGACATTCATTTTCGTTGGAGAAAAAGAATTGAAGAAGAAATGAACAAAGATATGAGGAAGAAAATATTAAAAACACAATTTAAAGTTGCTAAAAATGTGATTTCTTTGCTCGTGTTGTAAGAGTGAAAGATGTGAGGGGAAACTTTGTGTGAAAGTGAGATAATTTACTCACGGGAATTTTTTGTGTTAAATGGGCGAGTTTTTTTTCCGTGGACACGTTTAAGGGAGGAAAAAAGTGAGAAGAAGAAGAAACATGGGAGAAATTCGACTTTGCAAGAAAATATCTATTTCTTTTTTGAATCCCACCAATAAATAGTAATGATTTAATAGTAATTTTATAATTTTCATTGCAAGATTTGTATTCTTTCAAGAATTTGTTTTTTTTTTTCTATTATCCTTCTTTTCTATGGATTCCTGTTTTAAAATATAATCTTTTCAACTTCATCTTTGTAGTTCATTAGAGAGTAATGTTTTTGATTTTATGAAATAGTGTGACAAATGAAAAGAAAAAGGAAATATGCTTGTTGAAGCGTGAAAAGCAGTTCAGAGAGGAAAATCTGAAGTCTTATGATTTTTTGCTCTTCTTTGGTATTAATTTATTAATATTTAGAGAATTTCTTCCAGTTGTCGATCCGTTTTGGAGATGCGAAAAAGTTGAAAAAGAAAATATATTCAGAGAAGACGAAAGCAGAAAATCTAAATGTTAATTAAATTTTGCATAAGGAAGATTATGAATAATGATCTCTACTGGCGTTAAAGTAAACTAAAAAGTAAAGTAAAAATATATTAAATGTAAAATATAATTTCCTGTCCAAATATTTGATTGTGAAAGTGACAGAAAAGTGAAAAGCGCGATGGTAAAATTGCCGACACTTTTTTTTTGTCACATTCAAGCAAAAAAAGAATACTTTTGACACTCGAACATAACAAAATTTGAAAGAGACGAAGAACATTTTTATTTGACAATATAAAAGAAACCACAGATATATAAAAGGACGGTGAGAAAAGTAGTCAGAACAAATGAGTAGAATTTTTGTAGATAAAATACACGAAAAAAAGGTTTTAAAGAATGATTTGTGAAGGAAGTGAAATAACTGAAGCAGACATAAAAAAAAAGCCACTGAAATACCGACAGAAAGCTACTAATTGAACACAATTAATCAAGTAGTGAAACTTTTAAGAGATAATGGAAATAAAATGAGAATAAAATAAGTAATTATGCCATACATGTTCTGTGATATGTGAAAACAACCAATAATCTATTTCGCGCTCGCATTCGCATTAATTTTGTTCATTAATTTCCCTCTTATTTTGTATTTTTTTGAATTAATCCTTCGAAGAGGAGAAAAGAAGAGGTCATCGACTTCCATGTGAGATTTTTTCAGACCCACAAAACATTGGAAAATTAATTGAAACTCGATTGTTTTTCTCTTGAATTACACCACTTCATAATCATTTGAAAAAAAAGGCAAAATAGACAAGGAAAATGTCAAATTTGATTTATTTTTGTGTTTTCACACACTGTCAAAAAAAAGTAGGGGAGAAAAATGTGAGAAAATATCGAAGGAAAAATTATCTGAAAACATAATTGGCAAAAAACTATTTAGATTTGTAGATGACCAAGAGACAGAAAGAAAGAAAAACATGATGAAGAACAAAGAATAAAATTGGTATTTGAAAGTAAAACAAAACAAAAAAAAATGTGGATAAAAATCAACTAAATTTTTGTGAACATGTAAAAGAAACATTGTGACTCCTTCCAAATTTTCTCCACAGATTGCGTCAGGGAAAAAAAAATTCCAATCAATCATGAATGAATTCTCAAACCGAATGATAAAATCTGTGGAGATGTTTATAGTTTTTTTTCTGTGAGAGACAAAAAGGAAAAAAAAATCTAGAGAGTCATGTAACTAATTTACATTAGAACTTTTAATAATTATTATTAATGATTCAAGTGAAGAAAAAAATGCATAACTATACACATTAAAAATAGGAAAAAAGAAGAAGTGAAGAAAAGTGAAACAACTACTATAAACTCTTATAAGAAGTTCTCTAGATTAAAAGATCAATGAAACAACAATTTAGTGTTAAAGTTAATGATGATGGCATATGAAGAAGAAACCCTAGAATATTGTAGGAGTGTATAATATTTCCTTTGACGATGAAGAGATGAGAAAAAAAAGAAAGAAAATCACATACAAAAAAAATGATAAGTTTAACAATTGATTTAAGTGTAAGTCATCGCCATGTAAATAATTCGTCATTAAAAAATGAAAACAGTAAAGTGAAGAAATTGCCAAGGTTTCTTTCTCTGGGCGTGCTTCTCAAGGACCTTTCGCTATCGCTCATTTCCTATCAATTGCCAACAACAGCGCGCTTTCGTGTCTTGATAAGTTGTGAAATGTTGACACTGCAAACGGGACTGTTTCTTCTCGAAAAAAAAATTTATGACTTTATCGCTTGAGAAATTGTATTTCCTGAAATCCGAACCATTTGAAGTTCACGCTATCAGGTAAAATGACGCGAATGAGCACATAATTTGCAATTGAACGTATTTCCAGTGAAGCAGATTCAATCGTTTGTTTTATTAGTTGGAATTTTTACCCTTTTAAATATATATCTGAAGTTCATAACTAAACACTTTTGATCTATTTCGATAACAAACTATCAACACTACTTTTACGCGGAAAAAAAGTCACACAAGAAAAAAAACACTTCCACGTAGCAATAAAACATTTGCTTAACAAAAATCACTCTCTTTTTAATAATTTTGGTATTAAAAACTTACGCTAGAACACGAAAGACATTCATCACATATGTATTGCTTTGTCGTCATCTACAAGTATTGGCGATTTGCTCGTCTCTGAGTTGCGATCTCTTCTGTCTGGCGCATCGGCGCTCCTGGATCGCTCAGCTTCACCTTCACCGGTGAATCCGCTATTATCGAAGGCTGGAGCGCCGATGGCGATCGTGTAGGATGGTGGCAATTCTGTGTCTGTTGACGGCGCCGCGGTGGAATCATAAGAAGGTGGCGCGATGCCGGCGTCCTGAGATTGTGAGCGGAAATTGTAGTTGTGGCGCGTTTCGTAGCGAGGCGGCCGATCTCGTAATCGTTGCAGGATTCTGATTTGAATTGAGGACAGCGATGCGCGTTCAGAAGAGAATCTCGCGTCGTCCTCACTCAACAATCCTCTATTTCTCGGTCTGTCCGCCCTGGAAGGGAGAGAAGATGTGTTATCGTGGGTAATGTCTTTGAGCGTGGGATTTGGGGAGTTTCCAGATGGATTTATAGGTTACTAACAGTGATCGCTTTGAGCACATCCGGAAGAGCAGCGTGGCCAAGGCTGCGATACCGATTATCAGGGCGGCTGAGAGGGCGATCTGAGAAGCGGTGGCGAAGATAAGATGACCACCGTTCGGACACAGGAATCCCCCATTTTCCTTCCTCTTGCACTGCGTGCAAACGTCGTGAATGCAGAAGATGTCTTCGCCATAGCAACAGTTGTCCTCGCAAGGCTGTCCTTCGCCTGCAAACACATGCAAAACACGCAACATTGAGTCAATGAAATTCCTTCAAAGATCACATGCGAATGTTCTTACCAGGACACAACATGCACAACTGCTTTCCTGGAGCATATTCGTAAGGAGTGGAGAACTCGTTGCACTGACAAAAGCCGATGTCTGTGTTGCAGATCTGCCGATATTCGCTGCAGTCACTGTCGCTCAGGCAGGGATCGCCTATTCAAGATAAAACACGCACACACAATAAATCATGGAATCTGAAGAGTTGCTAATCTCCAAATGAATTGAGTGAGAATTTTTATGACTTTCTCTCACGTGACAATCTTGACTTGAAGGATGATTTCTTGCGGAAAATTGCTGAGTAACTTCACAAGTGTTCTTCCTCAAGCTGCATGTGGGATTTTACTAGACTTTTCCAGAGATAAACCAGGTGGTAATAAATCTATTCTGACCTCTTTTTTTCAGAGCTTCAAATTTCATTGATTTATCATTTAAAATACGACTCATCATTTAATTAGATTTAGAGGGATTTCATATCTTCTCACCGCGAAACAATGGTAAAATGGGTTAATAAATTTAACCAAATCTAATCAATAGGTTCACATTTTTGTTTATCTTGTCTGTTCTTTGGCTAAATTTTCCATAAACTCTCGAACCTTTTTATGACTTCCATTTCAAAGAGATTTTTCAACCTAAATTTCCAGTTTTTCTCCACTTCTATTTTGTCTGCCATTTCAGTCACTTTCCGTGGTAGTTTGTCAACAAACAGGTGTTCGTCTTTTCTACCCACCAAATTTACAATTCACACTCTCGCCATGCGTTTGCCAGTCACGATAATATTCACTATCATCTCGCGCGCTCAGCAAAACAATTTCCCCACTTTATCTCTTGTCGACTTTCCATGTCGATTTTCAGTAAACATTGTGATGGCAATTAATAAAACACAATTGTCATGCGTAGTGAAATAAGAATTGGAGATTGCTTGAAAGGAGTTTCCACGAGGATTTAACTCCATATTCGGCAAATCATGAGATTATGATTCATTCTCATGGGGATTTAGTGGGATTTTCCACCGAAATTAATCCGAAAATACAAACTACTTGAAAAAAAAAGTTATCATTCAGAGTTTAAGAAGTGACTAAGGGGTTCTGCATTGGCAGCTTAAGAGACACTCGAATGGTTTATTTTGCAAAACATTTATGCCAGAAGATGAAGTGCAAGATTAATGTTATTATCGTTAGTTTATCAAAAGTGAACTGAAATGCACTGAAGAGAAAATAAATTATCAGCATTTTTAGCTTCAAAACGATTTGAATTTGGACATATAAAATGATCCTTTTTAGACTGTCTGTAATTTTTAAATTGTCTCAATTAAAATAATCTTACTGGCATATCAAATTTACACTGTGTGTGACTATTATTGCTGTAGAGAATTTCGTAATGTACAAATGATATTTATTGAACTCTTCACTCATTTTGCCAGTTTAACCACCCGTTTTGCGCACAAGAATGGAAAAATGTGAGAATCAATTTCCTTATCACGCTTGCTCCACCTCAATTGTGCTCTTATCACCTTTATCACAGTGAATGTAATCAAGTGAAGTTGTGATAAGTTGTCGACAGAGAAATTTTCTCACTCTGTCACTCCACTTCGCGCCCAGCTTTTTGCTATATTTATATTACTTTGTGAAATATTGTGGAGAGCAGGAAAACACAATTGAGAGAGGAACATTTATTATGCACAAAAGAATAAGTTTTTTTTTTGTTTTTATGTGGAAAAATTTGTCAAGTACGAGTTGAAATGGACTGAAAGAGGGAAGCATATGAGAAATACGATCAAACTGTTAATGATTGATCAACAAGAGTCGATTGAGTGTGATCAATTGAACAACTGTGAGTGATTTTGCGCAATTGAGTCATGAATTGTGGATTTTGCGTGAGATCTGTATACCTGTGTAGTTGGAGAAGCCAGCAGCACACTTCTGGATCATCAGCAAACACACGAGGAGCACACTGAAGGTGCTTTTCCACACTTTTCTCACCACACTCCTCGTCAAGAGCATGTCTTCACTGTATTATTTCGTCCAAAGAAACACTAGTAATTCACACAACAGCTCATCTTCATCCACCACTCAATTCGACAATCCTTCTTGTCCTCTTCCTGCGGTTCTTCGTTGTGAAACTTGCAGGACAAGTCATGAAACTGTGAATGAGCGCAAAGCTCCTCAATCAACACATCAACTTATCGTTCACAACAAACAACTCAATACTGACAAACTCCTCAAGAGTCTCGCGCTCTTATTATCACAATCGACAAGTGAGAACTTGTCCCACTCTTATGTTCGCTCTCTTGCTCTCTCTCTCATTCCCATTCACTCTCTCCCTGGTCACTCAGCCCCAAAGTTGGCTGATAGCAGGGCATCGCCGAAGGGAAATAGACTCGCTGACCTAATCTGTGCAGGTGATCCACCTTCTCTCTGACCCATTTGAGACTCCACAGTCGCCGCTCCAAAAACACCTGGAGCACTCACGAAGGAATATGAGTGTGGAAAATTGTGAAAACTTTTCCATAAATTTCATTCTTTGCCACCATTAATGCCAGATAAATCCTCCTTGGCCTCTTTCCAAAAACACACTCATTCTTCTTCCAAATCTAAATAGCACGGAAAAATCCTAGAAATTTGTCGAAAATGTCAAATACAAAGTATCAATCATTTCCTGTCCATTTCAACGTTCCGATCATTGCTTGTGATTAATTTGCCTGTTCTATATTGGCAATTAATCAATTCGCAATGAGTAGAATTGATCATCGAATTAACTTCTGCCCTGAATACGCGTATCACTGATAAACCTGTGCAACCAATAGCACTGATGGCAATTACGCCTGTAAATGCGTTGATTTGTCTGTTGATTCATCGCATCGCATCTCATGTCCAAAATCCTATCATGCTTTTATCTCATAAGGAACATCAACAAAAAGGTGTGCGGAAGAAGAGGAAGATCTCACTCACTCGACATGGCTTAGCTTTAAGGGGAAAAAACAGACCGCCAATGGGAAGGCAGTGTGATAAGCTTGGTATCAATTGAGTTTACTCCAATGCGAGAGAGAGAGTGCACAGGAAATATGTATCATCACAGAGAAACGCGCTCAAATGTGGAGTGTCTTTTCGCTCGACTGCTCGGTTTGGCTGTACGGAGGCGGTTGGACGTTGTCCGCAGCGCTTTCAGCGCCAGACTCCATCCCTGGATACGGCGGAGGCGCCGAAGAAGCCACCGTGGGCACCTGCTGATCAGCACTGTTGGCCTTCGCCTCCTGCTCGAAGCGATAGTTGTGGCGTGTCTGGTATCCAGGCGGACGATCGCGCATCAACTCAAGTGTCCTCTCCTGCACTGGCGAGGAGAAGATGGTCTCGTCGTGAAGACTGAACCGCCTTTCCGGCATGTGTTCCCTGCAATATAGGAGAGAAGTTACTCCATATTGAGAATAATCGCTGATAATGTCAGCTTATCTCTTGTTTTGTGGAGAAAGTCTTTGAATTGCCCAAAATGATGTATATGAACACATGGAACACATGTACAGAGATTAACTAATAATAGGAAAAAGATGTATCTTTGATACGATTTCATAAATTGCTCAATATAGAACGATAAGACGATTGTAAAATTGGGAAAACTTGCCAAATTACCCATGAAGTACATATGAATCATGATAATGGAAACTTGTCTCAAATTTTTTGAAGATAAATTGTGTAAGAATCTTCAAATGAATTTTAAAACTTTCCAGCTTTATGATTTTTAGGCCTTCTTTTAAAGAAAAAATGTATACAAAATTTATTGAATGGATAAAATGGAATTGTAATTGATTTATTGATGGACTGATTGATTAAAGTCATGTGAATATGAGCTTCACGCCCAGTTCAACAAAGCTCGGGATTACTCTTTGTCACGAGCATAAATTTCACGCAGAATTCTCCCCAAGACGTGATGCAAACATTCGGGAAACAGGGCAAAGAGAGGGAGATGCTTTATGACTTCACTGTTCCACTTTTTGCTGTGAATTTATGAATTCGCCAGCACGCAAATTACCTCCGACCGCGGAAGCTCCATCGGTATATGATGATGGCTGTGAGGCCAACGGAGAAGGCAATGGCGAAGGCCACGATGAACTTGGACGTGATGTCCTGGTAGCTCTGCAGAGTGCACTGACGGGACTCGGTGTCGGTCTTGTGGCATCTCTGGCACATGCCGTCCACGCAGCGGATCTGGTAGTTGGCGTAGCCGTCGATCGGGTAGCAGCAGTTGTTGTAGCACTTCTCCTTGAAAACTGCCGCGGAGAGGAAATTAGCCAGATAAGAGATTCGGGCGTCATGTGATCTCACCTGGACAGTACGTGCAATGCTTCGTCTCGTAGTTGTATGTCATCAGCGGACCACAGGACGCACACCTTCCCACATCTTCCACGTTGCCCGGCAGGAAGTAGCAGAATTCACCCAAAGGACAGCCAGAATCTTCCAAGCACGGTCGCTCACTTCCACCACCATTGGATTCTAAGCCAAAGGAGATCATTGCTTACAATTGTCCAGTGCTGCTGCTCCTTAAATCCATTTACCTGAGCTACTCATATCACTTGTAGCAACACTCAAACCACAACACAACCACGCGATCAGTATGATTTCCTTTTGCCAAGACATATTACCATGAGTGAGAGATCTTGTAAATTCCCCAGGAAGGAAAATTCTCAGCGACGGGAAATTTTTGAGATGCTTTCGAGACTTCTTCTCAATTCCAACTGCGGCGAATACAGTCAAAATAGTCTCAAGTACTGCTCGCGAGTGTCACACAGGCAATTATCAAATCGTGTGGTGAAGAAGATAAGAGATTTGATATTGCGTATTAATGGCAATTCGCGTCTTATCACAATTCCTCGAAGATGGCACGATTAAAGGCGTGATTATCAGTGGAAAACCTTCCTCTTCTATTCAGTGTCGCTCATCTTACAAAATATCCTTAAAACCACCTAGACACAGTCTAGAGTCTCCGTGTGATCGCAATTGGGATGATGCGGGAGTGATGAGTGTGAGAGCATCTCCCGGAAGTGTCTCTGTGTTTCACCAGGTGCACGATCATGAGATCAATTGGTCAGGGCCTCCAGTGCGGCCACCACGTCGCCACGGTGCTCTCTTAGCGTCTTCTCGGCATTCGTCCGGGAGATTTGCATTTCGTTGATCTGAAATAGAGACGCGAGAACTCACTAGAAACCTCCGATAGCCTTCCGGAGCACAGAAACTCACTATCAACTCAACATCCTCTTTCTTAATTTGCACCTTCTGCAGTTCTCGTTCCTTGGCAAGTTTCTCCTCATCTTCCTTGCTGCGCTTGTCACCGAACTTGTTCAGGGCCTGAAAAATCCACCATGAACACATAAATACCACGAATTTACTGAGAAAAGTCGGGAAAACCGGACAACATTGAGGTTAACACTCACGTTGGAGATGTCGGCCGAGTGAATTTCCTTCTCCTCCGCATAATCCGTCACTCTCTCGAGATCCGCCACTCCTCCATCGTGACGGGCGGCTTTTTTCTGTTTCTTATCCTGAACCTCATCAGTTCCGTTCACTTCTTCCTCCTGAGACATCTTTATACAATTTTCTGCACAAATTCACGTTTTTGCCAGACCAAAACAACTCCTCACTGCCGATGGAGCCATCTGAGGACTGGTAATCCAAACTAAAGAATGATTCCGGAAGAAAGTCAAACGTCACTTTTCGTCTCAACTTCACTCGAGTGTGCAGTGTTTTGATTGTGAAAAGTCTTATTTCCTCAATTTTCTCCCCGAAAACCACATGAAAATGTCGGCAACATTCAGATTGGCCAAGCAGAAGTACTCTCAAAATGACCTGAGACGCCTGATGAACGAGCAGAAGCAGAAATCTCAGAAAGATCGGCCAAAAATCGACTCGCCACTAGCAAAATATCCTTTTGAATGAGTTTTATTTCAGGAATTTCTATACATTTCCACGATTTTCCTTGACTCCTTCACACGTATAACGAATTAGGTCAGCTCACCTGTATCCTGTGCCAGAGTGTGGTTCGATCGGAGGATGTCTGGAAAGTGCATATCAACGCCAAGGTTCACAAAGAGAACGTCGAGAAGGCGAAAAAGCTGAAGGAAGATACCCAGAATTTCCAGATGCCTGCTAAGCGCCCTGCTCCACCTTCAGCGTCAGCAGATCCTCAACCAGCCAAGAAGCTCAAGGGAATCCTGAAGAATCCAAATCCTCCATCGCAGGGACAACAGGTCGTTTCCGGAGGGGAAAAACAGCCATCGAATTCTCTTCCGAGTGACTTCTTTGACTCCTCCAAGGGCAAATCGAAGAGTCAAACACCAGACAAGGCTCAGGATGCTGAAGAGAAGATGGATGCTGAGCCTGCGGCGAAGGAGGAGACACTTCCGGAAGGCTTCTTCGATGATCCTGTGAAGGATGCAAAGGCGAGGAATCAGGAATACAAAGATCCCGTTGAGGAGGAGTGGGAAAAGTTCCAGAGGGAGATTCGAGACGCTGCTACAGAGTCCAACGCTATCATTGCCGAAGACCAGGAGGAGTCAACAGCGGAGAGGCAAATTGTGGAGATTGACGAGCAGATTCGCAACTGGTCGCGAGTCCTGGAGATTCAGCGGAAGAAAGAGGCCACGGCAGCGGAATTGGAGCTTTCAAAGAATAGAAACATGGATGTTGATGATAATAGCAGCAGCGAAGGAGAGGAAGCTGAGGAGTTTGACGAATTTGTCGACTGGAGATCCAAGAAATCCCATCGATAGTCAGGTATTTGCTCTTCAATTAGAGCAATTTTCATGAGTAATAATCATGGAATATTATTTTCACAGTTGTTGCCGATTTTTATTCACCCGGCGTCTCCATTGCATCACCAGGCGTCCCCATCCGAAAGGTGAGCTCCAAAATTTACACGAATTTTGAGCTTTGCGAGTAAATATTTTGAACGGAATCACTGTCTATCATTGCATAGTCTGCGGTGGCAGAAACGTCCCCTTGATTTATTGTATCTTGTGAAATTCCCTTTCGTTGGCCAGTCAGGAATGAGAGTTTTTGTGAGGACGTCATTCATAAACTGTGATTTGTGAGTATTTTTGTGGAGATACGCACGAGTTCTTATCGTCTTTGTAGTAGTATTTTGCCGGTTGTTCCCCTCAAAGTTTATACTTACTATACATGCGCCAAGAAAGGCTTGGAGGGTGAGTGTTTTGCTAATATATCTCTTGATTTGATGCATAGAAAAGTGCGCCAAAAAGCCAAAACTCCGCAAAATAACTATCCAAAGTCTGTCCTTTATCGGTTATTGCCAATTAAAGGCAATTTATTTGAATTTGCGTAAAATTGTGCAACAATTTTTCGCACAAACACAGCCAAGAATGTCAACATTCTGACCTGCTTCGTGCCTCTTCGTGTGTGTTGCGTGTGTTGGAAAAATCGCAGTGGGGCTGAGCCTTTATATACCCCACTCTGTCTCATTTCCAGTCATTCGTTACAAGACTTCGCGTAAACCAGCTGATCTGGTGTCACACACAGTATTTCTCAAGATGAAGACCTCGTGCCCATCAGTAAATCCGTAGAAAACTCCCTCTTGATTCCTTATCAGGGCGGAAAAGTCTGCCGAAAAAAAGTTTACGTGAATTTGTAGTACAAATACCTTAAGTGTGAATTATCACTTCGAATTTATCTCATTAATTTATTGTGATACAGAAAAACCTACCGTTTTACTGCCAAGTATTATTATCTATAGTAAATTCTAGTACATTGTGCAATTGTGATTGTAAATCATGCTCAGAAGTGCGTGTATTAAGAACAACAGACCCAAGAATCCCGTTGAGGATGCTTCGTTCCTGTCCAAGAGGTCGTTTTGGTAAGTTTTCTTTTGGCGGATGATTCACTATATGTGTAGCACGGAGACGCGCGGGAAGATAAGAATTTTGATTTTATCGCACTGAAAGGGTGCGATATGATAAAAGGTACTAATTAATTGGTATTGACTTGATTCTGCTATCTTTCCGAAGTCTCTGTTTGTGGGAAATTGCGTGGATAAATCCGTTGCCATAAGTTAATCCTCCGATTTCTTTCAGGTGGCTTAAGCAATTATACAAAATGGGATTGAAGCAACCGATAGAGGAGGAGCATGTCTATGAAACACTGCCGGAGCATCGATTCGAAAAGCTCTCGGAAAAATTCAAAAATCTGTGGGATGAGGAGTCTAAAGCAAAGTCACCGTCACACCTGAAAATCGTGGCTCGTGCTTATGGCAGGCAAATCATGATATTTGGTCTGTTCTGCTGTCTCACAGAATCTGGACTGAGGTGAGTTAATTAATTTCGCTGTGATTCAATTTGAGGTGGTATTTAATGTGTTTTCCTGTTCTCCCCAGGATTCTTCAGCCTCTCTGCATGGGTGGATTGGTGACCTACTTTTCCCCTGAACAGGAGGGCATCACCCTAAAAGATGCGTACTTGTATGCTGCTGGGATAATCATCTCCAGTCTCATACCCGTTCTCATGTTTCATCCCTACATTCTGTACCTGGACCAGGTGGGCATGAAGATTCGGCTGGGCAGTGTTGCGCTCATCTACAAGAAGATCCTCAAGTTGTCCAAGTGCGCCGCTTACACAGGACTCAACGGACAAGTGATAAATCTCATGTCCAATGACGTTGGGGAGTTCGACGTCGCTCTCAGTTCCATCCATGATCTCTACAAAGGTCCTCTCGAGGCAATTCTCATTGGATACTTTCTCTATCGGGAGATTGGTGTAGCTGGACTGATCGGAATGGCATTTCTCCTCGCTTTCATCCCGTTTCAGATGTGGCTCGCGAAGATGGCAGCAAAATATCGCGCTCTTTCTGCCAAGAGAACGGACAAACGTGTGAGATTCATGAATGAGATTATCCATGGAATTCAGGTGATAAAGATGTATACGTGGGAGAAGTCATTCTCATCACTTGTGGACAAAGTGAGACGGAAAGAGATTAATGCTATCCGAGGATCATCGTACATTGATGCGGCAAATTACTCCTTCATCCTCATCTCGCAGATTTCTCGCTTTATTGCTCTGATGACCTACATATCGTTTGGTAATGTTTTCACAGCGAGAAAAGTCTTCATTGTCTACTCCTTCTTCATGTCACTGAATGAGTCAATGGTGCACTTCTGGCCACGAGCTCTCACTGTGGTGGCAGAGATGTTTGTGTCTTCAAAGAGGATCACTGACTTTCTGCTCAGCAGTGAGGACAAAAAGAGGCCCCCACTAGAAAAGGTGCCCAGTGAGACAGAGAAAATCAACGTGGCGAATGGAAGAGTGCACAAAGAAGGCGGGGAGGAACCCGAAGCTTTCCCAAGGAGGATTGTGAATGAGAATAGCAATGAGAAGAGTATGCACATGAGGAATGTTACGGCACTGTGGGGAGGAGAGGATCCAAACTCAAGGCAAGGCATCGATTCTGTAGATCTCTCAGTGAGTCACAATGAGCTGTGCTGCATTGTGGGATCAGTGGGTTCTGGAAAGTCCACAATTTTGCACACAATCATCGGAGAATTGACTCTGGATGAAGGATCAATGGAGGTAAATGGTTCTGTAAGCTATGCTGCCCAAGAGCCATGGCTCTTCGAGAGTACAATCAAGCAGAATATTATCTTCGTTGAGGAGTACGATGAGAAGCGCTACCATCAAGTGCTTCAAGTGTGTGCACTCGAAAAGGATTTAGAGATGTGGCCGTATGGTGATGCGACTCTGGTGGGAGAGCGTGGCGTGAGTCTGAGTGGTGGACAGAAGGCGAGGGTGAGCTTGGCGAGAGCGATCTACAGGCGAGCGGACATCTATCTTCTGGATGATCCTCTCTCTGCTGTGGACACTCACGTGGGAAAGCACATCTTCGAGCGGTGCATTCGACGATTCCTGGCCGACAAGATCGTCATCCTGGTGACACACCAGCTGCAGTATCTCAAGGATATCAAGCACATTGTTCTCTTGAACGGCGGCAGGGTGGAGATGCAAGGATCCTACGATGAGATCCGACAGAGCAATCTTGAATCCATTCTTTCTCTCGCTCCAGACGAGAGTCAAGAGCCTCAGTCTCCAACGGGTGAGAGAAAACTCAACACTTTCAGCTCCCAAGTTGACTACTACGAGTCGAAAGGCAATGAGGACATTGAAGAGGAGAAAGAGGAACAGGTAGTTGGATCTGTAAAGTGGGAAATTTATTTATCCTTCTTCAAGTTCATCAAGAACAAGTGCATGATTGTCATGACGCTGTCTCTCTTTGTCCTGGCCCAACTGGCTATGACGGGCACGGATTACTTTGTGGCGCAGTGGGTGAACTGGGAAGAATCTCTCAATCTCATGAACACAACGGGCCTAAATCTTACTGATACACTCTTCACTTACCTGGAATCTTTGCAAAATGCCACAGAACTTCTCACTTTCATCTCACCTGACTATGAATATGCCACAAGAAGACAGTACCAGATCATTTATGGAGTCCTGATGGCACTTCTGTCTTATCTGGTGATCCAGAGGAACTTTACATTCTTTAAAATGTGCCTAATGGCTTCTATCAGGCTGCATGACCGTCTCTTCCATGGGATCACTCGATCTCGAATGTCTTTCTTCCACAAAAACTCCTCAGGGAGAATTCTCAATAGATTCTCCAAAGATATTGGCAATATCGACACGGATTTACCACAAACTCTCTTGGATTGTATTATTGTAAGTTCACTTTGAGACTAAAAATGTTTAATGACATGAAATTAAGTATGGTTCTATCATTTGCAGTGCTTCTTGGAAATCATAGGAATTGTGGGAATCGTAATTGTGGTGGATTACCGTCTGTTGCTTCCAACTATTGCAGTTGGCTTGCTCTTGTATCTCATCAGAGTGATTTACATTAGAACTGGCAGAAGCGTAAAACGCCTGGAAGCTAATTGTGAGTTGAATTTAATGAAATTTCTAAATTGGTTCAAAATATACCCATATATGAATGCTTGGGAGAGCCTTGAAGGCAAATTGCTGGAGGAAAACCTGCACACAACATAAGCATTTACATATTTTATGCTCAAAGGTTAACTTGCTGTAAAACATTCACCATGAGGGAAGAGAAAATTATTTGCATTTTCACTTTTCTCCCCTTTCGCGAGGGAAAATTTTCTCCTCAGGATTCTTATGTTTTCAATGGTTTCTTTGAAAATCGTGCAATTTTTCTCTTGGGTTGTTAAAGTTTATTAGAATATCAGATATCTCAGTGGAATTCTTTAGCTAATTTGAGGATTTCCCTCAATTTCCTCGTTTAGCACGGAGTCCCGTCTATGCTCACATGAACTTCACCATCCAGGGTTTGTCGACAATTAGAGCACTGAAAGCAGAAAGGGTGCTCGAGGCGGAATTTAGCTACCACAATGACTTTAATTCTTCTGCGTGGTACATGTTCTTGGCATGTTCTCAGTCCTTCACATTCTGGCTCGATTTGGCGTGCGTTCTCTACATTTCTATCGTTGTTCTCAGCTTCCTCATCCTTGACAACGGTGAGTGATTGAATTAGACGTTATTAAATTGTCAGGCATATGACATTCGATTTTCTCCATCCACTCGCAGATGTCTTGGGTGGAAATGTGGGCCTGGCTATCACGCAGGTGGTGAATCTCATCGGGACGTGTATGTGGGGCATGCAGCAGACAGCGGAATTGGAGAATCAAATGATATCTGTGGAGAGAGTGGTTCAGTATTCAAATTTGCCGTCTGAACCGCCACTTGAGACAGAGAAAAAGAACAAGCCAACGAAGGAGTGGCCCAGCAAAGGAGCTGTCGAGTTCAAGAATTTGTCCCTGAGATATTCCAACGAGGGCGAAGTCATTCTCAATAACTTCAACTTCTCAATCAAAGCAGGAGTGAGTAGACATGTGAAAATACTTTATGAATATTCGAGCTATGATTTAATAAATTTCGTTTTGTCCAGGAAAAAGTGGGAATCGTGGGACGAACAGGAGCGGGGAAGTCGTCAATGATCCAGGCACTCTTCCGACTGGCGCCCATTGAGGGACGCATCGAGATCGACGGCGTCGACACTCAAACTCTCGGCCTCCATGATCTGCGCAGCAAAATCTCCATCATCCCGCAGGATCCGATCCTGTTCTCGGGCACGCTTCGCTCGAACCTCGATCCCTTCGAGGAGCGCAAGGACGTCGACATCTGGAGTGCGCTGGACGGCGTGGAGCTGCGCGGGTCCGTGGCCGCTCTGGCCGGAGGCATCGACTGCCGCATGGCCGACGGAGGATCCAACTTCAGCATGGGCCAGAGGCAGCTGGTGTGCCTGGCCAGGGCCATTCTGCGCGACAATCGCATCCTCGTGCTGGACGAGGCGACGGCCAATGTGGATCCGGAGACGGACAGACTAATTCAGACGACAATTCGCAGCCGATTCGCCAACTGCACGGTGCTCACGATCGCCCACCGACTGCACACGGTGATGGACAGTGATCGCGTGCTGGTGATTGACGCAGGACGAGTCATGGAGTTCGGCACTCCGTTTGAGCTTCTCCAGCAACCGAGAGGGCATCTGAAATCGCTCGTGGAGCAAACAGGACCCGCGACGTCGGCATTGCTGACCCGTGTGGCTGAGGAGGCTTTTCTGAAGTCAAAGGAGAACTGAGCATAAGATCGTCAATGATGACATAATTTTTGGAAATTGTATCTCGAAAGAGATTAAAAAAAAAATAAAAAGAATTTATTTTCAACTTCACACAAAATGTCACATCAAGAACCAAATAAATGTAATTGTCACCTTTAAACCGCGTAGAAACCACTTCTTTTTACATACCTTGAATAAAAAGATTCTCATTTTAAGTATGTAAAGTAAATTGTTTTATTAAAAGTTCAAGTATAATTGTAAAGTGATACAGAAGTTATTTCATTGATGTCATCCATCTTTTATGTGAAGTGTGTGATTTATTTTTTTGCTAAGTTATAGAAATTCTAGCATAGAATTTGTCAGAATCAACACTACATTATTGGCTGCATTCATACTGTCAGAGAATTTTTACCATCATTTTCTTCAGTTTTTTTTCTGCTATCAGCTATTATAATATTTTAATTGATACTCTGTATGCTTGAGGAGTTACATTACTAATGTTCTATGCGACTAATTGAAATTGCCATAGCATTTATGACTCTGCTGTGAGGTTGTTTCTTGTTCTGTGTAGTTAAGTAATAGTTTTTATGCAATCTCTTCGCAAAACTCTATTAATTACCCCCTGGGCTTTGGAATTAGATTATTATTCAAGTTTGTGAAATGTGTTTTCTGCAAAAGTTATTCGGATTTTTCCATCGTAAAAATTGATTTGAGTCACAAATGTAAAGCAATTTTCACTCTCTTGTGCTTCCAATCCGGAGCAGAAAATTTCGCTACAAGCTCCGTCCCTAAAACATCTATGAAAAATTAATATTCGATACAAAGTATTAGTTCTTCATCTATTATATTTTGCTCTATTATATTTTGATTCCTTTTTGTATGTTGCGTATTATTTTTGTGTCTTTTTTTTATGATATTTAGAAGGAGAAGCAAGATTTCTTGCTACCTTTGGAGAAACATTTTTGCATTACATTAATAGAAATTTCACAATTGTTATTGTAGAAAAATTTTCACAGTTCAGCTTTTTATTCATAATTTTTTGAGCACACAACTAAAGCACGAAAAATTATTGGTAATTTTCCTCAACAACTTCCATTTTCTTCTTAATGTATGAAAGTGTGGAAAGAATGATTAATGAAACGACGAAAGCTAATTTGGGGCATAAAGTGCGTGTCAGAATGAAATGTAATGTATGTGTGAGTTATCATTTTCTGAGAATAATATTACACTACAATATTTGCCTTAACTCTAGTATCTTCTATTTTCATTACAATCTAATTTATTTTAATGAGTTTTGTAAAATAAGTCGTGCTTCATTCCAAATGTTCACTCCATTCTTGACATTTGTGTTCTCCACGATTTACCTCTCTGTCTTCATAGTGTCGAGAAAAAACAAGCTTCCAGAATTTCTGCCCGAGACTATAAAAGTTCATCTCTCTACGAATGCCTTTCTTAGCCATCTTTCCTTCAAACTTGCCAGTCCAACTTTGTTTTTAATGTGATCTTTTAAAATGCTTAATTTCCTTGGGATAATTTTAACTTTTCTATTGTGAAATACAATTCTAATATCTACTGAGGATTCTTGTGCTTCAATGCGAATAAATTTATGCGATTTGTTTGAGTGACAAACAAATGGGTTGGAATTATTTTATTCCGTGCTGTTGAACGAATTTAAATAGTTTGTGAGTTAATCCTTCTAAATAATTCCCTAACATTTTGAAACAATCTTTCACAAGCTTTTATTAATCTCTTATCGCTACAAATGATAAGTAATTGTATAGAATTTTATTGTGCTTCTATATATTGTAATTAATTACGGAAAAAATCTTACTCCCTAATTTTTCGTATATTTAATATCTCACTAATAAATTTAAAAAGTCTTATCTTAAGCTTCAGTATTATTATATTTTCTTTTATTAGTCAATTGTATAAAGTTCACTCAATGTTCTTTTCTACAGTTTTTAGCAAAGTTCTTGGTTTTTTTCCCTTGGAAAGTTTCTACACACTATAGTTGGAAATAATTAAAGTCGATAGATTCAGTATTTGTTAAAGTACAGTAAAATTTATAAGGAGGCCGCTCATCAAGTCCAAATGAATTGGACTTGTGTTTGACTTGAAGTCTTATCGAGTATGTCGATTTTTCTATATTTCTCTCATTTCGCATTTTTTTTCTCTTTTTTCATGCATCTGTTTCTTCTTTCCTTTCAGTTTTTGGTTGCACTGAAGTCTGGATAAGCTTTTAGAAAGTATTCGTGACTCACAGAAGCTTTCACAGAGCTTGGAATTGAAGGTGAGTTTTTGCAATCTCTGACTCCACTTCAAACACACGCCAGACTCACTATTGCATATTGCATCCTCAACTCTCTTTCCTCGTAACCCTTAAGGATATAATTTCACTTACACATAGTGTGACAAAGTTATGAAAAAATACCGCTTTTCTTATATTTAAGAAATTGTTCTTCATCTGTCCTTAAGATAATTGTATTATGTTCAGAGAGACAATCTTGGGTTGTTCTCGCTCTCTTTAAAGTAGTACTTCCGCTTAACGTCACAATATCACGAATAGTTTTTTTTTTTGGGGGCATAAATATTAAATATCTTTCACGTCACTTTCGTATCGCACTCAAAATGTACCATAACTAAATATTAATGATAGTAAATATGTATATGGGATGAGTAATGCTAAAATTTCTCTTGCATATGGCGTGTGTCCACTGAGCATGCACAATTTATTTTTCAATACATCCTGCAAAAGCGTGAGAAATGGACACGATTGGTAATCTTTTCATCACAAATCAAGCTTTACAATTATATTGAACTATATTTTTTAGTAAGTAAAATTGTCATCAATTTATTTATTCTCTTTTTTATATAATGATTGATTTTTCTTCTTTTTTTTTAAGTATTACACTTTCGTAAACTCTTCCACTTTAAGCAACATTTGTGTATAACTTCTCCATCGCATTTTATTTTTTAAATAAAAATTTTAATACGTATATTTAGAGTTCTCTCATCAAGGATTTTATTTGCACATTGTTTTATCCTCTTGTTAAAATTGTGTAGGAATAACACCGAGATTTATTTGTTTAAATTTGCGATATATTGCCATGTCAGTGCATTCATACGATAGAACAGTGACTTTTCTTAACCAATAGAGCACACTTGCCGTTCTTCACCTTGTATCATTTTAAGTAACAACATTTTTTTTTCTTTTGGAAAAATTTAATGCGACTATTTTATGGTCCCTATAAAGAATTGCAAAAGTTGAAAGTTCAAAGCTTCACCTTTTCTTTGTTAATTCTATCAATAGACTTTTTCTTGTATGATCTGTCTTTTCTCTATACAAGAACACTTTTACAAATACAGCTCCATATGAAAATCATTCTTGGAGGCATTTCAGAAGGAGAAAATAATATTCACATTCAAAGGTGTTTTCACTTGACAACACGAAACAAGTTCAAATATTCTTATTTATTCTTTTTATATGGTATTTTTTATATCATAGGAATTAGAGTAGCGGTTAAAGCTTTTATACGTTTTTTTTTTTAAGTTTAACAGTATTCTTTCTTTGCCTTTGGTATCTCTTCATCATACGTTTTTGTGCCATTGAACAATTTTACGCCGTTTTTACATTTCCGCTCAATGAAAATGCCTTTTTGGTTGATTATTTTCTTTTTTGGCTTTAGAAATCGCTTTATAATGCTTGTCTGTCTCCCAATTGTACAGAATTTGTCAGAGAGTTGAATTTATGCTATTTTTTTGTGCCAACAAATAAACTATTTATTCTTTTATTGTGCTCACATTGTTTTGGTATCATTGCTATCTTATGTCTTAATATCGCAAATATTTATTAGATTTTACTCTTCAGACAGAATAATAACTTAAAAATCCTATTTCACCATTTAATTTACACAGATAAAATCTTCTTTTTTTATCTCTCGAGCTTATCAATTCTCACGACTCTTGTCTGTGTGTGGTTGTGTGAGTTTCAATTGAAAAAGTATCTTTCGTATCAATCTTACGGGAGTGTTATGATCATAATATTTATCTATCGAAAATATTTATTTATGGGACACTTCGTATATTCATGCTTTCGGCTCTGTTATTTCGACTGTGACACTCTCCACAATGGATGGTGGCGTGTTGTTGGCAAGACGGGCTTGCACTTGACGCAGATCAGGATGTTGATTGTTGTGGGCGGCTGAAGCGGGAATATTGGTGGTGCTACGGTTAGACTTGGTGGACGTGGCCGAGGCGTTGCTGCTGCCACGTGAACCACGGCGGGAGCCTGGAAAAGCATGGCATTAGCCGATTAGCTGGAGAATCGTCCTTATTTACAGAGAGTCAGAGAGCATTTGCTGAGCTGAACCCTTTCACGACAAGTGCTAGTGCAATATGTACTTCTGTATTCTAAAACCAATACACTAAAGTCAATATTGAAATAGAAAATTATTCACTATATTGCTGAGGACAGAAATAGGCTTTGTCTCACTAATTAGAAGGAAGACTGTGTGGCACAATTCAGAAGCTAGTCGTCGTGAAAGGGTTGACATCACACAGAGATTTATTGTATACTATGTTATTGATCAAAACTAAACAGACACATTGTATGAAGTGTGGTTGAAATTCTTATTCCGGTGCAATTTAGAAACATGCAAAGCGCTTTAATGTGTCTATTTAACACGTTCAGTGGCAGAAGGATAGACGTGAAAATAATTAGGAAACATTACAATGAAATAAATTGAAAATGGTAGAGAAAGAGAGAGAGACTACAAAACATTTTGAGGTTGCATACGACTGGCGCAACCACTACATAAATTACTCTGCAGATAGATTTAATTTACTATCTAATTTTCCACGCTTTTTCCATAGTATACAGTTGAGTTGAAGACAGACTGCATAAGCGATGCTGTTCTGGAATGTTCTGAAGTTATCGATAATTTCAAGATTTCTAACACTCATTTTTTTTTCTCTAATTCTTGAATAAATACAGAGATAATTGCAATCAGTGTATGAACTTTCTAGAACAGCATCAGAAAGGTTTGAACACACTAAAAGGCTATATTGTCCAAGAGAAATTGCACACAGAAGAATTCTTTTCTATACACAGACAAATTTATATATACTCTTACGGGAGAACTTACTATTTGTGGACTTTGAAGAATTCGCTAAGATGAGAGATTTGACTGATATATATATTATGCGAAATAATGCATAAATATCAGACATAGCATAATGAAATTTTCTACTATAAGAAAGTGAAATATGCTTGAGATTAATCTCAACAATCATGTTGGAGAATCTCTCTCTTTAGATGGCATTTGATGGTCCTTTGTCCTTCTTTGTCTGATTGGTCTCTAACAAGTTTTAGTTCAATGCAATGCACCCAATGAAAATTCCACGGAAAATGGTCAGGATGAGTGGGAAGAAAAAGAAAGAAAAAATTTCCATTTAATAACAGACTCTGATTCGGCATGAAGCAAACTCTTGGCACGCAGGAGAGGGATTTTTTGCCCTTTAGCCTTTTTCAATTCTCGCCTGCATGTGAGGTCTGGGTGGGCGCCTTTGTTCAGGGAGTAAAGGAGGCGGCGGTGCTCAAGTGGCAGTGGCGGGAATACAAACCTTGCTTACCTAGAGATGCACTCGGTGAGTGAGGACGCAATGAGGCCATGCTGGGCTGGCGTGATGGCACCCTCACCGACATCCTGGAACCGCGTCTCTCCTGCCCATGCAATAGTTTGTTCTCACGCAACAGGGATACATTCATGAGGCGTGGATTCGGTGTATTGAAGATTGTGCGATTTTCACGCCAGCGAGCACTGCAAGGAAAAGCATAAGGTTTCCGTTTACACTCTCCATTACCTTTTCAACGGCTCAGATTTTTGTCATCGCGTCACAGTGAATGTATTTGCTTCACGTAACATGAATTTGAAGAGGGATAGCATAGACTTTATTTATTCATGATCGAGTTAAAGATTCAGCATTCCTCATGTGTGATTAAGGGTAATAACAGATGATTTTTCATACATTATCCTGCCACATAAATGATTTATTATTCTAAAATATTTCATCATTAATTTGAGAATTTTTGAGGTGCTTTATGAGACTGATAAAACAGTTGGTCGTGTGTCTCATATTGCGCAATATTAGTCGTCTGTAGACCTTCCTGGTTAATGATAAGGATGACGCCTACAATTCATACACATAATTAATCTACTATAGTACTGGAGGAAGAGTAATTTTACGCAAACTTACAAATCTAATCTAACGTTCAGTCGTGTTGCCATTGTAAGCATGTGTGGAAAGTTTAGCACGCCCATCAGCAGGTATATGAGATCTTAATCTCGATGCTGTTGACCTAGATTATGAATCTGGACATTCTTATGGCTGTGATTCTCAAATATTGTATTTGATGTTTTGGCTACGTCGGCGCAGCTTAATACATGGAATTCGTAGTAATTTACAATCATCTGTCTTTCCTTATGTGTGTCTCTCACAAATTAATCTTATCGCGTCCACACTACGCAAAAGCTCGTTTCTTTTCATATTTGCCCCCGTGGCTTGCTTTTGGAATTTCACAATAATTCTCAATCGCCTATTTGAGTGATCTGAGATGTGCGATGGCGCGATCCCAAGAATTTTTTGGCTTGGCACGCTTAGGATCCAATTGATCTCGCCAGAAAGCGGCCACGAGGCGTCCGAGAGACTGAATTTGGGGGGAAAATCAATGCGGGAAAGTGTCCCAATGTCTCGATATTGATCATTTTGCGTCAAAACTGGGGAATTGGCTGGCAACAGTGTGTGTGCAAAATAATCGATATGACTCGCGAACGTGACTTCGCCGGCAACGAGAGAATTTCTCCACCCAAAAAATACAGCCACCACATGAACGAAGCACACTGATATGAATATATCGCAAGATTACCGATGGTTGTGTGCCATGCGCTACTCAAGAGGGGATTTCTCTATTTAAGGGGCCACGAAAGCCAGCGTTCTCTCCCAGTTTATCGGACGCGAATCGCTTCAGCGGAGAGTACTTGACTCCTCAATTCAGTTTACAGTGAACAGCTGATCGGTCTGTGCGTTGAATTACAGTGCACGTGTCACTAGACAGAGGTTGAGTGAAGAGAGGACAAGTTTGCAGTGTCTATGCAGAAGAAATATATATTTTTGTGCTGAATATGCGATACAATCGCGTCTTTCTTCTGTGATTTCTTCCAAAGATCGCTTGACTTTTTCCGTCAAGTTTTTCTTTGTACCAACATTTTGTCCATCGAAGGCAACGATGTAAAGATAAAACTGTAAATTTTTCGCAAAAAGTGTGCTTAGTGATCAGGCTGTAATTAGATTTGGCTAAATTCAAGGTGCAAACCCAGAGAGAAGAGCTAGAAAAAGGTATACAAAGAAATCGCCAATTTCATGATGTAACATCCAATACATAGACTTTGGCAATGGATGAATTATTCTGCGTGTATGTTTTCAACTAAAAAGTGTGCAGAGAGAATTTTAGAGTTGTGTTTCCTCCCTATTCATTTGTGAACTCTCAACCTTTTTTCAATGAAACATAATTGCTAACGTCTCTGTTTGTGTAGTTGTTAAGACTTCCATACAGTCGCTCTTTATCCCTCACTCTGTAGTGTTGTGTCTGCATTTCAGTAAACTGCATATTTGCAGCGACTGAGGTCACTTCCAATCACATTATTCTGATTTTTACACCCATTTAGCGGCAATATTGAATCATTGATGTGTATTTACCTCCGATAGATTGGCCGAGACGACGGAACGAGTGGAATCCAGAGCAAAAAAGTGCCTCAAGGGAGACAAAGCAATTGATAATCTCATAGAAGAGCTACGCAGTGTGATATAGCTCATATCAGTTCAAGAGACTGCATAAAAAGTGTACTTCGGAGCCATCAGAGTGGAAAATCTGCACTGCAGGGTGTTTTTTTTTTGTAGCTTCTGTGTGTAGTTTTTAAAATAATCTCACGATGAACAAGGCAAATGCGACAACAAGGAAGAGGAATCCAGTTCGCGATGCCAACTTCCTGAGCAAAACTTTATTCTGGTGAGTAATATTTCACTCAATTCGTGGAAGCTTCAGTTTAATTTTATTAATCGTTGTGCCTAAATTCGAGCAATAATGACCAATTGGACTGAATAATCAATACCAATTTGAGAGAGTGTCAACTGTGTTAACTCACTTTGATATGAATGAGTGGGTAAAAAGTTATTTCTGTATGAATTATGGGGTATTTTTGAGTATTACACGCAAATGCGAGCCTGAAATAGGAGATTGAGAAGGATTTATTTCGAATAAACCTTTGCCTAAATAACTTTACACTGTAAATCATGCACATAAATTTGCTATATGTATTGGAAAGAAACGGAGTAACATATAATGCAATTAAATATGTGTAGTATCAGTATAAATATGCTTAATACCATTTGTGGTATTCTCCTGAATTTGCGGTTTTATAAATCAAATCAGAAAAATTTTGTATAACTAATGAAATATTTGAAGGTTTATCGATTATAAATGGATAAAGTACGAGTGAAAGCCTCAAAATGAAAGATTATCCTTGATATGAGCAAACTCACGAACGCCTGAGGCTGTCTGATTTCAGGGGAAAAGGGAAGTTTTCCTATGCTTTTGAAACATTCAAGCGATACTTGAAATTTCACAATATGACGAAATGAATTGTTTACCAAGTTGATTACATTTGCATTGTTATTGCAGGTACTTAAAAGACTTATTCCGAATAGGAAGTAAGCGATCTATAGAGGATGGTGATATTTATGAGACGCTGCATGAGCACAAGAGTGAGGGAATCACGCAGCTTTTCGAGAGGCTGTGGGCGGTGGAGTCGCAAAAGAAGTCCCCAACACTTCTGCGAATATACACTAAAGCCTATGGATGGTCAGTCATAGGACTGGGTTTCCTCTTTAGCATGTTAGAAACAGTGATGAGGTGAGATTTTTAAGAAATGTGTGACTGTGTCTTATGAAATGTTGATCATCCTTTGCTCTGTTCACAGAATTACACAGCCTCTGTGCCTAGGAGGTCTAGTGACGTACTTCTCGCCAGGAGATGAAATAGTATCCAAAACGGAAGCCTACATGTATGCATTGGGGATCATTATATCCTCTCTGATCCCAGTGCTTATCTTCCATCCCTTCATCCTATTCATCTTCCAGCAGGGCATGAAGATTCGCGTAGGAACTTGTGCTTTGATGTACGAGAAGGTGAGTGAGTGAAGCGACAGTTTTCCGTGTTTGGAGAATCTGCAATCGTAGTTGCAAATCAAACTGATAAGCATGCCGACGAACTCTCAAAGGCACATAATTTCATCATCTCTTATCTGTAGAGGGATAACATGAAGACATGATGCCAGATGATTTATTATTTGGCAATTTACCTTTCCTCTGTTCGTAAAGACATAATTAACTGATGTGTATCAATTGTGCATTCTTGGCAGGTGATGAGATTATCCAAGTCTGCAGTCTTTGATGGACTAAATGGACAAGTTATTAATCTCATGTCTAACGATGTGGGACGATTTGATATAGCGATGGCATTCATTCATGACCTGTGGAAGGGCCCAACAGAGGCAATACTACTAGGATACTTCATCTATAGGGAAATTGGCGTTTCCGGTGTCCTGGGAATGGCCTTCCTGCTGAGCTTCATTCCCCTCCAAGCGTATATTGGAAGGAAAGCAGCCACTTTCCGGCTAAAAACTGCCAAGAGGACAGATGTTCGGATACGATTTATGAATGAAATCATTCAGGGAATTCAGGTATCTCACTAATTAAATATATTTGAGCAGACGCTAATAAATATAGTTATACTTGGCAGGTGATAAAGATGTACGCGTGGGAAAAGTCATTCGCCTCTATGGTAGATAAAATAAGGAGAAAAGAGATAAATGCAATTCGAGGATCGGCTTACGTGAAAGCCACTTTCTACTGCTTTCCACTAATCTCCAAATTTGCCCTGTTCATTAGCCTTATGTCTTATATCTACTTCGGAAACATCTTCACTGCCCGTAAGGTGTTCATCGTGTCCTCCTTTTACAATATTCTCAACGAATCAATGGTGCACTTCTGGCCAATGGCCATCACCACATGTGCAGAGGCTTATATTTCAATCAAAAGAATTACGGAGTTCCTTATGAGACCCGAGGCAAAGGCGAAACCACAGGTAGAGCATGAGGAAGACAATGAAGCGGTTATTGTGAATGGAAAGACGGAGAAGGAAATTCAAATGAACGTAAAGAGGAAAATGCAGACACTCACGAAGCAGTTGAAGCTCAACGGCAAGCACGATGCTGAGCATCTCCTTCCGCCGCGCATAGACAATGAAGAGGCGGAAGTTAAGGGAGTGACTCTCAAGAATGTCACCGCTTTGTGGAGTAGTGAAAGTGAAGATGTGAGAAATGGGCTCAGTTCAGTGGAGCTGGAGGTGAAAGAGGATCGGATGTGTGCCGTTATCGGGCCCGTGGGCTCTGGAAAGACGACACTGTTGCAGACAATAATTGGGGAGCTGGAAATCGATGAGGGAACAATGGAAGTCAATGGGAGAGTGAGTTATGCTGCCCAAGAGCCGTGGCTTTTCGAAGGCAGCATCCGGCGGAATATTCTGTTCGTGGAGGAGTACGACGAGCAGCGCTATCATGAAGTGATAAAAGTGTGTGCCTTACAAAGGGACCTAGATATGTTTCCGCACGGAGATGCCACAATTGTGGGAGAGCGTGGTGTGAGTCTGAGCGGTGGACAGAAGGCGAGGGTGAGCTTGGCGAGAGCGATCTACAGGCGAGCGGACATCTATCTTCTGGATGATCCTCTCTCCGCTGTGGACACTCACGTGGGAAAGCACATCTTCGAGCGGTGCATTCGACGATTCCTGGCCGACAAGATCGTCATCCTGGTGACACACCAGCTGCAGTATCTCAAGGATATCAAGCACATTGTTCTCTTGAACGGCGGCAGGGTGGAGATGCAAGGATCTTACGATGAGATCCGACAGAGCAATCTTGAGTCCATTCTTTCTCTCGCTCCAGACGAGAGCCAAGAGCCACAAACACCCGTGGCGGAACAAAAGCTAAAAACCTTCCCATCTCAGGTGGATTTCAAAGGTCAGGATGACTCTGTTGTGGAGGAGGAGAAAGAGACTCAAGCCATTGGCTCTGTGAGCCTCAGTGTGTACAAGGCATACTTCAAAACGGTGGATAGCTTTTGCCTTATCCTCTTTGTCTTCGCTGTCTTTGTTCTTACTCAAGTCGCTATTAGTGGAACCGATTACTTCGTGGCTCAGTGGGTTAACTGGGAGGAATCTCTTGTGCAGAATCAAGTGCAAAATGAAAGCAATGCAACAGACATTCTAAGTACCATAATTGCAAATGTGACTGAACTGTCGGGAAATAGCACTGACGATGTGGCAGTTGTTCCCATATCTACAGAAGAGGAGTCCATGAGGCAGATGTTTATGATCATCTATGGTTCAATCATGGCGATATTGCTGTATTTAGTCATTCAGAGGAGCTTTTCCTTCTTCAGAATGTGCCTCACGGCATCCACAAAAATTCACGACCGCCTCTTTCGCGGCATCACGCGGGCCACGATGTGGTTCTTCAACAACAATCCCTCCGGAAGAATCCTCAATCGATTCTCTAAGGACATCGGTGGAATTGACACCAATTTGCCATCAAGACTCATCGACTGCATTATTGTGAGTACATTTTTCGTGGTGAAAAATTTGCATTAAGTAAACTTTCTCAGGCAAAAGCATGACGGATTAATTCAAGTATTTGTTGAAATACTTTTGACATTCAATAATTTCTCACCATCTAATTAACTCCTTGACACTTAAATGAGCATCTCATAGGAGCGTCTCAAAATTGAACAGCATAGTCATCAATCAAGTTTCTTTCTCTTGAAAATCAAGACAGGATTCTCATTGTTCAATTTATACCTTTTGTTAAATTTCCTGACAAAAAAGTCCGTCATTTTTCTCAGCACAATGCAAGAGTTTTTCCTCTCCTTCAAAGTTGTCTGGCACATTGTGCAAGAGTGCAGGAGAAAAGGAAGGGTGAATCGTATGAAAAATTACTTGAATACTTGCACTTCAGAGAAAAGTTTGTCTGATGTAATTAAACGATGGTCTCTTGCAGTTCTTCCTGGAGGTCTTCGCTGTGATGGTGGTGGTGGGTGTGGTGAACTTTTGGATGATAATCCCAACATTGGCAATTTCGATTCTATTGTATGTCATCAGGAGGGTTTACATCAACACGGGGAGAAGCATAAAGCGGCTCGAATCGATGAGTGAGTAATTGCAATCGCGATTTTCTTTCGGGAGTTGGAGTCAATTGAATGTGGTTCTATTGCTATTCTTTCAGCGCGCAGTCCAATTTTCTCACATGTGAATGCCACACTGCAGGGAATTTCGACCATTCGTGCCCTCAAGGCGCAATCCTATCTTCAGAGGGAATTTCATTTGCATCAAAATTTGAACTCTTCAGCATGGTTTATGTATATTACCACCACGAGATCCTTCGCATATTGGCTCGATATGGTCTGTGTGGCCTATATTGCCATAGTGACGCTGAGTTTTCTCTTTCTGGACAACAGTTAGTAGAAGTTTGCTGCCTTAATGATATAAATGTGTTATTGAAATGTAATTTATCCTCAGGTACTCTTGGTGGAAACGTCGGCTTGGCGATTATGCAAGTGAACTCCTTAATAGGAATGTGTCAGTGGGGAATGCGACAAACCGCAGAGTTGGAGAATGAGATGACTTCCGTGGAGCGCGTATTTGAATATGCAGATTTACCTTCAGAGCCGCCACTTGAGACAGCATCAAAGTATCGCCCTGTTGAAGGGTGGCCCAATAGAGGAACAATCTCCTTCAACAATCTCTCCTTGAGGTACTCCAGTGATAGCGAAAAAGTTCTCAAAGATCTCAACTTCTCAATCAATGCAGGGGTGAGTTGGGTAATAAGATAAACCTATGAATGTGAAATGATTTCAAGTATTTCTTGTAGGAAAAAGTGGGAATCGTGGGACGAACAGGAGCGGGGAAGTCGTCAATGATCCAGGCACTCTTCCGACTGGCGCCCATTGAGGGACGCATCGAGATCGACGGCGTCGACACTCAGACTCTCGGCCTCCATGATCTGCGCAGCAAAATCTCCATCATCCCGCAGGATCCGATCCTGTTCTCTGGCACGCTTCGCTCGAACCTCGATCCCTTCGAGGAGCGCAAGGACGTCGACATCTGGAGTGCGCTGGACGGCGTGGAGCTGCGCGGGTCCGTGGCCGCGCTGGCCGGAGGCATCGACTGCCGCATGGCCGACGGAGGATCCAACTTCAGCATGGGCCAGAGGCAGCTGGTGTGCCTGGCCAGGGCCATTCTGCGCGACAATCGCATCCTCGTGCTGGACGAGGCGACGGCCAATGTGGATCCGGAGACGGACAGACTAATTCAGACGACAATTCGCAGCCGATTCGCCAACTGCACGGTGCTCACGATCGCCCACCGACTGCACACGGTGATGGACAGTGATCGCGTGCTGGTGATTGACGCAGGACGAGTAATGGAGTTCGGCACTCCGTTTGAGCTTCTCCAGCAACCGAGAGGGCATCTGAAATCGCTCGTGGAGCAAACAGGACCCGCGACGTCGGCATTGCTGACCCGTGTGGCTGAGGAGGCTTTTCTGAAGTTACAAAATGACACGAAGATCGCCAAGTAATCTTCATGAAGAGTGAAGTGAAGGAACCCATCAGTATTGCTATCTCAAAATGCATCGCCAGTAGCTTAGATTGAAATTGTATTTTGGTGAAATTTTCAATTGAAATTTCATGCAATTTATGCTGGAGAATATAGAGTGTATTTTTTCTTGCAGAATAATTCCCCTTTCTTGCCCCAAGATAGTCGCCCAGTATGTGTTTAATCGTTATTCCCATAACGACTGAAAGCAATGTATAAATTTCAACTGTCCCTCATCGAAATCCTTCTTCTGTGTGGCTCCTCATTGAAGGTCTTGTGACAATATAATTCCAGTGCTCAACAAAGAACTTCTTGCGAGAGACATGGTGGAAATTGGGTTGAGAAGAACACCACAATTTCACGCTCAAAGTGACGTGATGTGCCATGGTCATGACCACACGATAATACTTAGGCTCTCAATTGAACAGTCTGTTTCTCACTCATGCTCCATGATAAAGTTTGGACTATATAGAGTCATATCATATAATGTGTATATATGGAATTGACAAGAGCTTCGCAAAATGCGGGGCAAAATGTTATGATACTAGCAACAGTTTCATGCTGTATTGAAATGCCTTTGATTGAATTTTCTACTAGTTTAAACTAGTAAATCTCTGTGTAGTTGATACATCTAATTACGGGTAATTTCTTTTTTATGTTCATATAATGTCCAAAAGTGTGAATTTCAACATGTGTGTGTTCTTTTTCCACCAAGAACACAAATTCTTGAACACAAATATCTGTGAATGCCGAACACACTTCTTGTCATAACAGTCCTAAATCCTTCTTGAGTCTCTCAAGTCGATCAAAGCAGTAAACGTCTTAATTTCTGCCAAGTGATGACTACCGAACATCTGCTGGGGATTTTCCCACACTTTTCCACTGTGATTTTAACGATCTTCTTCGAGATAGACTTGTATTTTTCGCCACCTCGTACTTGACCTTCCGCGGTGCGTCTTTGCGCGTGGCGCGAACTTCGGAGTGTGTGGATCCCACACCGAAATGCGCCTAATTTCGCACGTTTGAGCACAGGGACCGGAAATAAAAGTCATGGCTTATCAATTCGCTGTTGACTTGAATCTGTTGTCCTTGCGAAGTTTTTCTCTTGACACAATATTTGACTATTTTTTCCAACGATAATCCCATGCGGTGACACCCAGAACCGCTCTCAGCCGTTTTTCGAGCCACATTTTGATCATGTGTAAAATACAAGCACAATAAATGTGTCTTGATTGTGGCTCAAAGTACAGCAGAGCTTGAGATAGGGGAAAAGAGAGGCCAACAATCTTGAGCCGGCAGTTGCTTCTCAGCTTCGATCGCGAGTGGAGTGATTCTCAGTGGGAAGGGAAGATCAGCTGATTTCACAGCTCTTCGTCCTGCACTGTCTGGAAGTGCATACTGTTGCTGGATCTGCACTGGGTTCAGTGCTTTTGATCAGTTGTGTGTGGTGATCTTTCTACTGGTGCGTGATTGAGTAATAATTTTGTCAAGATGAGGCAGAAAAAACACGCTAAAAGTTCAATTTAGTGGAACGGTGATATTTTGTAGCTATTAGATGAATTTGCTAACTAGTCGCGAAACGCGAGATCTTTTGTGTGCTCCATCGCGGCAAATATTTATTCATCTTTATTTATTGTTGGAAACACTGACATCTTGAGATTATAGAACGAAGGGAATTAATCGGATTATTTGGTTTGCTCGGGGACCATTGACTTTGTCTGTGGCATTTCTTCGCTTTTCCCTCTGTCTCATTTCACTCAATGCCATTTTCACAAGTCTTTTTTCCCCTTTGTAGTATCTAAAGATATACATTCAATTTGTATACATACAATGTTCACAGTAAGTCTGTGTATGAAAGAGTGTGAAAAGCTTAATGTCTGCTGCTTTAAATGACAAGGCTTTTCTCCACAATTGCTCTATGTTTAAATTCACTTCCTTTCTTTTCATTAAAATATAAAACGTGGATGCTGGATTGTCGTGAGCACGTCTTGGCGACAAGCTATCGTTGATCCTATGTATTCAACAGCTGATTACTGTGTTTGACGAATCGAGAGTGAGAGTGTGAAAACAACCACGTGGTTCATTCAATGATATCATTCACTCAATACCGACGATATCAACACATTCTCTCGCCAATCGCTTAGCTTTTGATTAAAATGATTACAGAATGATGACATTCTTTTATCAATTGAACCAATTAATTCCAGGAAATAATCTCACAGTCTCAACCAGTTTGTTGCTCTCAGCAGAAGCTCTCCCTTTGTGGTCCCTCAATTGATTTGTTGACTCGCCTTACAATTTGCCTCAATTGAACTTGCGACTTAATCTTCCAGAATTCCCATTATCAAGTCCCCCAATTCCCAAAATAACCAATAAAAAGAGAGGCGTTTCACTTTAAACAATGACGACAATTCAAACTTATCAACTCTTTTTACAACCAATTGCTCTAATCAAACGAACATTTTTTTGCCATCCAATCAGCGCTGAAAATGAAAGTTTTTTCTCCGCAATTTAATATCGTTTCTGCTGGAAAATTAATAACGCTGTTGTCACAGCACAGATATTCGTAAAATGCTTATAAAGAGCGGCAAAGTGTTCAAGGTTGATGTGACTTAATTTTTCGCTGATTAATTTTGTGTGTTTTTGCAGAGTTGCACTGGTTGTAGATAAGAGATCACACACGTCCCAGTATGGTGTCGGAATTTCGTCAAGCAGTAATACTTCTGAGAAATAATTTTGCAATTTCTGAGATTTGCGCAAGAGAAGAGATAATGTAATCGACACAAGTCAACTTCAAATTCATTTTTCTTCTCATTAAGCGTTCATTTTCACATCAAAAACATTTTGTTCTACGTACGCTTTCAGCTCTGTATGCTCATCTCTGCGCAAGATTCACTACCTTTTATTTTGAGTTAAAAAAAAAACATACCGTGAACTTTCCGCGAATTGTGATTGACAATGGCATTGACCAGAGAGACGCGGAAAAAACGCGATATGGAGAGACCTCAAGATTCTGAGGTGAATTTTCGTGTGTATAAAAAAAAGCTGCGGATGAAAGGGTGACAAAGGGGAAAAATTTATGGCAATCATATCTCACGCTGAGCGATAAGGAAGCTCAGAAAGTGCGTTATGTGACACACAATTTTTGGCTAAAAATCCGAAAGAGAGAGATAGCGAGGGAAAGTGATAAAGTGTGTTGAGAAAGACCCAATGACTTACGCGCAACTTAAGTAGTTCAAGTTCACATTTCACCGTGAATAGACGCGGTTTTCGCCTTCGGCCCGCCGGCAATTGATTTTGAGGCTCGGGTTTGGCGGTGCGAGAAGGAAAATCCATCAAAGGCAAAAGTGTTTCCGTGTCGCCGTATTTTCTCTCTTTCTAATTTTCATAATAACATGGAGAGTGTGTATGGTAAAAGCTCTCCGTGTCTATTTTTGCCCCACGAACATCGGGTTAAGCAAATTTCATCCAATGATTCACACAATTCCCATTTAATTCTCAAACACAAACTCATTTCTTCGCGCACACGGAAAGTCTCTCGCCTTTTTTCCTTCACCAACAAAAGTAGAATATCGTAAAAGTCGACCATGTATTTTTTCTCATCCGGGAAAAAAAATGGAAAAATATTCTAATGACAATCCTCCGCTGCGTGCTCTTTATTTTATTTTAAAAGCGAGTCTTTTAGCGTTATTTTCTCGCCTCGAAAATTTGCATTTTTGAGCGTTGAATGGAAGGAAAAGTACTGAGTGTACTCCCAACGCTTTTTGTTGGTCGCCCTCATCGTGGCTAACATGAAATTTACGCCCACAGCTGATTCATAAAACTTCTCAACGAGTGGACACATTTTCTCCTCGCCACGCCAGGAAGCGAATGTTAATGTGAAAAGTGCGTGAAAGATGACAGTGGAAAATACTGCATGAATTGAACACATTTTTTTTATTAATTTACATTACCTCGCAAGTGGACTCGACTTTAAAGTGCATTTAGTGAGCAGGTTATATCACCATAAAGTGCTCTTGAAATAGACTGAAGCAATGATAAGATCAACAATTCAGTTGGTAAACAAAGGGAAGGGGCGGGAGAGGAATCCCGTGGAGACTGCCTCAATATTCTCCCTCCTGACATTCTGGTAAGTGAAATTTCTTTTTTTTTTCTAGCACACTTGCGTACCTCTGATAATGAACATGTCATTGAAGTAATTTTATGAACCAGTAGTAAATTCACGTTTTATATTGTGAATTCTGAATTACTGAAGTGTTTATACAAGCAAACAATATATTTTAGCACTAATCATTGCTGAATCACTATGGTATAAAATACTGATGATTTAACTATCTGAAAATTGTAAAATAACGGTGATACCAAATAGTGTAAAGAGTAGATTTGTGAGGCTATGCTAAACTGATTGACGTCAAATTGTCTAGGAAAAACAGTGTTTTGTATATTTGCTCTCTCTCTCTCATTTCAGTTGTAAGACAAAGATCAATAGTGAAACGTTAGCGTTTCTTTATCACTATCACAAAATAATTATTTCGAGTTTAACGTAAGATGATGATGATATTGAATGAATTATTTCAATGTACAAGTGCTCTTGTACTTCAATTTATTCATCAGCATGAAAGTTGCGCTGATAAATTTTTTGAGTTGTTATCGTGGAATGCGAGTCAAGTTCAATGGAACGATATCAATGACAGTGGAGTCAAATTGTCTCATTTTTCACTCTCAAAATGCCACTTATTCTCTTCCACTGATCAGCATTTCTCAAAAATGTGTCCCGAAAGTCATTCGTTATCAAATATTAAATTGCCACTTGTGAATTGAATTTCTATTTTTAAATTCATCATCTGAATAAATATTAGTTTCCCTATCATGAACTTATTGACTCCCAAATATCTATAAATATCTGTATATATGTAGGTATTGATGGAAATGCGTTGATGTCTTGTTAGGTGGCTGAAGAGCCTTTTCAAATTGGGCCTCAAGCGCCCCATCGACGAGGACGACATTTATGCCACACTCAAGAACCACAAAAGCTCTCTCTTGGAAGAGCAATTCACACGCCTGTGGTCGGATGAGCAGAAGAATAAGCACCCCCGTTTTCTCACTGTCATTCTCAAGTGTTTTGGCGCCAAGATATTTGGCTTTGGCATCATTTATACATCGTTGGACACGCTAATGCGGTGAGCAAATTATCACGTTGATATGGCGAAGTGTGCGTATGTGTGTGGAGAACTTGAGGAGTTTCTTATTAGTGTCTTCCAGCCACTTTGTCTGGGCGGTCTTGTGAGGTACTTTGCTCCTGGCCAGACTGAGATAACCCGCAACGAGGCATTCCACTACGCAGCCGGCATCGTTATCTGCTCCCTGGTGCCCGTCATCACGTTTCATCCCTTCATTCTGTACATCTTCCAGATCGGCATGAAGATCCGATTGGCATGTTGCGCTCTTATCTACAAAAAGTCCCTTCAGCTCACAAAGTCCGTGATGGAAGATGGCTTGAGTGGGCACGTGATCAATCTCATGTCCAATGATGTGGGCAAATTCGACACGGGCGTGAGTATGATTCACGATCTGTGGAAGGGACCAGTGGAGTTGATTGTACTTGGGAGTTTCATCTACATGGAGATTGGAGTGGCTGGACTTGTTGGTATCGCGGTGATGTTGAGTTTCATTCCATTGCAAATCTGGATTGGTCGTCGAGCAGCCACTTATCGTCTGCGCACGGCTAAGAGGACGGACAAGAGAGTTCGCTTCATGGACGAGATTATTCACGGAATTCAGGTCATCAAGATGTACACTTGGGAGAAGTCCTTCGCTAAGATCGTCGATACGATTCGTCGCAAGGAAATCCGAGCGATTCGAGGAACACTCTACATCAGAGGAACCTGCATTTCCTTCAATCTCATCTCACGCCTCTGCATCTTCCTCAGTATCGTCACATATGCTTACTTTGGAAACGTCACTGCCCGAAAAGTCTTTACTGTGACCTCATATTTCGGCTTCCTCTACAATTCAATGCTGCATTTCTGGTCGATTGCTCTCACCCAAGTGGCTGAGTGTCTCATCTCTGTGGCGCGCATTCAGGAGTTCCTCGAAAGCCCAGAAACCAAAACAGAACTGCTGCTCAACAATTATGAGCAGGAGGAGCAGGAACTCCTTGGGAACAAAATGAATGGAGTGACTCCCAATGACCATGTCGGCCGTCGACTGGCTAATGGAGAATTCGAGATCACAGAAATGCTTCAGAAGAAGAGAATACATCACAAGAGTGGTCTCAAGAAAGGCATTGTGTTTAAGCAAGCCTCAGCTTCTTGGTGTTTAGATGGGAAATCCAAGTCTATCGGTAAGGATAAGTTTCATTTGCACAGTCAGTTTCATATTTACTCCCTTTTATTCGTATCAGGATTCGTATAGATAGATAATAGGTGTAAATCTCTATATTCGTTATAGTCATCATGATCTGTTTACCATAACACTGTTCCTTATATCAATGTCAAGATTGGAATAAAAATATAATATACTCACGCAATAAAGATATGGAATGCTTTTTTCATGTTTTCATGCATAATATAATATCTTTCATACTAAATGAAGGTGTAAATTTAATAGTTACTCATATGCCATTAAAAGTTGAGTAGAATCGAGCAGTTTTGTCTCACAATTACTATAACTTGACGGTGTGAAATCTTTGCAGGAATCTGCGGAATTGACCTGACGGTGGAACCCAACAGTTTGTGTGCAGTCGTCGGACCTGTGGGCGCGGGAAAGTCCACTCTTCTACAGGTGATTCTCGGTGAACTTGAATTGGATGATGGACTTTTGACAGTCACAGGAAAGATTAGCTACGCATCCCAGGAACCTTGGCTCTTCGAGGGAAGTGTCCGAAGAAATATCCTCTTCGTGGACGAGTATGATGAGAGCAGGTCAGTTGGATTCTGTATATAATACTGTTTCTTGTGAAATGTATTGATAGGAGGAAATCCTTTTGATTCCAACAGATACAAGGCTGTCATTCGAGTGTGTGCGCTGGAGAAGGATTTGGCTATGCTCCCTTATGGCGATGCTACTATTGTGGGCGAACGAGGGATCAGTCTGAGTGGCGGCCAGAGGGCCAGAGTGAACTTGGCACGCGCCATCTACAAGAAGGCAGACATCTATCTCCTGGACGACCCTCTGTCCGCCGTGGACACACACGTGGGAAAGCACATCTTCGACAAATGCATCAAAGAATTCCTCAAGGTATTTGCAAATTGAATGGTATATTTAAAGTTAATAGCAAAATATTCCACTGGAGTCTAACCTTTTGCCACCGCCCCAAAATTACATCCATTCGACTCACGAAAATACACATGGCAAACAACAAAAAAGGATAAAGTTTGCGTGCTGGTGACGCATCAACTGCAGTATTTGAAGGACGTAAACCACGCTATTCTGATGAATGTGGGCCATATTGAGACTAGCGGTACATTTAAGGAGCTCAAGACCAGCAAGAGCTACAGTTTGCTGGCGAACGCCATCGAGGATGGGGCGAAGGAAGCCAAAGGCAAGACAGAGGCAGCAGATGACGAGGTAATGCTCTATTGGAATTGCGACGAGAGACGTACTTCCACAGATTATTATCAATTGTAGTATTTATGGTCGCTTTATTGCGACATTTGTTGTATGTTTTAAACTTGGCAAATGTTCACTTTTATATATATTATTTGATATAAATGGAATATTTAGTTTCAATAGTTTCTCCACTCTATGCTTAATGCCATTTGTTATAGTTGACATTTACTAGATAACCATATGCAACTAACGGTCGCACTCACTCATTGAGCTGTCTAAAAAGTTCCAAATATGGTCAAGGATATGTATATTTAATTTATCCGTTGTGTGCAAAGTTGGAGAAAGCTCAGAAATTATTTCTATGTGTCATAATCAATTAAGCTAAAGATAAATTCAAATATCAGAAGCAGAACGTTATTGAATTCCATGACAAATTTGCTCAAGTCCCCATTTGTTTGTATATGATTCAAGTAAAATGAGCTTTCCAACTTTGACTTGATTATATTTACAGAGCATTCTTCTAATGCCCTCCTATTTATCTTTCTCATTTTCGCTGTTGCAGAAGAAAAGCAAAACAAGCAGCAATTTAGCCCACCAACCGACAACATCCAAAGAATCTCAAGTAGTTGGAGCCATAGGATTTCGCACGTACAAGTCGTACTTCAAGTCTGTGGAAAGTTTTTGGACGGTTTCACTGGTATGCTTCCTGTTTGTAGCCGCTCAAGTGGCCATAAGTGGCGTCGATTACTTTGTGGCTAAATGGTGAGTTCTTTTATCCAATTACAGCGCATAAATCATTGATAAATCTTCCATTTTCTCTTAGGGTAAACTGGGAGGAATCTGTGTCATTCGAGAAATACCAGAGAAACGCCACAGACGGAAGCACAAGTCACGCTGGCGACGAAGAGGAATCCCGGAAGAGATTCATCTACACCTACGCCATTGCCATTATGGCGCTCCTGGGACTCACCCTGAGTCGCTCCTATTCATTCTTTCACATGTGCCTCAGGGCCTCGGTGAAGCTCCACGATAAGCTCTTCCGTGGCCTCACCAGGGCCAGGATGCTCTTCTTCAACACCAACCCATCGGGACGCATCCTGAATCGCTTCTCGAAGGATATTGGCTGCGTGGACGCACAATTACCTGTTGCCATGATGGATTGTATCCTGGTAATTATAGCTCCCAATGGCCAGTGACAGGCCAAAAAGTCCGCCCTCTATTGATGCTGACTAATGCCACTTTTTACCTCCACAGTTCTTCCTGGAGTTAATTGCCATCATCACACTGGTGGCGATTGTGAATTACTGGCTCCTCCTGCCAACATTCATAATGTCCCTCATGTTTTACCTCCTGCGGCACATTTACGTGAACACCGCGCGAAATATAAAGCGCGTGGAAGCTCTCAGTGAGTATCACTTCACCATCTAAATATCCTGTTTGTTTTCCCGCGTACGCAAAATCCATTCGAAAAGTTACCTCGTAAAAGTGGCAATTTAAACACGCGACACCGTACAAAACGGATATATGACCCCTACACTAATAGCTATGATTATGCGATCACATGAAATATTGCCGTACAGCCATAAAGTGTACTAACACTGATTTTTTGGGGACAAACAAATATTTGCTGGATTTTTTCCAAAAAATTAGATACACTGGCGTATATTTCAATCGTAAAAACGTCGTTCTGTTTATTTGGTTAAAATTTATATATTTTTTAATCTAAATAAACACTTATTTATTGTTTCATAATTTTTAGAGTTTTGTGAAATATTAGATTAATTTTCACTCCCAAAATATGTTCATGGTTTTAGAATGTTTTGCACGAACAAAACTTTCGCAAGTTGTCCTGAACATTGTCGCAAGTCACGTGAATTTATTTGACTCTGACTGTGACCGAAAACAATTTCGGCAAGCAATTAAGTTTCTCAGATTATTTGCTGGAAGACCAGCACAGAAATGTGATGAAGAAATCGATTCTGCAGAAGAACGTCGAGCGAGTCGATAAGCGCGTGACTATAATTATTGCGGTGAGTGTATGGTGTGCTGATTAAATTCTAACGAAGTCACCGAAGTGGAGCTTTCGTTTGCTACACTGTTAGAAATCGTGCCCCATCGCTGTTGGTCAGTGGCCGAGCGAGAGGCTTTCAGCCTTCGATAGCTCAGTTGGTAGAGCGGTGGACTGTAGTTGGGAGCCCCGAGCTCCAATGGTAATCCATAGGTCGCTGGTTCAAATCCGGCTCGAAGGAGAAGAGCTTTTTTTTTGCACGCTCACTGTTTTTCTTGCATTCTTCAGCACTTTCCATTGATTTTGAGCGATGCGACTGACTCCATTGTCCTCTTCTTTGCAGCTCGCAGTCCCGTGTTCTCCCACACGAACGCCACGTTGCAGGGCCTGGCCACAATTCGCGCCTTCAATGCCCAGCGAGTTCTGACAAATGAATTTGACTCGCATCAGGATCTCAATACATCGGCATGGTATCTCTATTTGGCAACAACCCGAGCTTTCGCCCTGTGGCTGGAGCTCGTGTGTGTTCTGTACATCACTTCCGTAACGATGAGCTTTCTCGTGCTCGGCAATGGTGAGTGGAATTTAATGGCATTGGACGTGACTCAACACAATACACGCTCTCATGCTAAATTTTATAGCACTATCGGGAATTTGCGGAGGAATGGGGGTCAGAAGTCACAGAGCTAGAGAAATTTCAGTGTGTGCGTGTGTGGGAAGTATTTTCAGCACTATTTTCCAAAACACTGCGCATAGATGATATTTATGCTCGCATTTATGTCACGAATTTTTCTCCGGAATTCATCCTCGCAAGTGCATCAGAATAATAATTGAATTTTATTGCAATTCACGCTCCCTGCATTATTGGATTTTATATCCTAAAATTCAAGGATATTGGGAAATAAATTGTACATAATGAATTGAAAATTTTCGTCGTAATTAGTTGAGAAAGTTAATTAAAATATAAAGTACGCTAAGCAAAATTTCATTACCTTTAGAAAATAGCTTGGAAAACAGTGACAGAAGCTTTTTGGAAGTTCTAAAACTAATATTCAGACAACTACTCTTACAAGTATCTTTATACTCTAATTTAAATATCACACAGCAATTTTTGGCTTAATTAAATGATATTCAACATGACAGCATGATTGCTGTCCATTTATATGCAATTTTCGGACATTCATTCTATCAATTTCAATGCCAAAATATCACTATAAAACTAATCTTTTGAAATTTTAAACAATTGTTTTTAAATATGCATAAGCTTTGCCGTTGTTTACAAAGCAACCAATTGGATTCTACATGGAGTAACTTTAATTGTGCAGTGAAATGAATTTTTAATCTCTTTCCCGAATGCTCTGCTGCTCTCGACGTCTGTCCCCGAATTGTCTGGCACTCCCATCCACCCATTTTGCATTTCATACCACAAATATATATATACAGATATGGCCATGGTGAGCAATGTTTAATTCTGAGTGTTGAACAATTTCTAGACGCTTTGGGAGGCAATGTGGGATTGGCAATCACACAAGTATTCAATCTTATCTTTATGTGCCAGTGGGGGATGCGTCAAACGGCGGAATTGGAAAATCAAATGACATCTGTGGAGAGGGTGGTTGAATATGCTGACCAACCGAGTGAGCCGGCGATGGAGACTGAGCCAAAATATCGACCACCGGTCGATTGGCCACACTCAGGTGGGCTCGCATTCACCAATTTCTCCCTCCGCTACACCCACGATGGAAAAAACGTGCTGAAGGATATCAATGTGTCGATTAGATCAAAGGTAGGCTATCATTTAGTCCTATAATCGTCCAATACTTCGCAATTTCCGCCGTCACGTTTTCCAGTCGATCCGCAATTCACGAACGCGGAATGTAAAAAGTGGATTCACCTTTTGTGAAATGCAAATTATATAGCAAGAATTCTAAGCGGAATATTTAATTCGGAGAAAATTTTTGCACTTGTTTTTTAGACAATGGAAAATGTGAGCTTCCAGGGGCAGAGAAAGTATGCAATTAAATGCAATTTAGTATGATAAAATGCATTTTCACAAAAACTATAATTTCCGTATGACACAAAGAAAATTCTTTCTATTTAATATAAAAGATTTTCACATTCTTTCTACTTCTTCTGAAAATTGTTCCTTTTCTTTTCTGAATCAGGAGAAAATTGGAATCGTTGGACGAACAGGTGCTGGAAAGTCTTCAATCATACAAGCCCTCTTTCGACTGGCTTTCAATGAGGGTTTAATAGAGATTGATGGAATAGATACCGAGACTCTCGGCTTACATGACCTACGAAGCAAAATCTCAATCATCCCACAGGACCCAATCCTGTTCACTGGCACACTTCGCCACAACCTTGATCCATTTGAGGAGAAGAGAGACGACGAGATATGGAGTGCTTTGGCACAAGTCGAGCTGAAGGAGGCTGTTTCGCACTTGCCACGCGGCTTAGACAGTAAAATGTCCGACGGAGGCTCAAACTTTAGTATGGGTCAAAGGCAACTAGTGTGCCTGGCCAGAGCCATCCTTCGCAATAATCGGATTCTGGTTCTAGATGAGGCGACTGCGAATGTGGACCCGGAAACCGACAGACTTATCCAGACCACAATTCGGGACAAATTCGCACAATGCACAGTATTAACCATTGCTCATCGCCTGCACACGGTCATGGATAGCGATCGTGTCCTTGTGGTGGATGCGGGACGTGTAGTGGAGTTTGGACACCCTTATGAACTTATCCAGAAATCCCAAGGGGGCTTCTTCAAGGCACTCGTGGACGAAACGGGCCCCACTACTTCAGTACAGTTGATAGAATTGGCGAAAAAGAGCTTCAATCGGGCGCAAATCACATTTTGATCACGCGGAGCAGATTTACACCCGCCAGCAACAATTGAGATTATTTTTCCGCTCGAAAAAGTCTTCATTTTTTTTATATTAAAATTGTATCACTCAATCATCCTCTTTTTTGTATATTTGACGTGAACTATAAATGGAATTTTCTGTGCGAGACTGTTTTTTGTGCTGCTTCTCAACGAGGAATAATAATGTGCAAATGGCAGAATTTTTTCCCACCAAATTCACCCCATTTGAGGAGCCCTTTGTCGCACGCTCTCGGGAGAATTGAAGGTAGACAGGCCAACAACTGTCGAATTGTAAATTAATTTGCTTTTATACATTATACAGCAGTGGCTTATTGCACCTCTGTGAGTGATTAAGGTTGGAGTTTTCATGAAATGTGTGAAATTATATGTGATCGAGACATGATAGCAATCTAACTTCAAAGGCAACTTTGAAAGTCTGCACTAAGCTAAATAATAGGGTAGAATTGTGTTGAGAAAACTTAAGGTAACCAAGAAACATTTCAGTTAAAGTGAAACATGCACACACAGAATGAATCATTTCTATAATATGAAGCATGAAATTTTCATTCCCTCCGCCTGACTGATTCTATGTTCTGTTTCCTGTTACCTTTTGGGAAGAACCTAACAAATTTCGTGTGGCTCACATTTGTATGATGTCATAAGTTGGATGAATTTCATTAAAATTACACACGCAATTAAACATTTATTGCCTACACTACATTCCCTGGTTAGCGCTTTTTCGGTGGAACAGAAAAGTTTGCATACCCCACTAATATTGTATGACGTCGACAGTGGTGAATTAATAACCGAGGACTTTTTTTCTTCTATGCCTCCTGACTATACTTTCGGCCACTTTTGCCGCACGCACATACATCCTGTGTACCGAAAAGTTTCGAGTCTGACCACAGGAAGGAATATTTCACAAAGTAGTGTAATATAAAATAAACTCACCGACTGAAGAGCCTGAGAACCACGCAAATAATGACGAACATGAGAGCCATGCCGACCAGCACTCCAATCATGGCGGGATCCACGTATGTCACAGGTTCAATTGGTTCATTCTTGCCTAGCATGTGTGTGAGGAGAAGAGGAAATGTTGATTTAGTGGGGGGTTGAATTTTTTTTCAGCTCATCGGCTTCACCTTTGCACTCAATACTTCCATCCTTGTTCACCACAGGACTCATCTCGAAGCGACAAATGCAGCGTCCATCGCGACACTCAGTCTGGAAGTTAAGGGCCTCGCACTGTTCATTGAAGAAGCAACTTTCGTTTATGGCAGCCTCTGGAAAATCGATAAAATCCCCACATCAGCACATCATAAGCGGAGTTAATTAAATTATCGTGTTGAGAGATTTTGCTGACATTATTAAAATTGTTTGTTATCTGAGCGCAATACCAATTTAATGTAAAATTAATAAACCTGGGGTAAATGAAATGCACTTCTGTAACATCCAAAACAGTATTACAATCCGGAAAACCATTATTACAAGTAATTTTCTGTCTCTCGTTTCAGTTGATTAACTAAACTTCTCTCATCGTCGAAAACAGGTGACAATATCACCAAAGTGAAGGTATAAAATTGCAGTAATCATACAACTTGTGCTGTGTGGTTATTAAGAGTTGACAACATGTTTTTTTCCACTAAACATAATGAGATTCATTTAAATTCCACGAAATTGCGTTGCGCGATAAATCTTTCATTTGCAATAATTTCCCTGTAACCCAACTGAGGTTTAGCATGGGAAACTTTATCAGAAATATGTTCTCTAGTGAATTTTAGATGTGCCAAAGTTTGCTTATTAGGTACACTGTGTTGTGTACTTTAGGTTTGTAAGTAATTAAATTATTCAAATTACCACTGGAAGGAATTTGTTGTATGCAAATTGTCTTGTAGTGTGAAATTGACAGAGAACATTTGGCTAAAAACCAATTTAGAAAGGAAATAAACAGGCAAAGGATGAAACTCTAAGAAATGTGGTTGCTGAAGAAAGAAGCTTTTTGTGGTAAAACCACAACCAAGTATAATGAAGCAAATTTTTGCTGATGTAACATGTTTACGATAATTAAATGCATGTATTGAAAAGGGTAAAACTCTGATGTATTTTCAAACAAAGGCATTATTTCTTCTTACTTAATTCTTTAACTTTTTTTACTTCAAATACTTGAACATGAAAGCTTCTCTTGTATTTGGTTGCTGAACTTTCTATTGTGCTTTGTGCAACATATCACGTCAATTCAAAAGATTTCCATCAAGTATTTATTTCACTCTAATTTACAACACGGTTTACTGGTACAGTTTTGTACCGCGAAGAGCAATTGAAGGGATATTGAAACTGAATGCAGAGTCAGTCGATGAACTTGTACATGTTGAATGGCTGTAGCATATGCATATTCATTGGGTTTCGGAGGATGGATATCGATTTATGTCTCAGCGGGGAATTTATGGGTATTTGCGGTGAATTCAGGCCAATTACAGGGGGTATGCTTTGCCACATTAAAACGCGTAAATTCTCGATTGAAATCTGGATGGAATTCCCCATTAAACACGACATTCAGGCCCGATGATGAATCTCGGACCCAGTGCGTTCCTGCTGATAAACCACATGCGATACTCTGGTTTATGGGCATACAATAAAGTGTTGTATAAAAGGGTTGATTGATTTTTTTCGCTGAATGCATTGCTAAATATTTTCTCTTGTATGCTTTCCATCCATTAATATCCGATACGATAATTAATTCTTGCTTTTAAATGTGTCACAGAAGTAACAATGAATATTACATGAAATCAATTGAATGCAAAAATGTGCGTGACAAATAATGATTTACATGAAAAATTGGGTTTCTCTGTGACGATAAAAAACCATCATACATTCAACATGATATTTCTCGTGTTACATGAAATTGAGTAATGTCACTGACATATACTTCTTTTTAATCAATTACAAGGCGAAAACTGTGAAAACCCTCTTCTCACCTTTTCCACATTTGTCTATGTGATTGGTGGCAGGTAGTTCGGGCACGCATTGGCATGATTTCTTCTTAGAGTCGCAGATGGAACCAGGAAAGCCACAATCATTTGTCACATCGCACTTGTCGCCAAACTTCCGATTTCCCCTGTTGGTGTAATCTGTAAGGAAAAGAAGGAAAGTGGTTTGTTTGAAGTGCTTACAAAACGAAACCAATTTTTCGACATGACATAAATTGAGTGGGTAAGAAATTTTCAGTACATTTTGATTCACAGTTCGCATCATTTTTTCGATTTGTGAGAATCAATACATCAAATTTTCAGGATGAGGCGATAAAATAGTAACCTCATTATTAGAGATCTCTTATATGTTGGTGAAAGTCCATTCATTTTTTTCCGAGAATCCTGGCATTACCACGAAAACAACATTCAAGATCAGTGAAGTGAGTTGATATTCTGTGGTTCTGTTATTCATATCTTCTCGCCAGAAGCCTCATTCTATCCTTAACACGGGGTGTTTTGGATCTTTACATAAAGTTTTCCCAAGTCATAAACTTCAGATCCAATTTACCCTCCAGAACACATGAGAATGTTCAGAAAAGAAGAAATCCACCTTCAGGCAAAATCTCTCGTGAGATATGAATGAAGTTGTTTCTGAAATCATGAATACACACAATTCTTTTCTCTCTCTCTCACCCTCCACCCATTCGCCATCTCCATTGCCCCTGAAGCCCAGATCCTCAGGGAAAGTTTCCTTACATGTGAAAGTAATAGTTTCATTTTCCATGGAGTGTGAGAAAATATTAATGACACCCGATGATTTATTGCATGCGGAATTCTTCATTAAATCCTCTCTAGCGTTCCTTTTCGGTGAAGGAGTAGTAAAAAAAAATCTATTAAAATCTTAATTTTTCCGCGCCGTTTCGTCTTTTATGCTGATGTGAAATATATATGAATTATGTGAGGCGCCATTCTAACAATGGAATTTCATAGACACTCGCTCACGATGGAAAACCATTGAAATTGGTGTGTGCGATGTATTAATAAATAATTCTGTATTTTCCTTCTACTGCTGAGGCATCACCAAACTCATCTTCACGCTTCGATACATAGAATAGCGACTAGTGAGGCTCCATGTCAGTGGCTGTCGATATAAATTGATGCGTCGACAATGAAATGATAATATTTAATGACATGATATTGAGTAATGAATATATTATGCACACTTTCGGATTAATGATTGTATCAAATAATGTATCTAATTCGTCATAGAAGACTAATTGTTATGGGTGAATTTACTAGTAGTCTGTGATTAATAACTATAGGCATTAATGCTAATTATAACAATGTACAATATGTATACGATGTATACAAATGATAATTTTTTACTTAGTTATGTTGTTGATTTATAGTAAAATTTGATACTCTTCAGATAAACGAAACCCCAACTATTTACCCGGATCACACATTCATCTGCCACTCTAGGAGACAATGAATTTGACAAGTTCACCCTGTGGGATATTTCGTCACGACTTCAGGGATATGGTGGGAAGCGGTATCAGCACGGCAAAAGTGATTATTACCACCGATGGTGATGTGAAAATCAAGATTGGCAGTTTGAGCCTTTCCAATTTGCATTTTGCACACACACTGTAGTTTTCAAGTAAATATCCTGCAAACGGCGATAAATTGTGCAAACACGGGATTATATGCTTGTTTGGCAGAAAATACCAATGTCTTGCGATACTTCTCGCACTACAAGAACATAAAGTAGGAACGATGGATCTCCAGTTTGGTGGAAAATGGTGTGTGTGCCATTGGCAAATATGTAATTAATGATTAATTTATGAAATTACTCCTTCAGAGGGTTTATTTATTCGTATTATAACACTTAGATTGGATCGTTTTTGGCAGAGGATGTGATACTGAAAAGTACTGGTCTTCCTGCAGAGGGTATAAAATACCCATTGAATATTTGATGTCATGAATTTGTATCATTGCTATTCTAGTCACATAAAGGGAGAAAATAAAAGATTAATTGAATTTTCATATTCATTTCTTTTGATGAACAAATTGATATGAATTTTTCAGAGAAATTCTTTTACGCTGTCAAAAGCTGCAATTATTTTTAGTTAGCTGCATATGCATTTTACATTCTCTTCTCAGTAGTCAATCAAGTGCAAAAATGTTTCGCTTTAAAGTCCTGAATAAATGATTTCTCCATGTACACAATACACTTTCTCCGCACGGCAGTGAACCCCGTGAGGCCCTTTTTTCCCGGCGCTCCAGCACTATGTACTGTGGCTTTTTCCCCAGTTCTAGGGGCCGATTTACTGGCGCCTCAATTCATTTTATGTTCAGTGTTCGCTTGAGTTTCCTCACATTTTCTTACTCTGTCGCTCAACTGCCTCGTCTTTTCTTAAACTTTGCCTCTCTGCTGTAGTATATTCATGCATGCTGAGAGAAAAGCCAGTGTGGTATGTTATAAATTCAACGCACAGACCATTGAGCGAGTCCAACCAGTGCGAGTTCATAAGTTCAACGCCACGGAAAAAGCTTCGACATGCAGAAGGGCAATACAAAGAGTGGGTGAGAAGAGCTCTGCTTCAAATTACACCATCCACTTCTCTTGATTTGTACACGGAGAATAACTCTGGCTGGAATTGTGCCACATTTGTCAGTTGGGTGGCCCTCCTCCAGGCCAAAAAGACACCCCGCCTTTGCGCCCGAGCTGTTCACTATATATACATTACTTCCCACATGTAAGCATTGTAATTTCAATTTAAACATCCCACAAATTCAACTTGCCTTACAACTTCATATTTATTTATAATTAAGCCTGGGCCTCGACTTCAACTTGAGCTTGCCGTGTGTAATCTTATCATTTGCGTATGGGGCTCTCTTATGCGGGTGTTCTTAGTTTCAAAAATTCACTCTCCGGCACCGCGCCCTGGGCGATAAATTACAAAGTTGACGGTACCTTTTCCCACCAGGCGCCTCCACTGGGGTCAAATTATCCGCGAACGGGAAGCAATTTGCAATAAATCATTGAGCATTTGCACTTTCGCTGCTTCCTTTCTTGTTTACCACTCAACGCGAAGGCCACGTAAGACAATGTGATATGTGTATTCTCTCACACAGCGCATCAGAAAACATGCGTGCAGTTTTGGCATGATTCCATTTTCGGTGGAAATACAGATACTCTTGTGACTGAATTTATTTAATTAAATTTAAATAAATGAACAATTTCAGCTCTGCACAAGAACATTTAATGCGAAACATCATATATTCATAAAATTCTTAAATGTAGAATAAAGATGAAGAACTGTTGTTAGCTTTCTTGTCCAGAGTTTCAAAGTCACCGCGTAACTTACTAAAGTGCGTGGGTGTTTCGAAAAACCACCATCCAATTGCAGATGCTATAAATATTGCTGACTCAACTCATAAAATTGCTCTCGCTTGGTCACATTATCGCTTCTTCATGTGGATTAATTCATTTCTGCACCTCCCTCTTTTGGGGTTCGTGTGCTTTTTGGCGCTCGTGGTCACACCATACATTCATCTAAATGATTCCATCGCGATATGGCCTGGTAATCAGGCGCCTCATGAAATTCATGTCGGAATGTATATTTCCCTCTTGAAATCGCATTCTCAAATGAAGTCCAGAACAGGTGAGAAGGTGAAAAATTTATTCAACATCACGTGGAGAAACATGAAATCTCTGATAAGGACTCAGTGAGAGCTGCTGAGTGATCTCATGACTATAAGATATGTGGAAATGTGTCTGAAAAGGAGTTCTACAATGACGGTTCACCGCAATTCTCCGCGAGCTTTTACTTCCCCTCTGACGTAGACTGCTGGAGAGACGGGGAGAAGTGCAAAAATACTGAAATATGGCACAATGCCAAGTTGAGCCATTATGCAGGGATACACGAGAAGCGAATCCGCACTCACCCTATAAATTCGCGGAAAGTTTAGATGACAGAGGGGAAAGTATGGCGACCGCATTGGCCACGGGATTATGAATGGCCATTCAGCAGGAAGCTAGTCAAAAATGCCACAAGGAGGCCCTCCAATAAGAGAACTGCGAAAAGGAAATCCTATGGTGGTGATCTTGAAATATTTATGCTTCACTAGGGTTTTGCATATTAAAATAATGGTCACGAGATAAGGTGCAAAAATTTTCACACCTCATCAATTTCTGTGAATTGGCAAAGCTTTTGCATTTATAAACTTACAAAAACTCCACAAGTAGGCATTGTAGGAAGCGAAATTCTGAAGAGAAAGGCACTCAAGATGCATGAAAATTGCCAGTGGATTGAGCTTGGCAGCAGCGGAAATTAATATCATGATAGGGAAATTTAAATGGAACCACCTTATGCAGTGGCTTCCGAAACAAAGAGACACCACCTTATCTGATGTCGAGTAAATTCTCTTGACTCGCCAAAAACTTATGAAAGCTCTGGAGGCGCTCCTAAAGCTTTTAAGCGCGCACTTAATGCATTTGATATGAATATTATTCGCTTTATAGCTCTATTGTCGCCTCTTGTCGATTTCCCATTAAACTTCTGGGAAAATGATTATGAATTGATATATTAGATTAGGGTATTTTGTGAAAATTTGATATTCTACTATCCAAAATAAAATAGAAACATGTACGAGAGACGATGCATCGCCTGAGGATGCACGATTCTAGATGATGTTTATTGATTTTCTCAAGAAAATAACATATCCAATTCTCCTCCAGAGCTCTCGCTGTTTCGCATGACAAAAACAGTGAATGTGTTAGACAAAGAAAACTGAGAAATAGTTTTATACAAAAATACTAAATCGTATTTCACATAGTTTCAAGTTACACCATTCTACAGTGGAGGAAAAATGTTATGTTTTCTTCAAATAATTGAATTTCGTCTCCATCTTCATTAAAGTGCATAGATGTACATATATCAAATATATAGAAATATTATTTTAAACACCCAAGAAAGGATGGAAGGCAGTTAAGTATGAGACTATTTTTACCGCAGAAAAGTTGTAAATGTTCTATAATGAACAATTTTGCAGAGAAACCATGGCAGAAACTTCACTTAATGAAGAGATATTAAAACACCCCTCGATTTTAGCACCGACATCACGTTATTAAATTCTCGAGATAATTTTTATAGAAAAACTTATGCATATTGAGTTCGCGTAGCATAAGCGACATGACCTCAATCTTCCAGACATTCGTTTCAAATATTTCTCCGCAATTATGTACATTTTATAGCACGAATGGTTTTATTGCGACTTCTGTGGCTATTCGGGAAATGTCTTCACTCACCAAACTCCGTTGTTGTGATTTCTGGTCCCAAGCTATATCCATTCAGAAGGTCCCCACCGTTGTCATTGTCCCCCTTGGCGCCGTCGATGGCCAGAAGGATGGCCAGGGAGGCGATCAGGAGGACACTGCGAAGGCGATCAGATGGGAATCTCATTGGTCTCGAGGGTGGTTGTGGCATAACATGCTGGGGTCGACTGGCGTTAAACTCGTGGGGCGTCGAAGCCCCAAAATTCCTCATACTGCCGTCTCCAAGTCCTCATCCATCACGCTGAACTCCAAAATGCTGAGTCTGCAAGGCAAATACATTCAATTCAATTACACATGAACTTTGGTTGACTTTTGTCATTGGCACTGTCATTAGGAGATTATTCTCTAATAACAAAGAGTTCAGTCGGACCGATTGGGCTTTAATTTGAGCTTTTGCCAGCGGAGGCGCCTGGTGGTTAGTGTTAATTTCGTAGAATTATCCATAGAATCAAGCAATTACACTCTCTCAAATGAAAAGTAAATGCAGTTTAAATGACTGTTCAGCGGCAGACAAAATTTCATTTGCAGTTGCCTTTCTGCTAAAGAGTTCTGTTCAATGTGGCGTCAGGGGCCCTAGATTGGATATGCTGATTTGGCCTATGATGGTGTTGACGTGTATTTACCCCACAATTATTTGGTCTCTTTAATAATTCACCCCCCCGAATGTTAAAATGACACAAAATCACGATACACCTATTAAAATTTCACATGCAGTTACACATTTAGTTTTCAAATTGATTTTCATTTTTGCAACGCAACACCAGCCTTCTGGTATAGTCAATATCCACCCTGTATTCTGCTTACATTCTGCCACCAAATCCTCATGTAACTCTGCATATTTTATAGTTTTTGCTGTAACATTTTCGCCCACACTTGAAATATGCAGTAGAAGTTACAAATTTATTCTTGTATGCATATTTCTGTTTCAGTTGTATGGTTTTTGAGTTTGCAACTCAATATTTGTACCACATCTTAAACTATTAAAGTATATAGTCATGGTTGCACTATTATTTATTATTTTATATTAAGAAAAAATAGATATATAGAACCAATTTGAAATTCTCAATGCAATCTTTATGCGGTTTGAAGAAACATTTCACAAATTATCGATTCGAACAGTTATTCTGCCTAACTAATGCAATCAAAACTAATGTGATTCAGCTCAATTTCAATGTATTTTGCAATATCTATCACAAAATATGCAAATTCCAATTTAAAAATTTAAATTCAAAATGCAGATTTAACGTGAAATAATTCGTTATTCTGACACTTATTAGCCTTTGTCAGAATGCACTAAATTCTATGAATACCAATGGTTCAATTTCCTGTCATATCGACCTCTTCCCACGTACATTTTCCTTTGCATAACCGACTCTTTGAACTGAGATTCAATGCAATCAAAATGATTTTCCTCTTCTCAAATTTCCACACAAGAAATCAACTTGAAGATTAATGGTATTCCAATAGAAGTGAACTCGAAATTGCCATTGTTTCCAGTGATTTATTGTGCTTTGATCACTTGTAAAGTTTCTGTGATATTTTTTAGGGAGCTTTCCCACTCTTTGATTTGTGGCCTGTTTCAGTTGGTAGAGTGTGACGTGATGAGAAATTTTGGCAAGAGTCATGCAGTAAATAGAAACACCAATCTGTTGATCCACCTTAATTATGATACAAACACGCTGAATGTCGAGCATGAGATGTCATTTCCATTCTGTGTGGAGGCATACAAATGCACATATATAACATGTGAGTGTTCACAGTGAAAATGAGTGGTTCTAAAATCACTAATCATGTTCTCTTAAACCCACACACAATCACTCAAGCTCTCACGATGGGATTCGGGACGGGATTGTGGAAAAAAAGCAATATATTTCGTGACTTCCGTTTCCTGTCCTCGCCATGTCTCGCAGGCCTTTTCTAAAAAGATAAACAATCCCTTAAGTTTATAGCGGTTGCTGAGTGTGTGAAAATCCCTGAAGAAAGCTTCTTGGGAATTTTCGAGACGATTGGCGTCGCTCAATAAATCTGAAATGGAATGATTGGGGCTGAAAATGGGTGAAAAGTTGATTATAAATGATTCTTCGTGAGAGCAGAGCGAATATGCTCTCCTCCGAGATGTCTTCTCTTACTTGACAAAAATTCAATTTAAGCTTGATGTCTTATTTCAGAGATGTGAATAAATGTGGGGAGAATTCAGGATAATATAGAGCTAACATACTGACTTGGATTGATTTCTTTGAAATTGAATAATAAAAGTTTAACAATGATTTGAAAAATAATAATTTTCACAGTATTTCAAAAAGAATTTCTTGTATAAATTATTTCCAGAGTTGAAAGAGATCATTTCCACGGGTTGTTTTTTTTATGTGAATATGAAGTCATTTATTTTATGGGAGTTCTTTCATCGATTTCGCATTGAGAACTTGAAGCTTTTGACGAAGCCTTTGAAAAGCAACATCCCTCGAGACACAGAAGAGAATTAGTTAGGGCGAATTGTGATATTTTGTGATATTTGTGAACTAGTCAAGAAGTTCATCTCAAGGGAATTTCTTGAGATATTCTCCCCAAGAGAGATTATAGTTTGCAAAAAATGTTTCCAATGAGTTCTGCTTATATTTACAAATATGGATATATCTTAAACGAATATGAAAATTATCTCAGTAAAAAATTTACATTAAATTCTCAAAAGCAATTTTCTTTATTCCCACCGTCACTTCACATCTCTTAAGCAAATCAGCCCTTGAATCAGCCCCAATTCTGTTGGAAAGTTTCTATTCCCAGCTTTTTTTCTTCACTGTGTAACGAAGACATTCAGTCTGGGGAGGGATAATTTGGACTAAAAACCTCATACGGTTATATGCAAATGATATTAAATTGAGTGCGGAGGAGTGTTTGCATGTCAAATTGATTTTTCCATTGATACGATAAAATTAATTCAGCGACAAGACATAACATTTAATTTTCCTTCCCTTAAAGCGGACACACTGAGTATACACATTTTCCTTCACCAGTGACTCAATGTTTATGCATTTTGAGCTGTTGAGGACACACAACAAAGGAAAGTGGAGTGCAGGGTGGGTAAATGTGGGTCGCTGAGAGAGTTTGCGGTCTCATTAATGTACATTACATATTATTTGAGTCGTGTTTTCGGTTAATCATCTTTGTGCACGTTTTGAAAAAGTTTTCCCTTGATTCAAGGTAACACTGTTATTTTTTCACCACACTAGGAGAAAAATCAGATAAATCCTTCGTCTTCTATTAATTGAGCAAATTCTTATGTGTAAAAGTACACCCCACCTTCATTTGGAACAACCCAAACACAAGCTATAGCTATTTATTTTCAAAATATGAATAGTGTATCACTGAATCAATAAAGCTGTATGAGCGCAAAAAATATATATCTGCATTTACTTAAACACAACTTTTCCTTTGTTTAGTTTGGCAATCACGAACATGCCGACAATGCCAGTGTGTGTTGGGGGCTTGGGGTGGGCCTCAAAAGTTCGTGGTTGGTATAAAATTTATGTGCGGTTCTGTAATTTCTTTCATCATATAAAATAATAGCAATTTTTGTCCCGTTACACACTAAATTCGTCACACTTTCCGTGATGAAATAACGTGAAATATACTTGACAAAATCGTCTCAAATAAAATGCTTTTAGCGTGGATAAATTCACCTTCTTGATGTTTTTCCAGGAATCCGACACTATATCACATTTTGGCGCTTCCATGTGGTCTTTCAGGGGGTGAGGCGATAAGTTGAGGTGGCAGCACAAACTGGGACTTTCATACAAACTTCAATCACTGAGTCACCACGCTTAGGTTTCTTTTCTGCCCACAAATACACGCAAAAAAAGTGTAATTTTCACTGGGAAACCACCGCGACTCCTCACATGGGGAGTCTCAGGTCAGGTGAAATGAGGACAGAACGGTGAATTTCTTCACACACAATCACCAACACTGCGAGCACTGATGGATTGGGGTGGATTTTCGCCTTTGTGTACTCTGCACCGATGCAGAGGAGCTTTTATTGCCGTTACACCGCGGCTTAATCTTCTCCAACGGAAAGATGGACTCACGCTTTGCGCGACGCAACACCAAACACTGAGGCGGAAGGAAACACCGAGGGGGAGACAAAGAGCACGGTTCCCGATCACATCCACCCCGCGAATCAGCTGTAATTCGGACCACCCTTTTTCTGGCCTCTCAGGTAGGGATCACTTGAGGGTGCCTCGCTGAGTGCCGCGCGCGTGTCTGTGGCAATCCGAGCAGTGGATGGAACTGTTCAGAGAGGCTCTCGATGTGGAGCACACAAGACACACTAGGCAAAAATACTGCAGAGAATTCGCCCGAAGCACGCAGGCGCCCTTTCCCACCCCGGCGTCGCCATGCCTCACACTTCGGCCCCAGTGGGGAGGGCGCATAAAGACTCACCAGTTGGGGTGCAAAGAACCCCATCGCCAGCCCCAATCCATCCACCTTACCTCATTTGCCATGCACTCTCGGGCCAAATAGCTCGGGTGGCCAGATCGCCCGTCCCTTTGATGAAATTCCGTGGAAAATTGCACAGTTCCATCGACAAGTCACAGAGACATATTTCACCCACTCCACAAATCTGAAAATCAGCACTCCAGCACGAAAGTCAAGGGTCACCGAATGCAACACCATTGCAAATCCATCACTGGCATTTCTATGCGCCCAATTCCGTATGCCGGCAACGTGAAGACGTGCGGCATAAGAAAGGCAGGGGAGGTGCGCCTAATTGATGGGGTGACCCACTTTGGGGGATGCAGTGATATGGATATTGTATCATCAACTATTGACATGTGGTGGCACGAGGAGAATTTGCATGCTGCGCGCAATATGTATTGTAGCCACGTCGAAACTTGCAAATTCCTTAGATCGTGTTAACTACCGCCTCAGAGATGAATTTATTCATACGGTGATGGAGATAGCGGCTCTCTTGGCAAGGAAACGAGAAGGATTGAAATAAGCGGCATATGGGCATATTTACACGGAGACAAGGGTTTTATCACAAACCTGAGTTGACTCTATGAAGAAGAGGAATATGAAATGAGAACATTTGTGAAGTTAATGCGACTGAAATGCTTCATAAAATATCCCATTTAGTTAAAATCTCCTCATTTATCCTGATAAACATCAATTCAAATGCAAAATAGAAAACAATTTCGAATCAATTGTGAATAATTACGCAAACATTAAATATTTGTGTGTGTGGTGAACAATCAGCACGAGAAATGAATTAATATATTTACCTATGTATTCTAATTATAGGTTTAAAACAAATAGCTAATAACAATCAAAAAATGTTATTACAGCTTAAAATTAAAACACATATTGTGTCAAATTTAATATGTTTTATCAAATTTATGCTCACAGTGCGGAAATGAAGTGAACTGTTGTGAAAATGTCAAAATAACACATTTTTTTCTTATAAGTTTATTCCTTTATTAATTTACCATTCATACAATATGTAAGATTAATCCTTCACTTTTTTACCACTTTCTGATGGTTATGAATAATTTTTTCTCATTGCATAATAAGAATCGTCAAAATGTCTCATTATACGTTTCACTTCTGAGATTGACTGAGACTTTTCCATTTATCTATCGAATAGCACGCGCGTGTTCTGCACTAAAACTCATTGGCGGAATCAATATGATGAAATATTGATGGAGAATTGGTTGATTTTTCACTAACCCTATATATGTAGATGTACACAAGTGCAATATATGTTGAGGAATGTAGATTTGAGGAAGGGAAAAGGTGTGCTTCAGAGGAACAGATTGGAGTGGGAGAAGAAAGAGATTGAAAAATTCGTACAGGCAATCCCTTCTTATATTTATTCCTTCTCTCAGTGAATTGAATTTCATTTGACGCCCACACATAGTGTGCAAAAAGGTAAGAGAAACGCATACAGAAAGAAAAAATGAGAAAATATTGGAGAGACGATAAAACAATTTCATTCACGCGCCCCCGTGTGCCTTTTCTTCCTCTGTAATATTCACAAGTTTGGCGTACATTTGTTGTAACAACTAGTGCTGGTAGACGGGAATTTGGGCGATGATGTCGGTCCAATATGTGCCATAATCCTTCACCACGGCCCCACTGAAAGCATACAAATGATACAAATGTAAAATTATAATAACCAGCGCGCGCAGTTCTTAAGCCTGGCAAGAGAGAGAGAGACACATATTAAGATATACAATTTCATAACACGCCCCACAAAGAGCCACTCATGAGGAGCATTGCGACACACCGAAAAAACGAGTATATTGCCAATATATCTACTCCTCACGAGCATATCGTTTTCCTCCACGAAACACACTGTCTAATTATCTTGAGGAATTGCCTCATGCAGTGTGAAATCCAGCGAGATTGATTCGCTGATAAGCAAATCAGAGGCAATCGGTGCTTTTTTGTTGACTTATTGGCCACATCAATGAAATTGGGCGTCGAGTTTATTCACCTTCGACGCCATCTGAAGTGCAGCGAATCGAATATCGGAGATTCTGTGGCAATTTCCACTGCCAAAAGCGCCAACAGAAGTGTGCTCCGAAGAAAGTGAAAGGTTAGCTTGTGGCTGTGTTACAGAATCGACAATGATTTTGAATTTCTCTACATTGCGTGATCATCGATTTTGCCGATGGATCATCGCTCTTACTTGTCTTTCACTCATCCTTATGTAATTGACTTTGAAAAGCAAATCTCGATCCGGAATATGCAACCGATAAAAGTAAAATTTGATGGTTTTTCCCCCAAAATACGATAAAATATCTGAACTTAACATGAGAAAATTCAGGAAATACTCATATGTTTATCTTCGTTACATAATAAATTAGTATTTAATTGTTGAACTTTTAAAATCTATGTTTTCCAAGTTTTTGCAAGATTGTGTTCAATGCAAAGAATAGATTGGAACAACAAATTCTTTAATAGCGATAATTGCTGGACAAATAGTAAATTTCCCGGGAATCTTTAATTGATGATCTTTTGTCTTGCACAATACCACAGCTGACATTCAAGCAATTTGCGCGTTTTTGCCATCGAAAATCGCGTGTGTTCAATATATGAAAGAACTGCCATGGTGGAAAAGTGGCTCATGGATTGCCAATTGAGGTGTTTGAGGTAGCAATTAAAATTCACGCTTTAACGTTTTTGGCGTCCGAAAGCCGACACAGAGTCTCTCACAGAAGCGCGCACGTTTTTATTGAGCCGGCTCTTTTGCAATTCGCGCGCGGCGAATGGCCAGAAAAGCGCCAAAGAGAGGGATTGGCGGCCAACTCGCGGTGCGACTGGTTGCCAGTGGGCTTATCTCGTTGAAAGTTTCATTGCATAAAGTGACACATTTGCGCTGCAACCGCACGAATTATGCTAATTCTCGGAGGGGCTGTAATTGAGAGCTTTCGACACTCACGTGAAGTAAACCTGTCCCTGCTTGTCGGCGGGCGCCTGCCAGATCAGAGTCGCCTGGACTTTGTCCTTCGGGTCGGCGTGCGTGATGGCACTGCACTCGGGAATGGTCTGCGTGTTGGCGCTCTGCTGCCACTCACCAATCCACTCATTCGTCTGGGCGTCGCGCGCTTGCAGGAAGAAGCCGCGGAACACATCTCCACCGGAAATGGTCACTGAGGGCAGATGAAACCGAAAAATTATTTAAATTTTTTAACACATTATCACTCTTAAAAACTTGCTAACGATTCCTCAGAGAAAACTTCCCAAAATTCACACAACACACTTTGCCAAGCGATTCAATTTAAGCTATATCGTGTTTCACTGGTAAAGTCCTTCGGAAAGTCTTCCTGCGTACCGTGGATGGTGTTTCCTGGTGCGTATGTGTTCGCACTGGCGACCACTTGATATGGAAGCGTGTGGATGGGCTGAGACGTGGTTTTTCCGTGATTTGGCCGATTATTCTTCACGCACGTGTCTGGCGGAGCGCCATCCGGCAGACCAATCGTCAGCGACACCACAAAAGACAACACCAAAACCACTTTCCTCATCATCTTGAGCGGAGCTTTCACTGGGGATTTTCTCTCGTTGTACTAAAGCGCTCAAGACAAATCACCAGGGCTTTTAAAGAGAAAACCCCTCTCTTGAGACACCTCCATATCCCACTCTCGCTGGCCAAAGCACGCGGCCGCGGCGAAAGAGTGGAATATTTTCAAAGTGGGAGACAATTATACAATATCAACATTTAATTTTGAGTTATATTCGAAGAAGTGGAATTTACATTTTAAAAATATTTACAGGTAATCAATACTAAAGTGTGCTGCAATATTTTCAACACTCAAGTTATTATCATATAAAAAAACAGGAATAATAAATTCGTCGAATTATTATATTTTGTGTGTGCAGTTTTCCATTTTTCTGAGTGCAATAAACAATTGAATTCAGCAACATTTCTTGTAGCGAAGACTCAAACCTGATTTGTCTCCGTGATTGCTGAATTTCCCCTTCCTCAGTTGCATAACCTCATTTCCATGCAGGAGAATTTTTCTTTGCATTTTCTGCCTCCATTCCCTGGAATAAAACGTGAAAGATGCTGAGATCTAGAGTGAAATACATCTCAATAATGGGTTTCCTGCCGGTGGCGTTTGAAAAGCAGGATGAAGTGAAAGAATCTAAAACCGCTAAGGATTTTCTCACCAGAACTGTGGAAGATGATACCGGGATGGATCGTCTCCGTACGATGTTTTCACTAGAGTAAGTAATTTTCCTAATGATTCCCGTGACTTTATTGATGATTTTCTATTGCCGGTTGTTTATCCAGCGCTGACGAATATATATCACCGGAACTACAGTCTATCAAGCAAGCCGGCCTCACAGGATTGTTCATTGGGGTTCTCTATGGGGGCTTCATTCGCTCCCGGAAGGCATATTTGGACTTCATGGAGAGGAATGATGCCACAAGTTTCACCTCACACTGGGACGCGAAGAAGCAGCTCCAGAACGAAGTGACCACAAATTTCGCCAAGGGCGCGTGGCGATGGGGTTGGCGACTGGGACTGTTCTCAACCACATACGTGTGAGTGTCCGGAAGGCATTGAGCACGAGTGTATTACTCTAGAAATACCCTTTTCCAGAGGCTTCATCACCATGTTTTCGGTCTACCGTGGGAAATCCACCATTTTTGAGTACTCACTGGCTGGACTCACCGCTGGCGCCCTTTACAAGATGAATCTCGGTCTTCGAGGGATGATGGCGGGAGGATTTGCGGGCTGTCTTCTTGGAACTGTGGGTGGCGTTGTGTCGCTGTCCATCCTGAAAGTCTCGGGCATGTCGATGGAGGAAGTCCGCTATTGGCAGCACAAATGGAAGGTGGACAGAGACACGAAGATCTCAAAAAACATCCCTGGACATATGAGTTCCGACAAAGATCTCTACATGGAAGCCCACATTGAACGCGTCGGCGGGGATGCTTCGAACCTGGATCATGTGGATGAGAAGCCCAAAGAAGCGAAGTGAAGCAGAAGGAAGGATGGAGAGATTAGCTAATAAACCAGAAACTCTTGGAAATTAGATATTTTCAAGTCATTTGTGTATTTGAAAATCTAGTATTCTGCCAAGAAAAAAAGAAGATTGAAGGAAGTTAAACGACCATCAGTCGTGGAGCGATATTCATCGCCATGAGCTCCTGAAACAGCAGTTTTGCGGCATACGGAAGTCTCACTTGGGAGATCTGAAAAGAAAAACATCAACTTTCAGCAACTTTTCCCTTAGATTGCGCCTAATTCACACATCTTACCTGTGTCTTGTTCTTGCATCCTTTGCACTCGAACGTGTTGTTCCGCAGATTAGCAATGGCAATCAAGCCACAGAAGTTGCACACGTGAATCCTGTAGGGATCTGACACCTCGAACAGCCTCTCGCGGAGGAACTGTGCCGCCCCGTGAGCAATCTGACAGTCACGCTCCATCTCTCCGAAACGAAGACCTCCGTCACGAGCTCTGCCCTCCATGGGCTGTCGCACGAGGATCTGCACGGGTCCACGGGCACGTGAGTGAATCTTGTCGTCCACCATGTGCTTCAGACGCTGATAGTAAGTCGGTCCCAGGAACACCTGGGCGTTGATCTTCCTGCCGGTGTGCCCATTGTACATCACCTCGTTGCCACGCAAGTGGTATCCGTACTCCTGGAGGAACGTGGAGATCTTCTGCACGTTCACGGCATCGTTGAAGGGTGTGGCATCGCCAATTTCACCCTTGTTGGAGCCCAACTTCCCCTGCAGACACTCAATCAAGTGCCCAATTGTCATACGGGATGGAATGGCGTGAGGATTGATGATGATATCAGGCGTAATTCCCTCACACGTGAACGGCATATCCTCCTGTCGATACTGAATACCACACGTTCCCTTCTGTCCATGCCTGGAGGCGAATTTGTCCCCAATCTGTGGGATTCTCACCGATCTCACGCGGATCTTGCAGAACTTGTAGCCTTCACTGTTGAGCGTCAGCATCACCTGATCCACAATTCCCGTTTCAGAGTTCCTCAAGAATGTCGAGGCGTCCCTCTTTCTGAACCTCTTTGTCGTCCCATCCAACTCATCGTCATTCTCTGGCAGCGTTATTGTCTTCCCAATCACCACATCGTCGCCAGACACACGAATTCCTGGCGCAATAATGCCATCATCATCCAATTTGTCATACAGAGCATTCCTCATGCCCTGACACGTCTGACGATTCGGCTTCTCAAACTGCTCCTCCTGATCGCCGATGCGTTTGTTCTCCGAATCCTTGTAAGAGCGATAGAAGACAGACCTGAAGAAGCCTCTCTCCACAGCGGACGCATTGAGGATGACACTGTCCTCCTGATTGTAGCCAGTGTAGCAGAGAATGGCCACGATTGAGTTGATACCAGCTGGTAACTCTCTGAAGCGCAAATACTCCATGGATCTCGTTGTCACGAGCGGTTTCATTGGGTAGTACAGCACGTGCGCCAGAGTGTCCATTCTCACGTGGAAGTTTGTAATGTAAACACCTTGAAAGACACAAAATCATTAGACAGCAAATCCAAGAAGTCAGCGGAAAAGACAACTTACCCATAGCTTGCTTCCCCATAGCGCTCTGATAGGTGTTCCTGGGACTCTGATTGTGATCCGGAAAAGGGATAATTGAGGCGCAAACACCCAGAATCATTGCCGGATGGATTTCACAGTGTGTATAGGTCGTGCAGTAAGCATTCTCCTTGTCCTGCTTGAGATCATACGGAGACATGGCGATCATAACTGTCTCCTCTTCCAATGTGTCAATATACTCCACCACTCCGCTGGCCACCAACACTTGCCAGCCATAGTTGTTGTACTCCCGCTCCTTCAGCATGTCCGTGTGTGTCTTCTTCAGCAGCAGGTTTCCATTCTCCACAATCAGCAGTGGCCGACAGATGCGTCCGGCATCTGTGTAGATTCGAATCTCTCTGTCACGAATGTCCCGAATCATGGACACCTCGGACACGATAATGTCCATCTGACGTCGGAGTTTTCTCAGAGTGGCCATCAGTTGCTCAGGATCACGATGGATTCCCACCCAGCAACCATTGACGAAGATCTTCGTGGCGTCCGCAATGGCAGACGGGGCGATCTCCTCAAGATTCTCCATTGACCACTCCTCCAAGAACTCAAGGATCGGCGATGGCTGTGATCCCACGGAAATGTACGCCATGAGGGCGAGATTCTTCACCAAACCCACAGCCGCCCCCTCGGGCGTCTCTGCCGGACAAATCATGCCCCAGAGAGTGTTGTGCAGCTGACGCGGCTTCGCCAATTTGCCATCGCGTCCAATGGGAGAATTGACACGACGCAAATGAGACAAAGTTGAGGCAAAAGTGAGTCTGTTGAGCACTTGAGACACTCCAGCACGCGCCTGATGTGCCTTCTTCTGATCACCCCAATTGCCCGTGGCCAGAGAATATCGCAGACCATCAGTGATGATCTTTGTCTTGATAGCCAACTCCAGATTGAAATCCTTCCCGCGATCGATGAACTTCTGAGCATACATTCTCACCTCCTTCATGAGATTCTTAAACAATCCCCTGAAGAGGAACGCCAGCAGAGGACCAGCCAAATCCAGGCGCTTGTTCCCATAGTGATCACGATCATCGAGCTCACGACGTCCCAGTGCGGCGAGAAGCAGTCGGTGCACCATGTAGCCGAGGAAGTAGGCCTTCTTCGTCTCACAGAAATCCGAGACGCCAACGTGTGGCAGCATTTCCTTCTGCAGAATCTCCTTGGCGTACTTTATACGCTTCTCCTTCGTCACACCCGGTCTGGCACCGCGGGCTCCAATGAAATTCAGTGCCACATTTTGCTCCTGAACCACGAAAGCCTCATCCAGCGAGGGCTTCACCATCTCCATCATCTCCGGATCGTCAAAGTCGTAGATGATGTGTTCCAAGATGTCACGATCTGCCACGAATCCCAGCGCTCTGAAGACTATCATGATCGGAATTTCCTGCTTAATGTACGGCAGAATGGCAATGATTCGCTGTCCAATCGCCGACTTCTTAATACTCTGTCCACCGCGAGCCATCATGTTCACCCAGAGCGTGGAAGTGGGCCGAGAACTGTGCTCCAGACACGATCGAATCTCAGCCTTGTACGCGTACTTGCCATCTTTCAAACTGAACACGTACACAGTGTTTGTGGCCATCTTCTCCTGGGCTATCAACACCTTCTCCGAGCCGTTGATGATGAAATATCCGCCAGGATCCAGAGGACATTCATTCAACTCTGTCAAGTCACGATCAGTCAGCTGACTGAGGAGACAATAAGTCGATCGCAACATAATGGGAATCTTTCCAATGAATGTCTTTTGGTGTTGCGTCTCGATGGGATCTTGGCCCTCGACGATCTTCGTCTTCGTGATGTCGACATAAAGTGGAGCAGAGTATGTCAGATTCCGGAGACGCGCCTCATTGGGCATCATGGGACTAGGAGAGCCGTCCTTCTCCCAGTGAGTTGGTTTCGACAGATAAATCTGGTCAAATTTGAGAAGGAAGCGAGGCTGGAAAAACAAGAAAAATCACTACAAAATCCCTCAATTTGCAACTTGTGACACTTACCGGAGTTTCAATTTCTCCGGACGTATGCTGAGCCTCAGCCTGAAGATCAATCGCTGGGGAATCTCCAACGATCCTCTGGACAGACATCTACAAAACCCCCAAAATAGCAATTGATCAAATATCGGTGAAATTACATTGCCAATCACTGAATTTTCCCGGGACGAACCTGAATGAATTCATCGAAGCTGTCGAGTTGCTGACGAACGAGACCTTTCTCATCGAAATATGCGTTGATCACAATCCAACAAGCTTCCTGCCACAACTCATGAGAAATTTCCTCCGCATCTTCCTCCTCGTATTGCTCTGAAACACCAGGAAAGTGGAAAATTGAAGTAGAGGCTTGATTTCAATGGAGGATTCAGTGACGCCACAATGCAAAATTTTAAAATCCATTTTTCATGCAATTACCGTCCTCGTTCTCAAACATTTCACTTTATTTCCTTTGCAGGCAATACAAGTGATCGATAGACACTAAAACTGTAGGTGAAAATGCACTTTTTCCACGTATTTCCACAATTTTTGGCAATTCCGTCTTTCGCCGACCACCAAAAACACGCGACTGACAGACGGCACAAAAAGTGACGGAGGGGAAAACCCGGTTCCGGAAATTCTGTCAGTGAAAGTGAAGTGAGGGAAGCCGATCAAAACATTGATAAAAACGCGCTTTTCTCCGCAATTTAGCATGAAAATAGACCTGAAAATTGTATGAGAGTGAAGAATAATTAATCCACAATGACATCCATTATAAAACTGCACACAATATCGGGGGCGATGGACGAATCTCCCCCATGTTATCTGCTGCAAGTGGATGAGGTTAGGATACTGCTTGATTGTGGCTGGGATGAGAAATTTGACCAGAAATTCATAAAGGAGATCAAGAGGTGAGCTCTAGGAGGCCGTTAGAGGCTCTTGAGGTGCTAATGAATTGCTTAATTGCAGATATGTCCACACAATCGACGCAGTTCTGCTGTCCTATCCGGATCCGCATCATCTGGGTGCTCTGCCCTACCTTGTGGGCAAGCTGGGACTCAATTGTCCCATCTACGCCACTATTCCAGTCTACAAGATGGGTCAGATGTTCATGTACGACCTCTACATGTCCCATTACAACATGTACGACTTCGATCTGTTCTCCCTGGACGACGTGGATACGACTTTTGATCGCATCATCCAGCTGAAGTACACACAGAGTGTGGCCATGAAGGGGAAAGGGTATGGCATCACCATAACACCTCTCCCGGCGGGTCACATGATCGGGGGCACAATTTGGAAGATTGTGAAGGTGGGCGAGGAAGATATTGTCTATGCGTGTGACTTCAATCACAAGAAAGAGAAGCATCTCAACGGATGCGAGATGGAGAAGCTCCAGCGTCCGTCGCTGTTCATCACGGATGCCTACAATGCGCGCTACCAGCAGGCCAGACCAAGAGCCAGAGATGAGAAACTCATGACCAACATTCTGCAGACTCTGAGGAATAATGGAAACGTGCTTCTCACCGTCGACACGGCTGGAAGAGTGCTGGAATTGGCCTACATGTTGGATCACTTGTGGAAAAATAAGGAATCTGGCCTTCTGGCTTACTCTCTGGCACTTCTCAACAACGTGAGTTACAACGTGGTGGAATTTGCAAAGTCCCAGATTGAGTGGATGAGTGACAAATTGATGAAGAACTTCGAGGGCGCTCGGAATAATCCCTTCCAATTCAGACACCTGAAGCTGTGTCACAATCTCACAGAGTTGGCGAGTGTGCCCAGCCCAAAAGTGGTCTTGGCCAGTTCCCCGGACATGGAGAGCGGATATTCGAGGGAGCTCTTTGTACAGTGGGCTGCCAATGCCAACAACAGCATAATCATCACGAGCAGAACGTCTCCGGGTACTCTGGCGCGTGATCTGATTGACAATGGCGGGAATGGGAGGAAGATTGAGTTGGATGTGTCGCGCCGAGTGGAGCTCGAGGGCACGGAACTGGAGGAGTTCCTCAGGACTCAGGGCGAGAAGACAAAGACGAAGCTAATACCGAATCGCGAATTGGATGAACTGAGCTCAGACTCGGAGGATGATCTTGAGATTGCCATAATCACGGGGAAGCATGATATCGTGATTCGTCCTGAAGGACGCTCGACGACGGGTTTCTTCAAGTCCAACAAGCGAATGCATGTGATGTTCCCATTCCACGAGGACAAGATCAAGTGTGACGACTACGGTGAGATCATTCAACTGGACGATTACAAGATCATCGACTCGGGAGCTGAGCCTGGTGAGGACAACAAGGAGAATATGCTGCACAAGTTGGATGATGTGAAGAAGGAGGAGAAGGACATTGAGGAGGTGATGGAGATTGAGAAGCCCACGAAGTGCATCAGCAGTCGCAAGTTGATTGAGATCAATGCCCAAATTCAGTTCATTGACTTTGAGGGCCGATCTGACGGGGAGTCTCTGCTGAAGATTCTCTCTCAACTGCGTCCCAGGCGAGTCATCATCGTGCGTGGTTCGCAGTCGAGCACAGAAATGATCTCGAACTACTGTGAGCAGAACATCAGTGCCAGAGTCTTCACGCCAAATCGCGGCGATGTCATCGATGCCACGACAGAGAGTCACATCTACCAGATCAAGCTGACCGAAGCTCTGGTCTCTCAGCTGTGCTTTCAGAAGGGAAAAGACGCCGAAGTCGCCTGGGTGGATGCTCAGATAAAGTGTCGCAACCAGCAAATTGATGCCCTCACCGAGTCAAATGACATGGAGATGGATGTGGAATTCCCCAACGAGGAGTCCAAAGTCCTCGCTCTGGAGCCAATGCGTCCTGAAGATATTCCCTCTCACGAGTCCGTCTTCATCAACGAACTGAAGTTGTCCGACTTCAAACAAGTCCTCATGAAGAATAACATCCCATCTGAGTTCTCCGGCGGCGTTTTGTGGTGCTGCAATGGCACTCTTGCTCTCAAAAGAGTAAGTATACTAAATTACTTCAAGAAAGTTTGTATAGTTATAAAAATGTTACATTATTTCAGTTGGATACTGGAAAGATGTCCATCGAAGGCGCGCTGTCGGAAGAATACTTCAAGATCCGTCAACTTCTGTATGAACAGTACGCTATACTATGAATCATGATAGGAACTTATTTCATGGCTGAACGAAGAATTATTTAACTGATAACGTAAAAAAAAATGTGAGATTTTTGGTCTAAATTTGTCGTGGATTCACTAACTCGAGAGCAATCATGCTCTCGCCAACATCGAAGCCATCAGCATCGATAAAAGTCATCCTGATCTCTGGATCAACAGATCTGCAAAGAGAGAAACTGCATTAGCCAGAGACAAGAGATGTGTGTTCATTGCCAGAGCGCACTCACATCACATTCATCGTGATCTTGTTCATATTCAGCTGAGTGCCGCCCATGAGTGCCTTCTGAAGATGCTTTGTGGCCGCCACGATTTTCCCCTCAATCGTGGCAATGTTAGCAATTCGCACGCGATGCGCAAAGAAGGGCGTGTGATCATACTCTGAGCACCACTTGCGCAAGTCATTCTTCGTCACCTCTGCCGTATTCCCGTAGTCCATGTAGCGCACGCGGTACTTCTGGCCAGCCGGGAAGTCCACCACTTGAGCCCTGTACCAGTGGCCATCGTAGAAGGCCGTCACGAGATCAAACTTGTTCAGTGTGTGATTGATGGGCTGCAGCGCATTCTCCTCCACAAGTCTGCTGATGTGATCATTGAGCAGAAACAGCTTCGGCACAGCGCCAATGGTGAAGTGGGCATAGCAGATCTCTGGATTCACCACACACGTGATGAATCCCTGGATCTCATCGCCCACTGTGGGCATTGTGGGACTTGCAATGGACATTCTGACCGTTTGGGTATCCTGAGTGATTCCATTCTCATCCAGCGGCAGATGCACTTTGCGACAATGCGCCCCCTTGAAGCAGCTCAGAGTCTTTGGGTCGAAGAACTGGCAGTAGTCTCTGTCGTCCCGCGGAACGAAGCCCATGACAGCCTTCAGGGCATTACTCGTCCCCGTCAACTCTTCCTCATCCTCATCGTCGTTGAACATGAAGTTCTCCTCAGCTTCATGTTTGAAGTCACAGCCATTATGCGGCACGCTTTTCATACTCGAAGATCCACTATTGCTGCTTCTGAAAGCAGGTGGAGGCAGTGGAAGTTCCGCAGACAAGTCAAAATCATTGGATGGCAGTAAAATATCACTGTCATCCAAAGCAGAGGGATTGTTTGTCTTCTCCGTCATCAAATTAATGCAGATGATATTGCTGAAAAACAGAGTGTATCTTAGAAAATACAAAGACATTAGAGACAATTTTCTCTTACTTCGTCACTTCAACGACTTTGAAATTGAAATGATCATCTGTCCTCAGTTTGTCTGACCATTCATCGAAGGGATAACCATCGACATTGAGTAGTTTGGCCACTCTGGCCTGAGCTGGAATGCTGCTGTAATTCCCAGAGAGCTTATAGAAAGGTCCCACGGTGTCGATTTTGTCGTACTGTCCAAAATCCACGAGGAAGATGTCAATTTTGTCATCTGAAAACTAAAGGAAAATATTACTGCTTCTGCAATGCTTACTATCTCATTCTTTTCCCTACTTTGCGGTTGTTATTCACACAAACAGCCCTGAAGAATGCCTTGTTTGCGATGTCATGGTAGCCGAAGATGGTATTCGAGGGTGGAATCCACTGATACTCGCCGTTCTTCAGGCATTCCTGCTCCAGACTGGAAAACATCTTCAGGTTCTCCGGAGAAACCACAGTCATGTTGATCAGTCCCTTGTTCTCATCCACAAACGATATGAGACACTTCCCTGCATCGCCCTCCTCAACTGCACCAACACAAAGATCGGAAGTTGTGAAATAAGAGATTGGATAGATCGGGAGATAAGAAAATGAAACTCACGAAGAATTTTGCTGAAGTTGAATTCTCTTGTCTGATAATCTTGCAGAGTATTCGATGGTTCGTTAATGATCTTGACTTCATTCACAGCTTTGTTGCAGTTTTCAGTCTCGTTGGCTTCGTTTTTAGTTGGCAAAACGCTGGTGAAGCAAATCAAAGAGCCGGCAGTATTGAAAGTCTTCACAACGTTCAGAATGCTGTTCAGGTCATTATACATCGCATTTGCATTGATGGAATTCACCAATGAATGGTCTTGATTTGTCCAATATTGGAACTGCAATATATGGGATCCAACATAATGCTATATCAATGGGTAATTGCAGTAAATTTCAGATTTTTACCAAAGAGTTGTAAGACTCGACAAGCCGCTGCATGTCGCGAAAAGCGACTTGGAGATTATCAATCATATCGCAGGTGTTCATGGCACTTGACTCTATATTAAGTCAATCTGCAAATCTCAACTGAGGCTCTGATCAAACAATATCACCGTGCCACTTGATTTTAGCGAAGATATCACAAATTTCTAAACAGAAGAGCACGCACCGACGCGTTATTTCTCGATCCACGCTTTGTTTTCGTTTGACAGTAGATTCGGAAGTCCGGAATCGGCATTGCGCGTCGATGAGAAAATCGATGAGATCACCATAACCTCAACACAGTTTTCCGAAAAGTGTGCAGGAAAAATGCTGAGGATTTTCACAAGGACTGCTGTTAGAGCTAATTTCCCCGCTGCGAGCGCACTTCACACGTCTTCCGTGGAATGGGCTGCGCGCAAAGGCACCCGAGAAAAGGCGAGGAAGAAGAAAGTGAAGGTGGAAGTGAAGAAAGTGGGTTTCATCCCGCACAATCAGAGGAAGAAGGACAAGTAAGAAGTTACCCTGTTTTCTCTCAGTATCCTGGGAATTTCACGTAATTTTCGTTCTTTCAGATTACCACAAAGCAAGATAAATAAGCACTACGATGATTTTTATCTGAAATTGCCGACTGACAATGTTTGGGTTAGTCGCTTCTACCGATGGAAGGTGTATCCGTTCCGGGAGGCTGTGGAGTGCCACCGGGAGACCCACCATCCGACAATGTACAATGTCCCAAATGCGCCACTCACAGTGCACATTGAACTGAATATGGTGGCGGAGAAGTCGACTCGGTTTTTGGAGAACTTCCATCGCATCGTTAAGATTGACCACAGCTTCGATCAAGGAGCCAATAGGCAGATTCTTGTCTTCACAAAGACCAGGGAAGATGCCAAGCAAGCCATGGAGGCTGGAGCCGATCACGCTGGTGGATCGGAACTGATCAAAGATGTGCAGAATGGAGAGATTCAGCTCAGTGACTACAATTATGTCCTGGCACATCCGGAAATTCTCCCTGAACTCGTGACTCTTCGAGGTCTAATGAAGAAAAAGTTCCCCAATCCAAAGTCTGGATCTCTTGGTGTGGATATTCCGGCGATGGTGCAACACTTCAAGAACGGAATTGAATATTCAGCTAAGAGAGATGAGAACCAGCTGGATTTTGCACTGATCACTTCCACCATAGGAACGGTGAGTGGATTTTCTTGAGAAAATATCCTCAGACCAAATTGATGATGCAAAGCTCTTTTACAGATCGACATGGACATTGATCATCTGGAGAAGAATCTAATCTGCCTGCTGAAAGATATCGACAGTGTACGACCGAAGAGAGATGGTAAATTCATCACGAAGGTTCTCCTGTTTTCCGCCCCATCTGCGGAGCGATTCAAAATCAATCCTTTCCTCTACATTGACGAAGTGCTTGAGAAATACGCCGCGAAAGAAGACACTGAGACAGAAGGAAAGGATGAAACAGAGGCTCAAGCAGTTCAATGAAGAGTTTCTCATATACTCTTCCGGCAATTTAGCAAATACATTTGCCTTCGGCGTGAAAGACACACTTCTGTCGCGATAATTGTCAATGGAACAGTAAATTGATTGTTGTAGGTAGATCAGAGAGTTGGTAATGTTTACAGAAGGCACATGGTAAAGTAGTATTTTTATGACTATGAATGTGGCGCATTTTAATTTCGTTGGCTCAACTGATAACCCCGCGCGACTTGAGATTTCGGTGAAGTGAGATGCTCTTCTGCCCGCTTAGTCCATATTTATGAGTGTCTTTAAAGAAGAAGAATATAACTCGCATCTCTCCATTCAGTTCCAATAACGTCGCGGTCTTTTGTGTTCTTCACGCACACATGCGAAAAGAGTGTTCTTATGGCGATTCACAAGGGGTAAATGCAAGGAATTATTGCGCATTACTAGAAGTGAGACACGCTGGCGAGGAAGGAGGGGGCATTTGAAAAGCCCGTTGCTATGGTTTTCCCCTGCTTGGAAGCCAACATGTGAAGAGGCAAGGCATTCGACGACTCGGAGTACAGGAGAAGTTTTATTCAGCACAGAGTGTTCTATTGATCCCACGGCTCTCCCTTGAATCCACTTTTGCTTGAGATGTACTTAATCAGAGCTCTCGCTCTTTCCTCATTCTCCTCAAATCCAGGTACTGATTCGCATCTCTTGTACCAATCCACCAAGTTCTTGTACTTGGCAACATTAGCACCAACAATCTGAGGCGGAATAGAAGGATTATATGATAATTCAATTGATAAATCTGATAAGTTTACCTTCAGTGAGGAAAAAGTGGACAAAAATGCAAAGTCAGCAATAGTGATTTCGTCGCCAGCGATGTACTTTTTGCCCTCAATGAAATTATTGAGGTGGTTCAGCAGAGTGTAAACCTTGTCCTTCTTATTCTGGGGAATTGTTGTCTCTCCACAGTAGATTCCAGTCTTGGGAAGAAGGTTTTAGTTATTCCGTGAACTTTGATTTCATCACATGATATACGAAAAACTTACAATAATATTCCCCAAGGCGTTCATAATGCTCGAATCCAGACTCAATCGAGAATCAATTAGGCCTCTCTTCTTGGGATCCAGCGGATAGAATGAACTGCCAGGAGCTCTTGAGTTGACCAAGTATGCCAAAATCGCACGAGACTCCCACATAATGTATCCGTCGTCGTCGATTGTTGGCAAGCAATGTTGAGGGTTAATTTTAAGGAATTCAGGTTTCAATTGCTCCTCCTTCGACAGATCCACCTGAATCTTCTCCACCTCAATCTTGAGATTCTCAATGGCAAAGAGAACTGCCCTATATGGTGGGCATGGAGGGTAGTAATACAACTTGAGAGGCGCCATGGCGAAACCACTTTTGTCAAAATTCTTCAAAAGACTGAGCGTGATTTATGTACCTTCTGGTTCTCTTAAGTCCTTATCAGATGATTTTCTGACTTGATAATTATGGTATTTAGTGAAGAGGGAATATAAAGGGTAGTCTTTATCAGGGTATGATTGTTATGTAAACTTCTGAGCTTATAGCGCTATCTTTGCAATCACTTTATCACCTCAAGCAATTAGATCTTATCATGCTTTATAGTTGAGACAACATTTTAATTGATCATTGGCCTTCAAGAATCCTTTAGAAAACCTTGTTAAAAAGTTTTTCTTTTCTGTTTCATCACAAAATGCGATTGTTGTACCTGAAATCGCTAGATGACGCGCCCCTGCGAGCGCGCGAACTCTGCAAGTCTTGTGCGACTCTCAGCTGAACAGCACAGTCAGTTGATATTAACAACGCTAGTGGAGAAGACAATTGCTGTCCACATAGGACTTCATTCATAGCTCCGCTGCACCGCGAGCAAGTTGCAATAGCGAAACATACTCTTGCCTTGCGCTCAAAGTGCGAGTTTCAGTGCCATTTGATCAGACGAGCGGGAATCTCCTGGTCGGAATTTCCACTTTCTCGGCGACTCTGTTATTGATTTCTTCGGCCGGAAAAGTGATGAATCACCAGAGGAGCGCGTTGTTGTACAAGGAAATCTGGCCAATAAAAGAGGTGCGTGCGCGTGTGAGTGGAATATATTAAAATGAAGCGCATTTGGCCGAAATGAATGGGAGTCTCAGGTGTTTCTCTGTGCCTCACATCTTCATGCCTCCTGACGAAGAGATGAAAAGTAGTTCAAGTGGCAATTTGGCGGCTAAAATTACGTGTGTGTGAAGAAAAATGTGATAATTTTCTTCATATTGCAAGTGGGTGCTAATCATTGAAGGCAGACAGTTATCGTTCACCTTCTCCTTCCTTCAGCAAAACTTTATTACATTTCCTCCAAATATTTCTTGCAAACTGGCTCTGAATGCCTCAAGGCGGTTCAACTTGGTGTCGCTCTCAATGACTGTCTACTGGATTATTAAGTGATCACTTGAACTTAACAATGATATAAAGCTCATTTCCCAATAAAATCTTTTTTTCTTCTTTCAGATAATTAGCACTTGAAGAAGCTTTTTATTTGCTATAGAGTAAACAAATCATGATCAAATAGACCGACTCATTTTCAGCACAAAGTGTTAAGATTTACTGCATCGAATCACGATTGCGATCTTTTCGCGAATCAATTACTTCATTTGTTCTGAAAGTCACACAGAGAAGAGGAATCAATCATGATTTCTGCTCGTCTGTTTGGTCTTTTCGTACATAATTGCTAATTGCATGCGAGAAATGAAAACTGCAATTAAACGATCAATCGAATTTGCTAATTGTAAACTTTGTACATGTCAAGATCGACCTTTTACATGACGAGAATTTTAAGCAACATTTTGCTTGCTGTTGTGAAATTTATTCATGTTTCAGCTCGACTGAAAATACACGGAAAACACTCTCTTGTTGAGCAACCAGTGACAAAACATATTTATAATCCACTCAAAAATCTTCCAATGTTTTCCCCAAAACAATATTCCAAATAAATTTCCCTCCTTCCGTGGCTAAATGTGTCACAAATTGCCTGAATGTCGAAGGGTGAATTGCAAAATCACCTGAAAATCAATTTTATTGCCTCAGTGATTTCACTCAAAACATGCTAAAATCTCTTGTGGGCAAAAACTCAACATTTCCAGAGAGCTCAAATTCACTTTTTGCCCAATTCCATTGTACATTGTGACCATTTTATTCTCCGATTTTGGCCTCTGGCGCACATTGTGCGTTTCACTAGAATAAAATTATTTAATGGATAATTAAAAAAAGATCGTAAACTATTTCCCTCGCCGAAGAAAATCTCCTCTCACGAGAGTGAATTTCGGTTTTAGCCATAAACTAAGTGGAGTGCTGTGAAGGGAGTTTGGTGAGAATTGGAGGCAATTGGCGTTTGCCATTCATTCATTCAGTATTTTTAGCCGTCTCATCAACTTCACGACGCTGCCCTGTCGCTAATTAATCAGTGAACATATGTGTCATATCTCTGGTTTAGGGATATTATTTAAGAGAAGATTAAATTAATTTTAACTCGTGTGGATTATTTGGAAGGAACGTGAGTTGGATGTTGATGGGATTTGGGTTATTCTGACACACATTCTTGCATTTATCACGGATGAAATCGAGTGTAAAGGTATAAAAAGGTATCAACTTAAAAATAGTCACATTAAAATGCTTTAGAAAAAAATAATAACATGACCTCAATCATATTTGTGGAATAATTTGTAATAGAACTTCTTTAGAAAACATTAAATAATGAGGTCGCAAAATTGGGAGTTATTGGACAAAATCATGTGATGTTTAAAAAATAGTAATAATTGCAACAACTTATACACACATTAATGACTTTACACTAAAGCACGTTCCTAGAAATTATCGATTAGTTTTATTCACAGAAATCCGTTTGCCGATGTCCATAAAATAGGGTGAAAGACTTCCAAAGACATTTCAAAAGGTCATAATTTTGTTAAATAAGTGCCACTGATGGAAGGAGGCCAGACACTTTTGGGAGAAAGCAATAAAAAGTCGAGCAAAAGAGTTCCTGTGTGTATCGTTTCTTCTCTCGTGTCTCACTAATTAAAATATTTATAATTTTACAATCATTAAATAGTCGTAATTTATGTTTGGTGGGTTTTTAAGCCACTATTTCTTCATAGCTGTGATTCAGTCACAAAAGAGAGAACCATGGAAAAAAAAACAGAGAGAAGATCGTTCTTGAAACCAACACAGATGGAGAATATTTAACAAGTACCAGAGTCATTTGCGTTTGACTTTTATCGGGTAAACAAGAGAGCGTGAATTAGGCCAGAATGCTGGGGAAACCGCAGAGACTGAATGGGCTGAAATGGGCCGAGAGTGGGTGATTGCGGATTCCTAAAGCCAGAGAGGCGCTGTCTGTCTCGTCTTGATTATAAAAGTGTTGTGTGGCATCAATTGTGCTTTAATTGCCCGCCTAATCGATCGCCTCTCTCTCTACTGGCCTTTTTCAGACATCACAAGACCACCAGGCAGAGTGCAAATTGCTCATCTAAGCCCAGATCCTGGACCATCGCAGCAGCACCCTGGATGATCTCAACAAATAAACTATGCGATAAATTTCAACGTAAACGCACCGCAAACTCTGGCAGTTAATTATCGTGAATTCTCCACTTGAAAATACATATTCGAAGGAATGGTGAAAATTTGCCAGACATTCTTCTCTGATTCAGTGCTTGAGAATTGAAGTGATATTGGGTGTTTCTCGATGCCTGCTTCGATGGAAGAGCGCCTGAGATGAGAAGGAAGAGGCAAGAGTGGATGAATTAAGTGAGGTGTGCCATAAGTGAATTTATCACAATGGAAATTTTGTGGAAATTCTTAGTGATTGCACAGTTGATGAGCACTATCTGGGGATACTTTGTGATGGAGGCCGAAGCGGAGAGTACAACTTCTCGTGTGACTGCAGATCCGAGAATGCCACACAAAATCACAGAATGTCCTCCTGGACACATTGGCGAGTGCCGAGAAGGATACGAGGAGTACTATCTGGAGCACAGCGTGAGCGAGAAGGATGCCAAGAAGAGCCTCAAGGAGTCAATCGAAGCGAGCGCTCAAAGTGAGTTAAAACCATTTTCGATCATTTTGCAGCTGTCTCAATTGAGCACACTTTGAGGCAATCAAATATGATGGTTTATCTTATCAATAGCCTATTTCTCTGGCTGTAAATGTGTAACGATCTCACAGTTGAGCAAATAATTTAGTTTAGTGTGCAATAATTCTCTAATCTCCCGCGTTTTCTTGACGCTTTTCCAGACCAAAGACCCGCATATTGTGGCGAATGCACGAGCGCCATTCGGAAGTACTGCTTGAGCTCTCATCTCCTCAGCGACCACTGTTGCTGTGATCTGCGACATGGCAAAGGTATGAGACAATCCCATGCTTCACAGTTAGGCATTTTCTCCTCGTTCAACAAACGAAGCATTTCCGGTGACTCCCAACAATTAGTTCCGGTGGCAAGAAGCCGTAGAAGACCCCAAGAGCATTCTTATGCAAATTCTTGTGCGAAACACACCCTCGTGTGCACTCCAATGTGGGCTAAATTTACTCTTTAATGGCTTCAGAAGAAGCGTTGGTAAAGAAGTTAGTGTGTGCTGATCGATAAACCGTATGAGTCAGTGCGCGGTTGAATTACTGGTATGACCAAGAACCCTCCTTTTACACATAATTAATTCCCTCACGAGAGCGACCATTAAAAAAAAATCATCGAAGCTATTGAAGCCTTTCATGTGAGAAAAGACTTCCTTGCACTCAATATAGTGAAGAAGAGGATAAATCAGATAAGTTTATTTATTCCATTGAGAGTCAGTTCATCGTAAGCAGATGTGCTTTGACTCATTCAAAGAAAAATAAGCAAGAGAGTATATGTATGTAACAAAGTCTAGAAATGATAGATATGCTTCTGCTAAAAGCCACAAAATCCATTCTTAATGATATTTTTATGATGTGTATGCTTTTCCACCAAATGAATGGGAATAAGACTCTTTTTTTCCCCATTTTCATTGTTGACATGAATATCGTGATCAGTTAATGTTTTAACTTCAGTGACATTTTGTCTGCAATTAAGTAATGTGAGTGGCGTTTTGCATTCCCCTCCGGCCGCAACATGAGCGGATTTAATGCAGCATTACATGAGAACAAAATGCCTGTTGAAAATCTCCAAAGAAAGATGCTGCACGCGATGGTCACATGGAATTTGCAGTTTCCCGCTAAAAGCACACGCAAAGGGCTAATCATTCTCTCAAATCTTGCTTATTTCGCTTTATCCAGATCACTAGTGAAGTGTTGATGCATTCTCAGTGGAAGAACTTCAATTCACTAAATTAATGTCCTCTCGAGAGATCGTTATTCACCTGAATGATAACAAAATTAAATTATTTTAGCTCCTTTCTGATCTTTGATTCAAACAAATAATGGAGTAAATTAATTCTGCACAAATATTTTAATTGAAAACACTTCTTGGTTTGAATACTTTTCTCTGCACCATTTTTTGTAATTGAATGAAAAAAATCCCAGAAGTAATAAAAATTCACATTCTGAGGAAGTTTCTGTTTTGTTAGAAAATTCTGAGGTTAAACGCATTGCTCTTGCTCCGCCCGTCTCTCGCCCACATGCAGAAAATGAAAACAAACAATTTCATAAAACTCTTGTCAATGGATCAGTGTTTAATTGGAGAGAAAAAAAAATCCCGGAGAAATTCCCTTTGTTAAAATACTTTTCCGCTCCGTGCGATTTCATTGTGGGAAATCTGACCATTCTGAATTTTCGGGGGTTTTCTCGGGGTTTTTGTTTAGCATTGAAACTCTGTATTTATCAAGGCATTTTATTATTTTTTGCAAGAGTTGAAACCACCAATTATCTATTGCAGTTTGATTGTATAAAGTCCAGTATATTGCCGGTGTGACTGGGCAAAGAAAGAAAACCGATACGGCGTTCATGGTCGATGTTATGAAATTGATCCGCCATCCGACATTTATGTGGTCTTATTCAGTCACACACGACTAATTTCAGTGCCATTTGTTTGGTGAACATTATAGTATGGGAAATTGTTTCTATCTTTCCAGTAATATATTGTATTCAAATTTTATTGATATACTTCAATTACATGTCGATTTTCATTAATGAAATGCTGTCGCAATGAATTTAATTCAATTTCTTTGCTCTACTGATTCTTTCTCTACAGAGGAACTTCCCTGGATTCCTCACTCGTGCTACATCGGTCAGAATGTGTGTAAATCATCTCTCGGATCGTGCCTAAGATATGCAGAATACAAAATTTGCTGCTGTGATCAACTATTAATTGAGCAATGTAAGCATAAACACAATTTGCAATAATTTCCCAACCAACGATAATCCAATTTTGTATGGTCGTTTCAGGGAAATCAATTTTCTCACCAGCACTGAAAGTGCAACCAACGCAGAATATTATTGTGATTCTATCCATTTACCTAATTGTTAGATATTTAGTGTAAAATGAATGTGTCTTGTTACCATATGAGTGTCAAAACTCGATGTATAGCGTCTGTGTGAAGCACCAAAAATTAAGTCAATATGCAAATAATATTAAAGACATTTTTAGAAACAACCAAATTCCACCTCGTTCGTGATCCACTTCTGTTTACTTTTGGAACAAAATTTATTTACTTGGGAGCTGCAGAGAATTCCATTCGTTTATTTTTCAGCGAAAATAGACTTGCGCCAGTGCAATTTTAAACCTTTCGAGATGAATTGCAATCAATCGATGCGAAACAGTATTATTGAAAATTCAACGGAACAATTACTGTTATTTTATAGTAAAACCTTGTTAAGACGTATTGGATCTCCTCTTCTTATGACGATCGACTGAGGACAAAGGTGAAATGATAGGATCTCATGTGAAAAAAGCTAATCATCTCTCACACTTGTTTGAGTGATTTTTATATGACTACCGTCAATTCTTGACAACAGGAGAGAGGAGATTATCGGTGTGCTGATAAGATTTGCCGGCTTGATTATTTTCTGCAAATGGAAACATATTGTATAGTCTTTCTTGCAAAAAATCGGCTTCAGAGTTCGCTTTTGGCAAGACACTCAGATGCACCCTTTGGACAGTGGCTTTAGGGGTTCTGGATATCACTGGGCACCAACACGTATCGCAGAACGCCACGAACACCATTGCACTCTTTGGCATGATCTATCAATTTACACCTTTGATAAGGGCAGTGGAAAGTGATTAATGAACCCATTGGGAGGTTGATAACACTCTTTTTCTGGCTATTTAAGGAGGAACTCTCCAGCTGAGTTCGCTTTTTGTTTGAGAGTTTGTTCCCGACCAGTGTCTTCGTCCGAGAGGTTCGTTTTGTGAGAAGTTCAGCGTCTGAAGAGTTGTGATTTCGAATAATCCATTGCAGAGTCCAAGATGTCCTTCAAGTCTGATGAAGTCTTTGAGAAAATCAAGGTTCGCATCACTAAGATCGATCCTGCCAATCGTCAAGTTGAGCACGTTTACAAATTCAACATCACCAAGGATGGAAAAGTTGCCAAGACCTGGAGTAAGTTGTCCTTTTTCACTGTGCACAAGATCTGCTTTTATCCAAACTTTGAACTTTCAGTTCTCGATCTGAAAAATGTGAAGCTCTTCCCGGGTGACTCACCCGATGTGGAGTGCACTCTCACAATGTCCGATGATGACTTCTATGCCATGGGAACTGGATCCCTTCCTGCCAAGGACGCCCTCGCCCAGGACAAACTCGACGTGGACGGAGACATTGAATTGGCCCTCAAGCTCTCTCCCTTCGTTTCCTCTCTGTAAATCGTTGCACAATTTAATTCATTCTAAATAAAGAAAAACGCGATAAAAGCCACCTCTGTTATTCACGAAACGACGGGGGGATTTCGCTGCTCCTCAGAAGGTCACCGCGAGAGAGTCAGTGTAATCTTATCAGGAGTCGCATGAGCTGGAGGCATTAGAGAGAAAAGTCCATTGCCTTTCTCAAAATAACCGTAAAACGGTGCCAATTCTGCAGATTATGTAATGGATTTTCGCATGGAAGAAAACTTTTCCCCCCAATGAACGGCAAAGGTTTTCATTATCACGAAGCGCTCAAAAGGTATATTGCAATAGTGATAAACCTGATAAACGGACTACGGAATATTGCCTGGTGGTATGCAATTTTACAGGAAATATGTATGTAATGTTTCGTGGGTGTTTCACTCATTTGAATATTCAAATGAGAATGGATGAAACATGGACATTTTAGTTAGGTGAATTAAACTTGAATGGAATAAAAACCTCGATCAGGTCAAATGAAATTAAATTAAAATGAAATTGCATAATTTGGAAATAAATGATCTTGTTTTCCAAAATGGTTAGCCGAGTGAGAAGAAATGGAAATGTTCAAGCCTAAATAAAAGAAAGGTAAGGAGAGAAAAAGAAGAGGTCATTAGCATAATTCTTTTACGAAATGTGCAAGCAAAATGAGACCACTGTTTCCTTTACTGGCCGCCCAAAGAGACACTCAGCTGAGCTGGAAGACGCTGAAGATCGCGGTTTAGTTAGTGTTTGGCACTCGTTGAGGTAACAACCCAAACTCGCGCATCCCGTTTCACACCTGAGACGCATTTCTCTGTGGTTGGTAAACTGAAATCTCTTGAAAAAAAATGATCAAAAAGTGGATCATCTTGGCTGTTTGTGTGAGTATTTTGGTTTCCAGCGTTTCTGGGCGAATTTTCAACTTCCGCCGAGGTGAGTTCTGCAAATCCCAAAGGAGAATTGTGAACAGTCCCAAGTGAATCATTGGTATTGTGTGAAACTTATGCAAATTGACATTCAAAGAGAAGAAATTCCTTTATGACCATCCCACGAATGCCCTCCTTTATCATTTATGGAGCGATTGTATTTGCAAAATTCCATAATATTATATGTGTTAATTTCGGCGATTTTGCTGGCAATATTGTGAACTTCTTCTATTTTTGGCTTTATAGTTATTGGATTGTTTCCCAAAGTAGAGGTCAAAGTAATGCCACGCTCTGCTGATTTCTGAACGCGACTCCATCGAGAACCAATTAAGAAATAAGAAACAGTGTCTTGCAATTGCTGGAAGTTCAATGAACTAGTAGAATTCTTGCTCGCGGTTTTACTTTTGACAAAGACACTCTGCGCGATCTTCAGTGGCTTTGTAACGGTTTGAGTAGCACACGAAACCAGAATCACTTTCGTGGTTTCTCTCGCAGCCAACATACATTTCTGAGAGATGTTTACCGGAATGCCGGTGACGTGCAAAATCTCACTTGTTCCTCTCTCTCCACATTGGCCACTCGGTGATGCCCATGCGAAATCCCCCGCGAGGCAGGAAGAGCGCGTGCCAGACTAGCCAACAGACTAATTGATCCTTCATTTGAAGACAAGTGCCCACTCTGTGACTCATCCGTTTACGGATACTGCTCAGACCGGCTCTTCCACGATGCCTGCTGCTGTGATAGACCAACTTATACCGGAGGATTAGGAGGTGAGTGGATCGAATTCTTTCCGGCAAACAACAGCCCAAGATTATTCGTTCATTATCAATTTCCCCGTGAGATTGTATCAAGCAAAAGACCTCAGAAAGCAACCTTGTTCTCATAATTTTCTTCCTTCCCCTCAGGTTACGGCGGATCGGGGATTTTTGGTGCTTCCTGCCTCTATACAGACTGCTCATTCCTGTATGCCAATTCGTGCTGGGAGCACGATGCCATAACAAATTGCTGCTGCAATCAATAAACTTCTTGCATTTTGGATCAAAATGAACACTTAGAGCATATATTTATTGGATCTTTCCCATGGTACAGAGGAAATTTCTGAGTCAATCTCGAGGGCGATGGTCGGCGGGATGTCATCTTACTTGTTGAGCTGCTCAATGAGAGCATTGGCCAGTGACTGATCTCCGATTACTTCAATTTTTTTCTGGGCAACAGCGTCTGGAACGGTGATCTGCTTTGTGCCAATGAGGAAGAACTCTTCATCTTCAACGTTGAGGGTGACATCGGGATTATCCACGGTGCCCTCATTCACGGTGAGGGCCTTCAAGTCCACAATCCACTTGTGCACTCCATCGGCAGCCTTGATGTTGAGCTGGAAGACACCGAGAACCTTCCTGGGTCCATTGGGATCCACTCCAGCCACGCGGGTCTTAATCCTTTCGATCACGGGGTCGGACTTCATCTTCACTGTTTCACTGGCACGAGCACTTCAGCACAAATTTCCCAATCGTCTGAGCTTCGAGTCCACCAGGCAGACTCTTAAATACATCCTCACTATCTACTTGGCTAGATAACACACCACCAGTGTTGCCAATCCGAGCGGTAATCCGACTAGCTTTAGTCTTTTGCCGGCTAATCTTGCAGCTTGGGACCAACGGGAGCATCGCTTATCCACGCCAGCTTAAGGGTCATGCGTCAAATCTCAGTCGTGTGATCTGCGATGGTCAGATAGAGGTGCAACGTGGACTTTCCTCGTCACACTTTTTCTGCCTTTGCTTGTCATTCTCTGCAGAATCCATCGAGTTCAATCTGGATATTGGTAATCTTTGTCTCCATGAGTAAGTACATTATATAGAAAATTCAGTCTTTCTTATCTTGGAAGTCGAACTGATTGACTTGTCCCTCTCTAGAAATCATTTCTTGTGTGCCCTTCAAATTAGTCACATGAAATTCATTGTCAATGTACGATTTTACAAATAAGATTTTTGTGTGTAAAGATGATAAGGGAAATTAGGTATATTTCCAATACATAAGTGAGGAAACAAGGATGACTGGGCATTAAAACATTACGTATAAAAGAAATTTTACTAAATGCACTAAAACAGCTCAACCAGATAATTTATTAATCTGCAACCCAAATCCATTTGATGATGCAATATTGCACAATTTATGCATACCTAAAAGGAAGAATAATATTAAATGCAACCCACGCCGCTGTATGTCGACTGAAGTAAAAAGCCTTTTGTGTATTCCTTGATTTTTTTTTATTTTTTTCATGATAATGTAATATAGACAATGTGATTTCAACTCTGGTATAATGTAATGTATAATTATAGTATGTCTCATTCATTACTTTTCCGTTTTAATTATCTCCTCTCAACCTTCGTGTTATCGTCAACCATCAACTTTTCATAATTTCTCGCTCTCAATTCTAGCCTTCTTCGGAGGGGTTACTACCATTTTCTTTTAACAAAAAAGAATTCCTAGATGATTTTTAAGTTTACCAATGAAGAATTATACGTGAAAACGATTTTAGAAATTAATTTCCCAAAACGAAATGTTATAGTGTGAATTTTGTACCAAAACAGGAATTTCTTTATCGTGCTTCTATAATGAAATTTTCACTTTCTCTCGAAATTGATCCACATTTTAAGGTTTATAACTTTGCCTTTTCACTTTGATGATAAGATTTGAATGGTGAAAACTCATTGTGATATTTCATACAATTTTCTATTCTATGTTCACTCTCATCGGCAAGCTCATGATTTATCCACTCACTTTCATTAATTTGTATTTTTTTTCCTAAGATTTTCATTCATCTCTTAGCGTCTTCATCACTCTTATCTGAGCACGTCTTTTTAATATATATTTCTTTATTGTTTTCATTCTTTAATATATCATATTCTAACTACAACAATGTAATGTATTTGGAAAAAAATATAATTTTAAATTTTTCTCTCAATTTTTTTTCATGTTGAATTCTATTTTTTTTTGTTTCTATGTGTTCAGCTTTAGATGTCCTTCTTTTTTTCTCACTTTTAATAATCTTCAATGGTAACAGAGTTTTTCAAAATCTTTGTTATACTCTTTATTTTTTCCTTCTTTAAAGATTACTTATATATATATTTGATAGACTCTTCTATTTTGTGTATGTTTCTTTAACATTTTGCAATTAATAAATATTTCTCATTTGTTTACTCCTCTTCTCATGTTTCGCATAATAACATCTCTTTTCTTTCAATGATGGAATGAAGCTGTGAATGTTTATATAAAGTTAATGTTATATTCTTTTTTTATGAAAATTATATACACACTTCTTCCATATCTATACCATTGTAATATTTCCAAATTCAATGAAGAAATCATTAAATTTTTGCAAAATGAGTTTGATTTGAAAGTTATCTTTTTCTCAATACACTCACGAGACATCAACAATAAATGGTTACTTTGGAGACCCTTTGAAGGGGTTCAGCTTCCACATTTTCCTTTCTTTTTTTTGCTTAGAAAGAAAAAAAAAACTAATAGATATTAACTTAAAATCTAAAAGAAGTGCAACCTTTAACACTCTTTTTTTCCCCTCTATAGCAAAACACAACGAAAGAGACCTAAAGTATAGTAGAGAAATTTTCATCTTAAAGGATAAAGAATCTTGAATAATTTGAAACTTAACGAAGTGTGAAGGAGTTGGAAAGAAAACAGAAAAATATAACTTCTACCACCAGAATAATATGACTTTTCCTGCACTCTGTGCATTTATTAAAAATTATTCTCTCCGCAGAGACAAACACAAAAGTTTCTCAATAAAATCTACCATTTTTCATCGCAAAACCACACGTTAACCACACACAGTAATTTTTCTCCGTAAATATTTTGTAATATTACATCTAAAATCTTTCATTTCATTAATTAGCTAAAATGACAATGAAAATATGGTTTCTCTGAAGAATATTTTTTTTATTTATCTTCACGTTAAAGTTTATTTACTTTCATTTCACTACCGATCTATACTTTTGAATTTTTTCTATTTGTGTGTTTTACAGATTTTTAAAAAATCGTTCTTCTGGTATTTTTTTTTATAAGTGATGGGATAAAATAGTCTAATATTGAGAAGAAGAAATGTGGATAATTATTTCGATCTTTTCTATTTTTCTTGTCTTCCTATTACAATTTGTAATTTTTTATTATTTATTTAGTATTAGTGTTATATTCCTTTTCACTAAATTGTATAATTTTCTCATTTCATTTGTGATTTTTTTTTCATTGTTAAATAGTGTTGGAGAAGGAGGAAAATATTGGTTTTGTTAAATGTTTTTCTCAAAATTAGTGAATTTTTCATCTATTTATCTCTTTTTTTATTTAATTCTTTCATCTAAATAACTTTTTTTTCATCTTTTCATGCATGTATGTGAGTGAATATCACAGAACATTCAAAATCTATTATATATTTTCTTTTATAGTTTTTTTTAACAATATATATGTATGTAGTTATATACATAATAACGATTTTTTCACTCTCCTAAGATTTCTCGATTTCAGTGAAAATCATTCAAGGACGCCGAATACACTGCGAGCAAGATGTAATCTGTGAATAATGCGACTCATTTTGCTCTCCACTGTATGCAGCATTGCGGCTCGTGCTTATCATGAAGCAAAAGCTTCATCGTAACAGAATCTCCAGTGTTGCTGCAGAACTCAATTAAAGTCTGCAATTAACACTTTTCACTGTTCCGTGACTTTTATTTTTATGTCGTTTTCTCAGTTAGATTTAGTAATTGAAAGATTACGTAGATTTTCAATTTCGTCCTTCAATCATGCTCTGCAATTTTCCATTTTTCCTATCAATTAGGCTTGCTGTGTTTCTCATTTATTTAAACTCTCTTATCGCGGAAGAGGTTTTGTCCAACATTATCCTATGCTGCGATTTCTTGGCCTTCTTTATGGAACGAAAACTTTTCTCTTTGCACTCTTATCAGCTAATTTTATGGTAGATTTATAATATGTGTGTGATTAATATTTATGCTATATTTCTATGTTTTTTTTTCTCCTCACTTGTTTTTTTAATAGTTATATAACGTGTTTTTTTCTCATACTTTTCATCTAAAGGTACATTTTTATTTGCACATCGGCCATTACTTGTTCTTCCACCATTTTTCTATGGTTTCTTCTAGTATTTTAATTTAATTGTAAGAATAAAAATTACCATACAGTAAGTATTCACCTCAGTTAATCATCGTCAAATATAATTTGTAATAAATATCTCTTTCATCATCAATTTCAATTGAAGGCATTTTATGTATTCAACTTTTTGAATCATCAGTTTTTCATCTCTACTGAAGTTTTGCTAAGTTATCAGATACAAAATGGATCTGAAATGAAGAGGTGAAGAAACATAATGTGTGACTTTTTTTTACGGTAAAAAGTTTCGTGGTAAATTATTACACGTAAAGTAAATGACGAAGATAAATGAGCTTTTGGCGATTCTCCTCTTTCACTCCTTTTTTGGACGGCACTGCAATCGAATACATGAGGAAGTGTAACATATTCACTCGATAAATCATCCTTTTCATCTTTATTGTTCTGGCAAATATGAATTTCTCTCAGGTGCGATAACGAAAAATATCGATTGTCTGCGCCAAATGAAACGTGCGTCTCGTCACTATTTTACCACTATCTCCACTATATAATATTTTTGGGGTGCATTATAAGAAATGAAGATTGAAAAATTTCCATAAAATGCCGAGTGTTGTAGTTTTTTTCTGCCCAAATTTCAATTTTTTCCCTCTCACTATCTACAGTAAACAATTGTATTCTTACAGAATTCTTAGTCCAGCCCACATTAAAGTACCAGTAATATATTCAATCTCCCTTTACGCTACTTTCCTATCTTTATCTATGTTTAGCATCTTTTGTCACCTAAATTAGCCATTGATTTACAGGGCACAGAATTGAAAATGCCTTTTATCATTTCGAAAGATTCCTTTCCCAATTGGAACTTGTACCATGAAATTGTTATTCATTTTTAATTACATGTTTTACCTTTATTTCTTTACTCAACAGTTCTTTTCTAGATTTTCTCAGCTCCCATCTTAAGAGAAATATCGGATTTCTACAGTGTCTGTCTAACAATATATTCATTAGAGTTAGGATTTGTTTTAAAGTACACTTTCCTAAAAAGTGCTATTAGTTCTTTTGAATTTTTTTGAACTGGAAATTGTTTTCTCTTTTTGCACCGAAGTTTTTTTTTATTTTATGACAAACAATTCAACTCTTGAGGAAACGTTGAATTTCATTAAATTATTGCAACATAAACAGAGTGAGACAAAGGAATATAACTATTAACAATCAGCCTTTGTCATAAATTGCTAGTTCAAAAAAACTCTCTTTCACGATTGTAGAAAACAGCTCAACAAAAGGATTCTGCTCAGAGCCATGAACTGAAGTGTAATTTTTCTTTTAGAGATTCCTCTTGGGATTCCTTCTGTTTGCTAAACGCTATGTAAACCCTATATATGTAAGTTTTCCGTCGATGTACTTTGAGCACTTCTGTGGAAAATTTGCATAAAAATCATCTCTTACAGCTGAGAGTCGTCAGAATACTCAAAAGTGTATGATTCTCCGGAAATATTTTCCTATCAGCAATCATTTCCTTACGACGATTGTGGAAGAATTAGGTTTTTCTCTCTTTCATTATGTCATCTTCTATTTATCATCTTTCAAGCTTGTATTTTTTTTCTTCTTATTAATCTATGACGAGAGTGATTTTTTTCCTCTATGTGCAAGCGAGAAAAATCTGCAAAAGGCTCTTCTATTGTAAATCGTATTACCCGGCAATGTATTTTCACCTGAATAGGCATGAAAAATGGCTCCACTGCAAATTGTCAACTAACAACTGTTCTATATCTAATGGCACTCATTTCAATAGAAGAAAAATGATCAACGATGAGACATTTCTTCTAAATTCATTGCATTGTGCAATGAATTTATACCCGGTTAAATTTATCATTTTATCGTTGAAATTCACTATTTTCACTTTCGCATTTCTTTATTTATCAATGAATTCATATATTTTTCAAATAATTCTCACAGTGAAAGGAATTTTGTGATTTTTAGTTATGAATTTTGATTTCATCTTTGTCACTTTTTATGCAAATTAACAGTTCATCATTGTAGATCCTTCTTTAGTGGCCTTTAATCGTAATTTATTAGAAAAACGTGATTTAACAATTAAGTCTAAAATAGCGAAACCCTGTTATATCTCTTAAAAGTCCCAACTCTTACTAATTATTATTATCTTAGCGTTTTCTCCTCTGTCCCAAATTAACCCACAATGTAATTCATTTCTCTCTTCTTCTACATATTTAACATAGGGTGTAAAAAAAAGTTCATTTAATGAAAAATGGTAACGATTGTGCATCAGCTATAAATCTGATGACGAAGTAAAAAGTTGCTCAATTCTCGCATATTTGATTGGCTGAATTAAAAACAATGGTTTTTTTTTGTTCTTCTTCAATCAAAACAACTGAAATCGACAAACTCATTGCGAAAAAACTTAATTATCCTTATTCCAGGCAATTAGGATCTTAAAAAAGACAAAATATAAACATTGCCACGTTTTTTATTTTCTTTTTTAAATCACTATATAAAACATTGTGTGATTTTAACAATTTGAACAGTGAATAAAAATGAAAATACATAATAACAAAAATAGTGAATTATCTCATGAAGATACCTCGTATCGTGAATTGTTTTGCAAAGGATAATGTTAACAAATCATAAACTATATATGTATATTATGTAAACCCTAAATGACGAATTCTTTTTCACTCTCTATCATTAAAAAAAAAATGTAGAAGTAATATGAAATATTTACAACCACTGTACTAAATAAAAGACTAACAAAAAAATATATTCCTTCTCTGTAACGCCCCTAAAACATTCTCTCTTAAACCTGCCTTAAAAATAAACATCTTCAGTGTTTAATAGTCAATTATAAAATTCTGGTAATTTTTAGGGCTTCCCATTCTATAACTCGCGCTCTCGTTCTATCACTCTCACGTCAACTATATATGACAATAAAAATAATAATAACAATTATCAACAGCACTGTTTCGTCTTTTTAATCTATTTAAATAGTCCTTATTCAACGACAAATTTATTATCTATTGAAAAATATAAGTTATTCTCTTTGTATAAAGTCTTCCTCCCACTAATTTAAATGTGAGAATGGGCATTTCTTACGTTTCTCTTTGTTTTGCTTTTCACATTTTAAAAAAATATCAGCATTATGTGATTCTCTGACAGATGATTTACTTGACTGAATTGATTTGCTCTGCATGCAAGTAACAAATTAATAAGGTACTCTCGTTCAATGGTAGGGAGGGCATTGAGTGAAGAATAAATAAATTTTTTTTATGGAATTTGTGAGCAAGTGTCTGCGAAAATGATTCTAATTTGCCGTCTCAACTAACTGAAGAGTCTTTCTTTTTTGGTATTTATCCGTGTATCGATAAAATGATGTTAGACTTGTCGTGAAATTTGTAATGTACAACAGACTGAAGAAGATTCTTGTCTTATTATTACTTTTATTGCATAATACCCGACGTCAGTGTATTTTGATGCGCTCTCTTGGTCTCCTCCTCAGAGATTTTCTGCTCAATTAGGAAATGTGCGAAGGTGACGGCGTGCGGTTGACCGGTGATGGTGACAATGCGATTTCTGGTGCCTGGGACAAACATGCCTTTCTTCGATATCTGAATTGTGGCGCCGGATGCACGTTGAATCTCTATCAAACTACGACCACCGGGTCCTGAAAGAGGGCACAAAACACAGCTTCTAAATACCACTGGTAAATCCTGATATCTTCTCTGGGGAACATAGTGAAGGTAATACATATCACCAAATCCACTTTTCACGGTGACACTCACTGCCGCGTGAGGCGCAGACAGAGAGTCGCATATAACGCAAAAAATGATGGGAGGTGAGCAAAAAGATGGATCAAGAAGTAACAGAAAAGGTGGAAGAAAAGCTCTTTAGATGTGGTTTTGGTGACACAGTGGAAAAGGATGTTATTCTTATGAGAAATAATGTCATGTGAAATATTCATTCGATGATATTCAGTCCCCCAAAATCTTCACTCTCACTCGCTCTCACTCTTTTATCCATCGACCCATTCGCAAAATCTAATAAAGTGTGAAGAACGATGATGATGATGATGATGATGAGTATGCGGCATGACTCTTTCTCTCTCTCTCTCTCTTTCCTTCTACAACAGCAAATCCTAATATTTCTCATCTGTTTTACTTTAAAATAAACAGAGAAAAAGAAAAACGATTGAATGAGTGAGGTAAGACGTTAGATCAAAGTGTGAGTAATTCCACAAATGATGCAGCGTGTGTCAAGCAGTTATTGCAATTTACTCGTAAATGCCCTAATCATTAGCAAACACTGCAGTCATTTGATGAATTATTCACCTTTCGATTAAAATGATAAAAGGTCAAACACACCATTTCTCCAGTATGCACACATACACAAAAGTTTGAAGAAGTTTTTAGAAGAGGTGTTGTGAGAAAACAACAACAAAAAACACCAATCATCACGTACGGTAAGTATTCTCAAGAAAGGAGAGCAAAATAGGTGGTATGTTTGTTTTGTCTAATAAAAGCAGCAACGTAAAATGTAATCGCGATATTATGGTGAATAAATTAAAATTATCCTCATATTTGTCCATTTACAAAAGTACTTTTAGAGATGAAATGATTTTTTCTGAGCTAATATGCCATTTATGGAATAATATGCAAAAAGTTTTCTCTTCCATTCTTCTTGGCAAATTTACCACAGTCCAGCTATTCAATATGAAAGCGTTCCGAAAACCAAAAAAAGATGAGAAATGCATCATGTAAGAATCAAGCTTGTTTGATGAATAGAGATATTATCAAGATAAGTCTATTTTTTCCCTGTATTGTGATAAATTAATTAATACCAATGATTGTTTCTTCTCACTCAAGAATGTTTTCATACAATTTATCCTTTCCGCCATAGGGAAAAAATTAATTGAGGAAAGTGACCGACCAAAGTTATCCCAATGAGAAGTTTTCGCACAACTTTGACTTCTCACTGGTCATTCTCAGAGAGTTTGATTGGAAAACATTGGACGGGAGGTCGTTTGGGTGAGAAGAGACTTACAAGAGTTTCAATTAATAAACAATGAGTGTTAAATTTTTAAGTACAATTCTCCACACGTAATTTGAAATTACTTAAAAGTTAGTTCTCCTACTAAAAGGAGAAATGATTCGAACCCTTAATTAAAATTGTTCCATTTCGATTAAGAATCCGAACGTTGCGCAATTCAAAAAAAAGCTTCGATTCTTACACAATAATACAAATATTGTAAAACTTCTGAGATGGAAGCACTTCATGTCATGAATAGCGGAGTTAAAATGAGATAACTGATGAACCAATTGAGCATTTGAAGAAAAAACATTGTTTTGAAAAAATAAAAGTTCAAACAAAAAAAAATATAAACCAAAGTAAGAATTCTGAGCTGATTCGAGAATCAATTTGATTTGAAATTTGGCCTTATTTACCTAATATCGCGCCTACAATTACTTCTGGAATTTCTACATTTTTGGAGTCCTTGGCACCCAGGTCGCCTGGTGTGGGGCTCTTGCTGAGTGATCCCAGCGTTTGCGCCGCAGCTGCCCCGAGTGTTTGAGCCGTTGCACCACCAGTCGCCAAACCGAAACTATTATTATTTAATGAAATTGGTGTTGCTGCTTGGGAACCCGCATGCCGAAAAGGATCGAAAGCAGCATCATACCGTTCAAGGGATGTCCTCGGTGTGGGCGACGTCGTTCCAATGTATGAGTCCAGGTTCACCTGGCCAATCGCCCCGAACACACCACCACTCGTCGCGGCCGCCGCCGACTGATCGATCGCCGACACGCCGAGATAGCTGAGTGCCGGCGTCGTGGCCGGGTGAGCTCCGTTCGCGTGCGTGAGCCCCACCCCGACCCCCAAAACTCCGTACTTGGCCAGCACACCCAGTGCGGCGCACACTTCCGTCGTGGCGGAATCCGAGTACCCGGAACTCCGCATGGCAACCTGGAAAATGACAGAGAATCGAATGCCTTTAGCCAAAACCATTCCGATTTAGCGCATCAAATATCGATTTTACCTTTATGTGATCGAGAAGTTGGGTGGTAACTGATGGGTTTGGACCTGGATTCGGGGCATTCAAGTTCAATGACAAATTGATGCCAGTGCCATTGACCAGTAAGCCAGCTCCAGTCACAGCCGTTCCCAGCGCCGAATTCAGCGACGCCGTACTTGAACTTATCGCATTTGTCTGCGACGAGGCATATGGCGAGCCTGTGGGATTATAATTGGCCACAGGACCACTCACGTCGGCATAGGAGACATTGAGACATGTGCCCGACTGTGGATCCTCAATTATTTTCGACAGAATCATCTTGCATGCCAACTTATTGTTCTCCTTCTCGCCGATTATTGTGATGCAACGCTCTTGTAGTGTCACATCCTTCGGCTTCTGTGATATTTGTACGTAAGAGCCACTCTCCTCCTTGATTTGTTTTATGAAAGCACCAGCCTTGCCGATTATCATGCCGGCTGTTGAATTCGGCACGAGAATCTTCACTTGCTTATCACGCTCTTGCTTCGTATCGCCGGACTTTTCTGCCGACAGGTCAGGTTTTTCACGAATTTTATCCATTATGAAGTCCAACACAGTCATTATTGCCTCACTGGAGCCTGTGATCAGACAAATCCTCTCGGATGTTCCTGGTGATAGGAAAATACCGCCATTAGTATCGCATGTAAACGCGAAGAAAGTTAAATTATTTATTTATGTATCAAGCATATAATTCAGATCTTCCGACTTCGTGCTAAAAAGTTGCATCAAAAATTGGTTACCTTAATTTTAAAATCACGTTTTAGAAATTCGTTTCTGTAATTCGACAACTCTTTAAAATATATATGTCTAATGAATAGAATTTATAGGAATTCCTCGTACGAATTTTTAGGAATCCCGTGAGATTCTTAAAAAATCCTCATATGAGTTTATCTAATTTTAGTGAAAATCGGATAAGTGGCTTACAAAAAAAAGTCATGAAATTCATGCATCAAAATGTACTGCATTTTATCGCTCGCATTCTATGCAAGCTTTGTAGTGTAATTTATCACGCAATTCTACTTCGATTGAACAACTAATTTTACACAATAATTTGCTGAAAAGTGACGATATTGGCGCCAAGAAACCTATTCAAAAACAATTCTAGAGAGACTTTAAAGTAATACTTTTCATATTAAACTGTCCTCAATTTATACCAAATTAGTCGTGTATAAAAAGTTTTGCCACCATTTGAAAATGGCACAAAAACACTAAATTTGCAAGTTAAATGACAATTGCTTCAGCAGGATTATGCATCAAAATACAATTATCACGCCGGAAGAGGGAAACGGATGCGAAATAGATTATTTCGCAAAACTTTGTCTCCGCTCATTAAGCTGAAAATGGCAATTTTTGTACTTAGAGAAAGTAAAATGTGGAGTTTAATAACTATCAAATTCCCATGATTCCACTGGCATTAGATGGGATTTCTGAAATACCACATGTGGAATTCATTAGCATACAAATTCATTTAATATTCCTCACTAAATAGTGGATTTACTCAAGATCAATTAGCCCAGTCGCTGGGCTAATTGAGAAATCAGGCGCGAGCTTAAGCAGCATATGCTGCATGGCAAGGAAATTCTCTTGCCTGGAGACTCCGCTGTCAATGCTCACCTGGGTAGAAGTCGTGTGACTTGGACATTTTCACCCTGGCTCCAGTGTCCTTCTGCAGAGAGGCGATTGTCTCGCCTCCCTTGCCGATAATGGCCCCAGCCGCCACTGCTGGCACGAGAGTTTTGAAGTGGTATGTGGCATCTGCAATAGAAAATCCTCAGTCAATTGAACATCCGGCAGTCGGTGTGCAAAATTAATCGATCTACGGGGGTCGCATCTGGACTGAAACTCCCAGTGCAAAAATGACAAATTCATTCCTGACTTAGGAGGATAATTTATCTAAATTGAAAATCTCCATGTCACTCTCATCCTCCTCCGTCGTCAAAACACACCTGCCTCGAGGCAATCTCTCTCCAATTCCCACCCAAGAACCATGCTCTTCACGTGAGATTGCCCATGTGGGTCTCGGACAATTAAGCTCCCTTATTTTAATTACAGCCTCTCAGCGAATTATCCAATAATTAGCATTTTAATGCACGTACGAATAAATTTATGCAGATCTTTTACTCTCAGTATTAGCATAATTGAGAATTTTTCACCGATTTGTCAGACCCTCATTGAATATTTCGTTTCACAATTCCTCAATTACTTCCCATCCACTTCGGAGAACTTTCGAAAATGAACTCCAATGACCACGTCATTGCTCAGCAATTCTTCGCACTCTGTCTGTTTTAAAATGTTGTTAAATATTCATAATGAGCAGAAGACATTAATTAAATTTTTACCCAGTTACATTGATTTTCCTCCCACTCAGAATTTCTCGGGGACTCGCTGGAGAGTATGAAGACAATGGAATCCTTGATTTCCATTGGATACGATCCAAATGCTAATAGAATGCAAAATCACAATTCCATTTTCTGTCTCCAAAAGTTCACACATAATTTCCCAAGAATTTACTGGGTCAGAAAACTTGTCTTAAATGTTCCTCTTTTTTTTGTTATGAATTCATATTGCACGAGTACTTTTCATGAAAAAAATGCTCCAGAAGTCTAGAAAAATTTATCAAATAAAGTTGATTTGTCTGATTGTACGACAATTCACAATTTCGTTCCAACACGTAAACTCAACCTAATTCTAATCGAATTTTCTCAGTATAAAATTGATATTCAACTTCGAATTATGTTGCTAAAAGGAATCTTAATGAAATTTTCTCTGTATATTTTCTCGAAATGTTCACTCTTCAGGAGAATTTATTTAGAAAAAGTACTATTCATTGGCAGCAGATGGAGTTAAGTGCACTTAAACAGGTTGAAAAATTGTGTTCCAAAGCGAGGAAATCTGAAGTAGTGCATATTTTGTTCAAAAATATATTGCAAAGTTTGCAAAGTTTCGCCCCGTAAGCACACTCGTATTACCTTTTTCCATCACAAAAAGGACACTTAAGAAACTTCTGCATTTTGCTATGAAAATTCTATTCCAAAAACTGCAATTAAAATCAAATTTATAAGCGCGACTTGCTTTGCGCGCTCACTTTATGTTCTTGAACCGCACAATTGACAAAAAAAACAAGATTACTAATGATTGAAAGGCTAACAAAGTTCTTCTGACATTGTATCTATAAAAGACCGTCTGACAAGTGATCAATTAATGTCTCTATCTTTCACTCTTAATTTATAATCTCACCGACTTGCATTACACAATTCAGAGGCCATGCGATATGGAATTGAGTGCAAACCCAAAATTAATTTTATTGTCTTTCTCTCTTGAAACAATTGTAGACACAACAGATTTCACTTCATATGCTAATATTTTTTTTAACAGAAAAAAGACACCTGGAAATCGCGTAAAATTTGTTAGATGACAATCTGTCATTTAACCGGCTTGGACAAAGGCACTATCAATGACCCAATGTTTACTCTTGATCCAATTGTGCAATGGTGAAAAAGCCGGTGAGAGAAAAAACACTTCACCCACTTTTATTGTTACAAAATAGCATAATGTTATGAAGAATTGTCCATTTCAATGGAATGTTTTATAATGCAATCATTCATATAGAAATTGTAAATAATAATTATGCACGGTTTTCCATACACGCCAGTGTTGTGCTGTTTTCATTCAACGCGAATCACCCGGTTGGTAAATTTACGGATATGCCATGTATAATTTTCAAGGGGAAGTCCTCTTTATGCTCAAATTATTTTTTCAATAGAGCAAATGTAAAAAAATCATTGAATAATATGTCATTTATGATCAATTTTGTACTTTCATAAAAATCAATTTAAATATTAATGAATATTTCAATTACTCAAAATGAATTGCTCTTAGTATACTGTGTTGACATTGATGATGTGCAAAAGCATTTATTATTCCTGTTTCCAATCACCTCACCATTATGACTATTCCGCACAAGGGCAGTATGAATAGAATAGTGAATAATGTTGTTTTTGTCGATGAATTTCTTTGGTTTTTCCATCTGAAAATTTCGCAGAATTGCACTTGTACATAGTTCAGTACACAATATAATAGCAAAAACAGCATGTTTTCCATGCTAGCAGAAATTCACAATACAGTTTTGTAAGCCTGTCTTGTTTTCGGCATGTTTTTTCTTTCACATGCTCAACTACAGGAATTTTATTCATCATCTTTTTATTGAGTCACAGACTTATGAGAGATCGCGAAGTAGTCGACCTCGACCTTCTAAACTACTATTGCGCCTTTTTTTGGCCACCATTCTCACTCTTTTTGCCGCCTTCAACAAACCCAGAATACCCGCGAGATGATCAAAGATTAGCACCATTCGAGACAATAATGGTCAAGTTCAGCTGCTTGATGGGAATTCCGGAAGTTTTCACTGGGAAATTTGAAACACTTCATGGAATCTAATTTACAGTTGGATTTGCTGATGGGAAAAAAGGCGTTATGGAATTTTAATGAGACTCTCTTCTCTCGCCTTTTGCTAAAAAAACAAGTCCACGCAAAATTGTCTCAAATGAGATATGAAATAGATTGAAACTTTTACTTTTGTTTCAACAGTCTTGACATTTAATTTTCTCAGTCGCTTTTTGCTCGACATTTAGCCTGATGCAACTTTCTCAATTGACTTTTGATTTCATTGGGATCAGAATGAGCCAATTTTAACACTTTCGGATATTCCATGTTTAAATCTCACGCGAGATTTACGAGCACTAAACTCTATAAATTTTAATAGCAGTTGTAAATGGGGTTTCAAGAGTGATATCAGAGATGAACATTTTTTCCACATTCCTAAATCAATCACTCTAGACAACAATCAATTTTTATGTCAGCTGATTCAGATGGATGAACATTCTTTGATTCTGCAAATATATCAGCGGAAAGGGTTGTTTGATGAGAAGAATTTCCTAATTAATTCAAAGTTTCACAATGCAAGATCCTTCAGGATGTGAAAATTGTATTATGAAAGTGATTTCCGTCTTCGCATATTAAACCAAAAGAAACTGTCAAGATTGATGAGAGAGGTTGAAAACTCTCACAGTGAAATTCCTGAGGGAAGTACAGGAAATTTCTTCCCGGTTATTCATTAGTGCTCCCTTCATCTTGTCTTCATACTACAAAATTCCAATAATTCACATTCACCTTCAAGTAAAGCATTAAATTCTAATTTACTCGTGTCTCGACCATCTCTCACCATGGGAGTTATTGTTGCGAACATTGCGAATTTACATCGTGATGTAATTCCCCTTTTAGCCTCTGTTTTCAATGTGAAAACTCTCAAACATGATCTTCCTCGTGATTGGAGAGATGTAATGCACAGAGAACACGAGGAATACCTTCAGTAAACGAGTTCTTCTGCTTTTTTCTCTTCAAGGTGTCTCTCTCACACATTTACGTCTCTTTGGCTTTGCCGCGAAGAGCATCACAATTCTGACCGCACTTTGAGAACATCGCAGCACGAGGGGGAAAACACTGACAAGGAAACACTGATGGAGTTTTCTTCCGTCTTTCACCTTCTGTGGCACACATGCTTCTCTTTTTTTTCTAGGGCTCAACAGTGTCTCAATTCATACCCATTATTGCTCCTTATTTATCGTCCTCCCTTTTACACTTTCAAGGCAATTGAATGGGAGAGGAAAAAAATCCTACAACTGTGCCACTGAAGGCTGTTGTGTTTTCTTTCTATTGAATCAAATGACGCAGATTGTTCCGATGTGAAAAACAACCAATACACACAACAGGTTGTTACGCAACAACATTTTATACATTATGCTAATTTGCGCTTCATTTTCGCCCCTCTCGTATCTATTTCTCCTTTCGAAATGGAGATGGAACATCAAATTGATCACTCTATTGAGGAAATTGGGGAATCGCTATCTATGTCTGAGAGAAACTGCTGAGATATATTTATCATATCAATGTCAGAGAACCATGAGAAACATCGGAAATCTTTTTGAAGTTTACGAAAAGTAGGTAAGATACTTAAAATTAATAATACGAAATAAACTGTACCCCACTGTAATGCTTCACAAACTCAGCAAGAAATTCAATCTGTAATATTCGTGCCAGAACCGGATAAACAAACTTATATTTCCCAATACTTGCTCGTATACCTTAATTTGTTTAAGATTGCTTTTTGATATCAAAACTTTAGCCACTTCATTTGCAGAACTTCACGATATTAGGGAAATTACGCGTTTTATAGAAAATACAAGCGAATATATAACATTTCTTGCACGAAATCTTCAATCAAAGTATATATATAAAAATGTGAGATTTGCGAAAATTATATCCGTGAAAATCTATAAATAATAAAAGTAGGGGTATAAAATGTTGAAAAGTCGATCACACACAATTATATTTAACCACTATTTTATAAGTTTGCGGACTTTCTCATATCCCATCAAAGTCAGGTCAAAATTTTCATACAAGTGCAATTTTATTAAGCGCGAAATATGCTTTCAACACACGGTTTCTAAACTGTCGAAGTGAAGTGTAGGGAAAGATTATAAAAAGTCGATGAAGAAATGAAAGAAGTTTGAGGAGGAGACTTAAAGATCAAATTGCTCTCCCCATAACCGAAAATTGAAAAGCTATTTTTATGAGAGTGAAATTATAACAAGAAAAGTGCTGACGAATCCGTGAAGTGTTGATTGACGAATTTCCCACCACACAGAATCTCACCGTGAAAATTCATTGAGTCTTTTACGTAATTATATGTCACCAAGTGACAATGCAATAATTGGTGTTCTATGTATTGAAAATTAGAGAGGAAGCCAGCACGGAAAATTCATTTCACGAAAGTGAGCTCCAATGAAACAATAACCTAATTTACTTCATTTTTATTTTATTATTATTGGCCTGTGTATCATTTTCCTCGTTTCTCCCTTTCACCCTTGTCCTCCCAGGCCGCCCTCATCATGCGTTGTGGAGCACGAAAAAAAACCTCCTTGGAATATGGAACGAATTTTCCTTTCAATTTTATTCAATTATCGTACCCACCATGGGGGCCCTTCTGGTACTGTCGAAGCTACGATCCGCCCCCAAACCGCTCCCGCCACTCTTCCTCTCCTCTATTCACTCTTCCCCGTCATATCACTTTCATACTTTATGATTGATAGACCGACACGCGGTGTTTGTGAGAAATAATAATATTGCTCAATTTACTAAAATTACACCACATTTTCGCAATGGTGTGAGGAAAACACTGCCTTGATAAGACACTATAGACAGAGTTGAGTGGCAAAGCCTTCTGTCAATTTCATCTTCACCGATTTTATCCGGAAGATTTGAGAAATGGGAAAAACAGACTTATATCCCTGATCCTTTAGTGATAAACACGACCGTAAATTCTTCTGGGAGGAGTGACTGAATTTTAATTGGACAAATATATCAGTCTGGATGTTAGTAAACTTTATTGACAGCTTCGGCTTCTGATATGAGGAGACTTTTTCCTCCAAATGATACCACAAATTTCGGTTTATTTCCAAATCACTGGCAAAAACTAGTGGTAAAGTCTGACAAGTTGTATGGTTACACATCCGAAAAGTTGGTCTGCATCGTAATGTTACTGTCAATTCCAGTTTTCAATTGAACTTTTACCCCAACACTCGTAAGTCCCGACAGACATAAACTTTTCACTTGTTGGAGTGTATCTTTAAAAATGTATTGCTTCCATACAAAGTCCTCTGAAATTGATAAATTTTCCCTTTTGTGTAGCGAAATAAGCCATCAGTCAATTTTAGTGCAATCATCCTCCTGATCAGCGACCTATTTTCCCCGTTGGACAGGGAAAAGCGGAAAGGCTGCGTAAAAGCCACCTACAGTACACACATTTCCATAAACCTGCCCATGGAGCCTAAATATTTTATTGACATGAATACGCAGCAGGATATTTAGTCAATATTTCACCCACTCTCGGATCGAAAGGATATGTTTATTATCCCACTTTCTCAAAACCATTTAGAATCACGCGACTGCGATAAATGGTGCAAAAGTCTCCGCATTTTCGACCACCCAACATAAATTATTTTAATTTTATATTTAGCACCAAATTTTGCGGCATATGCAGTTATATTAAATAATGTCACACGCAATTGACTGTGAACTTCTTGCACAAATAATTAATCTCTGTGAAATTTTGGCAAACAACTTTGTCGCCCAGACAATGAATCTCTTGTGACAACACTCTGTTTCATAGAAAATATTAGAATACCAGTGTCTAATGTTGCTGCAATAAAACAGACGTGCCTTTCATCGGTGTGATTTACAATTTTGCGCAGATGGAAAAGTCATTTCTCGTGCATTGCAGATATTAATGCATTTTTCATGCTGTGTATCTAAATCTTGAGAGTTCTCTTGAAAGGCAAGAATCTCAAAATCCTTCCTTTGCATAAAAGCACTAGAAAGGGGAGCTTTTAAATAATTCTGCTAGAGACAAATTAATCTTTTAATGCTTCAGTACAAATAGACGAAATACAGTTCAAAAACAAGTCCTAATCTCTGGCTATGTTTGTTGTGCAGAACAGAGGAGCATTAATATTGATTTTAGTAGGAGAAAATGAACCAATAGGACACTTTTATTAGGGCAATAAATAAAATTAGACATACCACAAGTATTCATGTCGGGTTTATCTGAAAAGAGAGGAAAGGTAGCGTTTAGTAACCATGTACATATGTGCTCCATAAACAGTATATATGATGAATTGTAAAAGGACATTTTGCTGCAATTGATGTTGAGATGGATGGATTTGAGGTGTGATGACGGAAAATGCCACATTTATTGGACATTTGGGCCAATTTGTCCGGACGACCAAGCAGTGTGGTCAAAAATGAGTGAGAGAAGTGGAAAAAATTGGAGCAAAAATCGAATTCGTGTTATTTAAGTGTGCCATTGACTGAGTTGCGCGACTTTAGCTGTATTTCTCAATATGTGTATTCAATATAGCGCCGAAGACGTCGAACCATATCTCTTGCACTCCCAAAAACTCTTTGCCTCTGCTTAAATACACGTTGACCAAGTGGAAGAGAGTGAGTATTACGGTCTATAAATAAAAGAATTACACCCAAAAATCATTCATCATCATCGTCATCACACCGTCGTTATGTTGTATATAGAGAGAGACACGGGAAAACAAACACCGAAAAGCTTCTGCGAAAACTACAAGCTCACCGAAGCCCTTCTTGGAGCACTTTTCAGAATTATATCAGGATGAACTGGCATGCTGGGGATGAAAATAGGGGTGGAGTCAAGAATATGGCACACACGAAACAGAGACACAAAAGTAGAGATTTACATTAATTATCTTTGCAAATGCTTTCACCATGCAAAAGCTCCTTGACACATACGCTTATTCAGAGCTCCTGATAAAGGCCATTTGCATACCACTTGTACAAGAGTGAAGAGTTACTGGTAATCACTTTTATATGTACTTTCCATATGGATACACTCTCATGCAGTTTAATCACACCATTACGAAATTGATTTTCTGACTTGAATCTCTTGTATTCAGTCGGATTATAGTTCAATTTCAACTTTTTGCCTCAGTTTTTGCATGCTGTCAGAGGATTTATCATCTTATTCACTTGCATGCTCGATTGTGATTGGAAACTTTGTATGTATAGCGATTCTTTGAAACCCTCAAAATCATTTCCAATAGCTAACAGTACAATATTAATAACAAAAGTTCCATAATTTATCAAATGAAAATTTAATCATGCAATGTGAATGCGGTTATATTGAATTTAAGGTGTGATTCGCTTTCACGTCAAATAAATTCATTAATTTCAAAGAGCGCAAAGAGCCAACTTCCCAAATTAAAATCGTGTGCAGGAATATGAAGGCGTTATGTGACTCCTGCATGTGTTACATAATGTCCTGCAGGATTATAAAATTTAAATTTCCATTTCCAGGTCATTTCAACACCTTTGCATTAGCAACAAGGTTAACCGGGAAAGAATTTGCAAGATCATGTATATAAAAGCACTGCAATAACAAAACACTCTTCTCAATTGTTACTCAAATCGGATGCAGAGAAATCCCTGAAGTACAATCATTTCAATTGGATCTTCATGACTAATCTCGAATGCAAGTCTGCAAAGCGTTGGGAGGAGAGAATGAGAGAATAAATGGCTCATCCAATAAAAGGTAATGTAAAGAGCAACCTCAGGCACTTCTCGACAATCACTTGCACCACAATTGGCCATCTCGCATGCAGCTGAAAACGTGGACGCTCCACTCCTGCTGACCTGCGTTCTCCCCATATTTCTCTTTCTAGGACGAGCTGGGCAAAATCGAATGCCGAAGACGCCCCAGTTTTGACCACGAAACACTGGCCGACAGAGCTAGAAAGTGTGTGACATTGGAAGAGCACACGAGGGAGGGAAAATGTGGGCAAAGTGCCAAGACGTTGAGAGAATAGCAGAACAAGAAGTAAAAACAGCCATGCCCTACAATTATTGCGACAGATATTGCATGAGACGCAAAATTTTCATTTCCTCTTTATCAAACACCCACGAGTTGTCTTTTCTGTGGATGTGCATAGCCAAGAGAATTGAATTTTTATTTTCACAACAATGGAAACGGAAATCCATATTAGATTGGTGTATTAAATTAATATTTGACATCATTGTAGGTAATTAAAAGATTATTTGTCGTGACTTTAACCAATTTTCCTCGGATTGCAAGACTTGAGGAAGCGCCAGATGCCAAAATGTTTGTCACAAATTTATTCAGACAACTTAAGAAAATCCTAGTTGTAAATTATCTTTTTCTGACTGGGACAATTTCACTGGCATCCATTTCAGCAAAGCCCACCAGAATCCACCCTCATTATTATCAATTTACAGACAATTTTCCCAGGCAAACTTTTACACAACTAGGTCAACTGATACAAACTGTGAAAAAGATACATCATACACTAATTGCATACTTGAGTACTTTATTAAAAATGCTCATCAGACTATCACAGAGCATTCAAAACTTCCGAAACAGCTTTCACGATATGTTTGCACATAATAGGCTATTAGGAATTTGATTGGCTGGAGAAACCTAAACTCTATGGTTTCAGATGCAATGCATATGTTCCCAAAGTTATGCTGATTAGAGCGCTTAAGCTTCAAGAACATGGTAATAATAATAACCCAAAACTATGGGTGTATCTATGCATTATAGAGGTATTGATTTTCCACCCAATTTCAACGTTTCCCAAGAGACCTAAAAACACCTCGAGTAAATAGAAAAAAAATTATCTGCAAAGGTTCAGAAATATTAGCGAGATAGAAGCATCTTAATTGATGCACGAGCACTCCATCTACTCCTCCGAAGGTTCTGCGCATCTTCAAATTAATTATCATACAGAGGCACAATGAGTAGTTTGTAAGCACGGTAAGCACACCGTGTTTGTTTCGCAATTAAATATTAATTTTACATTTATTTATTCATCTCTTTATCATGTGTCGCCCCTCTCTTGCGCTGTCCACCTGCCCGCTCCGCCGTGCAATATTATTAAGATTTTGGTGCCATGGTCATCGACAAACTTGCAAGTCGCAATAGTTGAGATCAAGAAGAGTGTTGAAAAAAGCCAACCAAAAGAAATCTACAAGATCTTTTTCTGAAACACATGCGTTTAGATGATCGAAACAAGCATGACTACATTACTCCTTCCCGAGAAATAAGCTCAATATCAACATTCTTTGCGTCTTTGCGACGCAATTTTACAGTCATCGTGCCAATGATCAGGAATCTTGGTCAAAGAAGCAAATAAATGCAATATTTTGGGACTAATATTAAAATATTGGTTTGTTTTGACATTCTAATCTGACACAGTTAGAAATCCAAGTGAAAATTCTAAGTCACAGAAACTCGTTTAAGCGAGAAATAAAATACATTATGAAAATACATACATAAAGGCATAAATCACGGGAATTTTTCGCATTGAAAAACACCTTAAAAGGGCATAATTTTCCAGCACATCAATCACTTTGTGCCTAATATAATTCACATTGAAAGAGGAATTTCAGAAATCTCAATACATAATGAAAGTCAAGTAAATGACATTGTGGTTATTTGTAATATACACAGAGTGGAAGAATGAAAAGGGGAGTTGCTTCTAAGCACAGCTCAAAAGCCGACTATTCAATTCTAAAACCGATATTTTACCTTTTCAATTGGTTAACAAAGATATGGAAAAAAATATATGGATTATCTTTGGTGGAAATTGTTGATGGAAACTTGAATATGATTTGAGAACAATTTGAATGTTATTTGGGTTGGAAATTCAATTATCACGGAATTAGGCCACGTATCGATTTATGTAAAAACTCCAAATTCACATTAGCACGTTATGGACACAAGCCAAAGGAATGTTGACTAAAATATTGGTAGTTATCTTGTCCCACAACGAATAGACTGGCCAAGGAAAGTGGATTATTCTCCAAGGATTAGGTATATCTTATTACGTAATAAGCCTCCTTTATAAGCTAGCAATAATCTATTGAATTTAATCCTTATTGAACAGGGAGAGTTTGAATGGCAAAGAAATGCGACGTGGGAGGAGAAAATGTTCATTAAATTCAAATAGAACTACGCAAATTGGTTGACATATTTTGTGCTATGCGTTACTGAGGAATGCTCTCATGTGTGAACAGCTGATGATTGCGATTACCTCAATCCAAGACGATATTTTTCCATATTGCTCGAGTGATTGAGGAGTTTTGGCCAGGAAAATGGGGCGTGCGATATTAGATTTTACAAGAGATTTATCAGAGGAAATTGAGAGCGTATTTTGAGAAAATCCCGAGATATAACACAGTTGTAGATTGAAGAGCTGAGAATATTCGCTTCATTAATGAATAACCATCGCAATAATCACACTTCATAGTGTCACTGTTATTACGAAACTTCGAAAGCAATAAAAGCCGCAATGTCAAGCATTTCTCGATCTCGCTCACTCCTGCAGACTTGGCCCAATCTGCCCATGTGTGCTCGCAGTTGACCCAATTTGAGTAGTGTTTACACAGTAAATAAAGTGCATCGTGTGCGAAGTGTAATTCGCGCCCTAGAAATGCACTTCGCGCCCAAATATCCCGCCAAATTTTTCTGCCAACTGCAGTCTCTCCCACTTCATCAAATCTAGAGTTCCGGTCGTCATCACGTCAGAGAAGCGACAAATGCCACTTCTCCCTCGAGAGTCAAGAGGATGGTCTTTGGTGTGAAAGTGTTGGGAAAACTGGTGCAAACTGATGAAATTGTGCAATTGCAGAAAAGACCCTGGGACGCTTGCGCACAGATTACATACTGTCTTTTTGCGCATCATTTCTCAATTTTTCATTGATGACACTTTTGCGTGCACCGCAAATTTATTAATTTTTCATCACACCATTTCAATTGTATAATCATCATTATATCAATACATTTCCGAGCATATGTGATCTCTCAAAAACGCTCTCCAAAGAAGGTATTACACATTAATTGAGAAGAAGTTTTGTCTTATTTTTATGACATCGCACAGCATCCAAGTCGCACAGTCAGTTTCTCGTACGAGCTCTCACACATTACACTCAATACAGTGGCCATTTTACCGATTACATAAGGTACAATAATTTACAACTTATTTTATGTGTGATTTTTCCATCTTCAGGAGGTCATTCATGTACAAGGTGAGATACTGCGAAGATACATAAAACTCGCATTGGGATAAATGTTGATACTTTATGCGTAGATATACTCAAATGATTAGATTTTCTGAAAAAAAGAAATCTTTCGCAAGACTTACAAGTGAAATATTCGTCAAAGAAATACTCGAATTGATCGATATAAAAATGTGTTTTTTTCCATTTTACATTCAAAGCTTGCGAATTATCAACAATAATCATCTGGTGAAACTGGGTAGACTAAATACACTGTGACTAACTATTTGGCCAAGTGTTTTGCCAGCACAATTGTGAGTAAAGTGGACATAAATTGCAGAAAATAGTCCAGTTGAGGAGAAATTTCGACCCAAGCATTCGTCATTGTGGTGCCTGTGGCTCAGGTATAGGGCGCAAAACCAACACATAATGGAATTTGAGACGATAAATTGAATCCGGGACGGAATGTACGAAATTGCAAGAAATGAATTTCCCTCTTCATTTTGTGTGGATTCATATATGCTCTACTCCATTACCAAGTGCAACAAGTTCTTATGTAAAATTGCTTCATCTCGGATACGAATATTATTTCTATTTCATTGCACATTTGCACAAACTGCATCTTATATGGCGTTTCGCTCTCGCATGTCCACAGATGGAATTATGATCGCGATGTGAGCTTACTTGGCTAAGAGATTTCTCCTCCGCCAGTGTCAAATTGAGTGATTTCCCGAAAAACTCAACGTTTTCCCATCATCAGTGTTATTTTCACCATTGCGTTTTGCACTTTTATCGCTGATAATGCTCTTCAGCATTGGTCATGAAGAATATTCCATACTTTTTATTCCGTGAATTTTAAAAAAGCGACAAATACACTTCGTTTCTCTCTGTATTTTCCCTCGTTATCAGCTTATTCATTTGTCCTCTCTTGCCTTCAACGCCATAGTGATTGGAATAAACACCCAGTGGAATGATTATTACCAGCACATTTTTAATGGTTTCTCCTTATCAGCAAAAAATTCAACACGATTTCACATAATTTTTCAACTGATATTCACTCGAAGCTGCTGCTTTATTGTACTGAAACCGCGAGGACAATATTTCAGGTGATATTTTCTCCCGTGTCACCTTCCACCATGCATTTTTCCATGGTAAAATTCAAATAAATTATTTTTGTCATTTTTTCACCACTCTCTGTGCGACATTCAACGCAAATAACAGACAACTGACAGTGCAAAGTGAATCATATTTAATTAAAAATATAAATTCTCTTTTTAGAGGCACTTTCAATTCAATTGCGGTTATTTTAATTGCAATAATTAAAGCTCATGCGGCTTCTGCTCTGCTTGTTTGCATAAAATTGTCTGTGCACTGAGAGAAATTTTCACGTTGAATTGAATAGCACATTCTGTCACCAAAAATGTCTGTAAAACACGAGAAAAAAGAGCTTAAGATATACACTTTCCCCACTTCAACTCGTGGATTTGCCATTTCCATACTAAAATTCGGGTTGCATAAAATCTCGCTAAAATTTTCATTGAAAACGTATTAAGTTCTGAGGAAATGTCACAAAGAAAAAGTTTCTCTTCATCATCTATCGTCCAAAATTGTGCGCTGTTAAGTGAACGAATTTCCATTTCTCACATCCCCTTTTATTTCACATTTGTGAAAGAATGTATGCGATAAGTTCGCAGAACAATCAGATGTACCTGGAGCGAAGCTTTTCCAGACCAATGTTCTATTCAGCACGGTAAAATATCACTGGGACTAGTGGGTTTATAGCCATTGTCGTATCCAACATCTGGTGTTCAATTGTGCAGCATATGAAACATCCCTAAATCGATTCCATGAGGACTGCAGTAATGAATCTAGGGATTTTGAATGGATGGTCCAATGCAGACAAAAACCCCACATGAAATCTGCATTTTCCCACTCATATCGTCCGCATGACTACATTTTCCTCATCTTCTCTCACCTCCAATCGCATCAAATGTGTATTCCATCTGTGTGCCTCCGCAAAGAAACAACAAACAGTCTAACAGACAAATGAAAGAGAATTGCACAGGTGCAATGGTTTAAAAGGTGAGAGTGGTATGAAAAACACACACTCTTCGGTGTTATTCAATGTAAATTAAATTTGTACTGCATTGTTCCTCTTCACTCTCTCGCCATTTATTTTATTTATGTAATCTCACTCGTGCAAAAAAATGAAGAAGGAATAGAAAATCAACCTTGAGTGGTAATGAAACTATTTTTCTGTGTGAACCTCTTCTATGATGCATTGCTGTACTATTTTCTTTTCCTCTCTGTCTCACACGGTCTTTATTTTTCGCATGCTCTTGTTGTTTATGTCGCGGAATTTAGAAATGTGTAGAAAGAGTGAAAAAAAGTCAGAAGAAAAGTCCATTAACACATTACATAACTTGTTATATTTTAAACATATGAAGAATTGATTTTACCCATTTCTATTGCTTCTTTCCCGTTCGGCATATGGAGAAGAGCTTGTAAAATAGCGATAAACGCAGTGACAATATTTATACTCGACTCTGCATGGTTTTATGCAAAAGCATGAGTGTTCAGAAAACGAGATATTTCAATTTGGACAAATATTTGCAGCAATTTTGTACTTCAGAAGTTTGATGTGAAGTAAACTTTCTAATTTTTATCTTATTCTCTCGTCTATTTTTGGCAAATCTTGCAAATTTCAGTCTTCTTTACATCGAGGCATTTGATAAAAAAACAGCCGCATTAAATGATGAGAACTTATGGTTTTGGCATCATTACAAAAATTTCAAATGCATCTTTTGTCATCTATTTTCGAGCTCGGTCGCGAATCTTTTCATCAAAGGTGAACACAATGTTGCTCTAGAGTTAAAAACTCTCGTTAAAAATTGTTTTTCAGCTGAATAGAACAAAGTTTTTAGTTAAATCAGCACTCATGTGAACAAGGTCGCAAACAGTCTCTCTCTCCATTCGTAACGAAAGGTTTTTTTTGCATGCAGAAAGGATTATGTAAAAAGTTTGCAAGCAATTAATATAAATTCTTCGCGAGATATTCAATTATGTCTGCACTGCTATTTCATCAATGAAATTCCAATAATTTCATAATTCTCAGATCTCTTAATATTCCATAACATTTGCATATTAAATACTCTGTCGTGCAATATTTATCTGTTCGCCAATAAATTGATTTTAATCTCCAAGTTTAGCGTTGGCCTTTTGAGGGAAACTCTTCTCATAAAATTTCGTATCTCCATTTATCTGCCTCATAAGTACAAGGACGCCTAATTTCAGTCTCCACACTTTATCTTCGCAACACCTTTGTTTGTTGTTTTCTAATTACAATCTTGCTCTGGCTTTGTGTTATTCTTCCATGTCAACTTCCAGCAATAATTCATCTTCTGTTCGCACACCAGCTGAAGCTTAAGCCTGTGAGTTTAAATCACTGCTTTTCACTCCCATCCAGAAAATCATTTTCTGATACTCTCTCTCTCTCTCTATGTTGTCTTTTTCTCTGCCATCCCATCAGAACACCCCTTCTTCTTCTTCTCAACATAGACGAGCGTACACTTGGCACACATTTTCAATTTCACATCGAGTTGTGACGTCAATGAATTTTCCTCACTCACCCAAGTGTCTTCGTCATCATTCCGATGGGCCGAATAACACTAAATTAAATTATATTGCAGAATGAAGGTGAAATGAAATCTTCAAGAGGGAATGTAGGAATTCCTGAGGAGCGAAAGGAGCCAAATTGATGGTTTTTATTACACAAAGGAAGAATACAAGTGTGGAAAAGAAGAGAAGGAAAAAATATTACTCTTACAGAAAGAGATTTTTCACCATATTTCCACCCCCTCATTTCCAATTACACTCAAAAGGATATATACCTTTACCTCACCGGCCATTTTGCACGATCCTCACGTAGCGAATGTATGGGGAAAATGCAGGGAAATATTCCAAACAACAATTGTAGTTTAGTGATAAATTTCATCTAAAACTCCCACGTTCGCATTTCAAATGCACAATTCCTACAACCACCCAAAAGCCTTATAATTCGTCCATGAAACAATTAAATCCACCCTTTGCGAATACCATTTCCACTGCACACTGTAGAATATTTCGCACTCAAGTCTGACTGAAGCACACTGCAAAAGACCAAAACAATAATCGTGGATTGATGCGGGAGCTTAAGCCACAATATCCACAATAGAATTAAGCTTTAGCATGCGATAAGCCCCCTTCACTCCACTGACCTCCACTTTCCCACAAGAAGACTCACGTTTTTTCCCCAATTTGCGATAAGCCGAAGCCTCACAGTAACTACTTTGCAACTAATGATTATTTTTCCTCCACACTCTAGAAGTGCAGGACTAGTTCATCCAGTTATTGGAGGAAAACTTTATTATATACATTCTGCAGTGCTATTTCCCCGAATAAATTGAATTTTGAGCCGCAAAAGGGGGAAAACAGGGGGTGAAAAATACAATTTCCGTGTGACATGTTGTCGATTGACTGAGAGATGGTTTTGGATACAAGAATACAGAGGGATTTAGGATGTCTCCTGGTTGGGAGATAAGAGAAATATATTTCAGGCTGAAAATAAGCGTAAAACAGTTATCATTTGGCCAAAGTCTAATTTGAAGCAAATGTGAAGTTAGTAAATACAGCCATTATTAATGACTTCATTTAATCTGAATGAAACACAAATTTCTCTGCATCTTAGAAAATTCTCTGTAAGACAAATATATTGTAGAAAAATCATATTGAATATTGCTTAAAGTGATTATTTGAGAAATAATAAGGTCGTTTCAGATTTCCACCCTCTTTTTACATACAAATCTTCCATCAAGCTCTAATAAAGAGTATCTAGGTTTGCTTAAAGTCCTTTTCCTACAGCAGATTCACTTTTATTCACATAAGTTATGTATATTCACAGTATCAAAGAGACAGGATAAATCGTTTTATATCCCGCCTGTAAAAAAGCTCTCAGGAATATTGTGCATATATTTTGCAGTTGAGCTTTTAATAGGATTTTATGATGAGGAAAAAAATATTTTCCGGTGTAAGCATTAAGTGATGCTGAAGCTTGGAATGAAGGAGAGAGAGACAGAAGATTGCAAATCTCTCCGACAGTCTCTAAAAACCATACTTCCTCACTTCCTCGCGACTCATCTCATAGTTATCAATATGGAGGTGACAGGATAAGGAGAATTTCTGGGTTGGAAAGTTTGCTCTGCGTAATTGCCTTTCCTTTTGACGATGCTAAAAAAAGAGTGGCAAGACTTAATATTCCCTTCTCCAAATAGACACTGCCCACCCAATAAACTTTTACGACAGAAACTCCCCATTTACTGAGGATAGGAATTATCACGTTGAGTTTGCCAATGTAAATGGGCAAAATTTTCCCTTTTCCCGCCACTTTCAGTTGAGAAACATCTGCAGTTGAGCCAACAATGTGACATTGATTTTCCGACTGTGGTTGCTTTTTGTATATCTTGTGGGAATGCTTCTTAATTAAATTGCCTCCATCCATCTCACTCGCTCTCAGTGCGGAGCAACAAAAGTGGGGAGGGGGGGGGAGCAATATAAAAAGTGGTATAATGCAATTGCCGGATGCATTGAGTAATTCGCGCACGAGTTGCAGATACTGATCAGATTATCTTGGTTTGAAAGATCACCGATCACGAAGACGCGGTCAGTGGAAGTGTGATCGCGAGAGTTCGCGTTTTCATATACAGATTGGATGGCTGGAAAGGGAGCTGATAAGAGTGTGTGATTGTTGCGAGATGATGCGATGCCATGCATTTGCTGATGATCACTCACCAAAAGTGGGCATTTTTTGCTGATACTGATGCTGCAAATTGAGCTGTTTTTCCGTCTGCTGATTGAATTGCTGCTGTACAGCAGCAAAGGACGATGGTGATCCATTTTGGCACGATGTCGCTTGCTCTTGCAGTGCCGTGGACAAATCATCAAAGTAGAAGATATCGGTGATACTTGAAGAGCTCGTGGAGGTTGCTTTTTGAGAGAGCAGTTGAATTTGTGGTTGGCTATTTAACATTTGAATTTAGTTTCTTTTTCTTTAATGCTTCTTCTATCTATAGCCTTCTGGTGGCTTCTTAAAGCTCTCTCTTGCCGTGACTACTTCTTTTTTTTCAATATACGAATACTCAAAAATCACAACATAAAAAGCACACACACACTAATTGCGATATTAAATCTCTGCGTCGTGATGCCTTTTTGGCAATAGATGGAAAGATATTTTAGGACTTTTTTGTTTGTTTAAAATCACTGTGTTAAGTCGGTTCTTTTAGCTTGATGATAACTTTCGGTATTTCTCTTATGCTGGTGATGTGATTTGGCAATTTATGTCTCTGTGGAGATTTTTCCAGTTTATTGGCTTTTTTCGTGACTGTGTCTCAACTTGAAGGGAGAAAAAATTCATTAGCTAATTTCTCTGTGCACTTTAGCTGTGACTCCCCAATTGTCACGTTGACCATCATTTTTTTGGTCTCTTAAGAGGCAATGCAATCGATTGCAAATTTTTGTTAATAACGAGAAAAATAAACAATGTCATAGAGAGAAATATACAGTTGGAGAACAATGCATGAGTGACTGTCTTTTCCTTCGATGAGCCGATTATGATGATGATAGCGGAATGAAGAGGATGAAGCTGAGAAGAGTGTTGGCTTAATGTAAACTGAAATGAGCCTCTTCTGGTTGAGCAGCAATTTTCATACATTATCTCCATCATGATTTCTATATCGTCTTTCTTTCACCAATACATAATTTTCTTTACTGCTTTCGGCTCTCCCTCTCACATCTCCTATCCTTCCTCTTGTGTTCTGTGCTCGCTTTTATGGGGAAGCATTTGATGTGATTTGCATCTGAGGATCTCTAAGCAATTTGATGACTCTCTGTGCCTTGTATCCATCCGAGCCGGGAAAGCATGAGAGGCATTTTCCATTCACGTCCCACTCACTCTCCACCATCCCTGGGATGGGTGTGATGCCATGTAAGTCGATGTTGTTCAAAGCTTACCATTCTTGTGCACTAAACACCACTATAGCTAGACATTTGCCTGAAATTTTATTAAGTCCCAATTTGACCCACATCTGCCCCAATGTTTCCATTCACAATCTCATCCCCAAAGCATTTCCCTCCTCAATCACACGCTCATCCCATCCAAACTGACCACATGCACATCCATTTCACTGAAATTTACTCCCATTCCCCGAGGCCATTCAGCGTCCGAGGATAAAAAGTGATTTTTCAGGATGGCAAGAAAAAACACTTAATGATTGACCGAATTGTCAGCGTCAATGATGTTACTTAACAGTCATATTCAAATACACGCCATTCTCGGCTCTACCTTTCGTTGCCGGAGAGCCCTATAAAAGTGGAGCTTATTGTATTTTTGGGCCCTCCCAATGGGTTTTTTTTCTTGCTCCCCAAAGGACACACACATAAGACGTTTTATGGCAGCATAAGGCGAAATTTCGTGCGTCTATACTTAAGATATGAGTCTGTTACTGAATTTTATGTCACACATACCGAATGCGTAAAAATGGCAAGAATCTTAATGAAATTTCAAGGTAATACTGACTTAGCTATAAAGTGTTTTGTGCAACAATGATGGCTCAATCAAAAAGCTTCACAGCCCCAGACAATTAACTTACTCGTTAGGGCTGTTTAAAATTTAATTTTGACTTTTAAAACAACATTCGGCAGCTCGTTTGACAGAAAATGCTGAATTTATGCCATATTTGCCAATCTAACACACATTAGTGGTTAAACATTTTCGAAACAGAGCCTCTCTCAAGCTTTTGGCCAAAATAAATGGCAGACATTTGACCTTAAGAAAAATTGGGCTTACGGGAATGTCTCAGGGTTATTTGCATGCATGAAATGTGAATGTTCCGTCAAAATTATAAGAACATCTTAAATATTAATGTGCGCTTGTACTTGAGAGCGGTTACGCCTTATGGATGCAAGAGAATTTTCCTCCAGGGAGGAAAATATGTTGCCACAAATCATGAAAGTTGAAACTTCGCCCACAAATGTTATCATTTTAATGGATTCCCTCTACAGCTCATATTCACGGGACACGTTACTGGAGAACCCAGGCATTTAACTCAGTTCGACGGTAAAATGATTCTCTTTGAGTATAATTAGTCATATACACCATCATGTTGAGAGATGTTTTAAAAGCAGAAAGATGTTGGAGTTGATGAGGAGGAAAAGTGCTCAAATGTTGCGTTATTGGTAAGTTGAATTTTGAAATGCGCCTCAATTTCACTTTCCAGAGTCTCTCTTCGGCCTTTCAAGTCACTTTCCTTGAAAAGTCTTACTTGCGAATTTTGAAATCGCCCAACTTTTGGAGAAGGCACAATTCACGGAAAAAAATCAATAAATATTTAGTGAATCTCACAGAATACACACAGACACAAAAAACACTGGAAATTTTCTTCTGAGAGCCTCTTTTACCCAATGCGACTGTCCTTGTACCTACACAAAACTCCTATGCTGATGAAAACACCGGAGAGAAATAATTGAGGTTTTAAATTAGTATAAAGCACCACGAGGCACGAACATAGAGCACACGTTTCGCCATAAAATAAGCTCACTCTCTGGGTAACGAGGAAGAAAAGAGGAAAAAGCCCTCTAAGAAATTTTTGTGTCACCACCTGTTCGATTTTTCATTTTTTATTCACCTTGTATTTTCCTACTTTCACCCCCAAAATATTGATTTCAAGCAGAGCAACCAAGAGGGTTCACACCGTCACCACATAAGGACATTGTAAGAGTCTCAAGTATGGGAAAAAACACGGCTATTGGACTATGAATAAAGTATAGAGAATTACAAAGTAATGCCTAGCACATGGAGCACACCTCACAACATGCACTGAAGCATTAATTACAATGTGGTTTGCTGATAAAGAGTGCCATAAAAAGTAAATTCAACTAATTTCCTCTATTTACACGTGATAAACTTATCACAAAGCTTAAATTGATTGCATTTCCGATTGAGTGACGAGTTTTGGAACTGATTATTTTTATGAAATTAAAAACTTTCCTATGTTTTCGACATGTCGCACCACATTTAGAATGATCATGAACTTGTGATAAATTAAAACTCCTCTGAAAATAATTCAATTGACGTAATGTTGAAGAAAACTTCAGAAAATATGTACGTTTAATGCTTCAAATGTGATTTGACACGTTTTATTTTTCTATTATTCAATGTAGTTTGAACGTCACGTTTTAATTATGCTTTTATCACAATAAGTAGCAGTCTTTTCCAGGAACCCTAACAGGCCACCTATTTGACTTTCTGAAAAATACACCTTTGATCTACTTTCCGTGAATGTTGCAACTCCCACAAACCATACAATACAACACTGCAGAGAGCTACAAGTTTCAATTGAAGTTGGAAATGTGATATTACGTCGGTTTTTGCAATAAAGATTCACCAATAAACTCAATAACCTAATAAACTTGAATGTATACTCTCTCAGAGTGAGGTATCATGAAACGCAATTTTATTATCATTCTACGTTTACATTGCCTCTCGCCTCCTCGACAGGACACCCTGACAGGAGAGGTTTGTCTTAAAGTCTGAATCAACAGCACGTTTTAAAGACTGCACACACGACACAGAGATTTTCTCCAGAATAAATTGGATTTAAAGGGACATTTTATGGAGTTTACACACACAAATTTCACTATCACTTCATGTTAAGGCGAAACCATAAGAAGTCCCCGTAAAGCTCTTGGAAAGAAATTGTTATGTTGTACTATAAAAGAGGTGAATAGAGACGTTGGGGAGAGGGAAGAACGTGTGTGACACAGATATTTGTCATTGACACAAGTGTTATTTGATGTTGGGCTCTCCCTCGCAACCCCCTCACTTTCCGAAACACTCCGATATAATTATCAATCGAAAAGGAAATTAAGAAGAAACCACAATCGTGATCACACGACAAAAAAACAAACTGGTGACACAAACTTTTGTCTTTGCTGCGTTACCACAAAACTCTCGAAGCTGCTCTATCCATGGAAATGCTGCTATTTCGGCAAAAGTTGAAAAACACTGTTTTTTAATCAACTATCACTGAAGGTTTGATAAGTGCTGTCGAAGCAGAAAAAACAGACAATTCACATAAATGGGTTTTTTCGAGGTGGAGAGCCAGAAAAAGCACACGTCTAACGAAGGCGAGATGGACTGAAGAACTTGAGCGATAGAGTGAGAGACAAGGTGTAAATGAAAAATCGATGTTGACACTCGCGTAAAGACAAATTTAATTTATTAGGCACACCAACAAGCCAAAAAGTCGTGTTACAATGAATTGTCGCGTAATTTCTGATGGTGCGCCTCACACACGATCAATCCCCACAATTTTTCTACCTATGCCGCCACCAGAGGCCACAATGGCCAAATCTGAATACAAATTAATGTGCTATGTCCCACCATGACTAAATGATGATGACCAAATGTCTCTCCACATTTTTTCCTCCACTCATGTCCACGTCTTCATCACTTTTGCCACTGCCACTCTGACCCACACACACACTTGAAATATTGAGGTGAAACACTGACTGATGACTTAAACGAAGGCAGTGAAATAATCTCTGGTCAGGGAGAAAAAGAGGCCCCGCATTGCATAATTGCAAAACGCCAAACAGTCGACAATGGCACAGAAGGCAAGAACTCTATTTTATCAAAGTGAATGGTTGGAATTGAGAAACACTCTAAGAATTGAAAATCGATGTGGTCTCAAGAAGGAAATGAAGGTATATTTCTTACTTTCATTTCTTTTCAACTTCGCATTCCTTTAAGAGATTGGAAACCTACAAAATGTTCTACAAAAGACGTCATTTTGTGAAGGAAATTTGAGTGAAGACAGCTTAAAAGGAAACATTTCTCCCCAATTGAGCGCATTAAAAGTTCGGAAAAACAAATTAGGCAATGGTGTATATATATGTATACAAGCAAAAGACCCAATTTCAACTGATACACGACTAATTACGAATTTTGAAGCAACCCAGAGAGAAATCAACAAATTAATATGCTCTCGTGTGCCTCTCCTGAGACACTGGGTGGCTGCAAAGCACCAAAAAAGCCCAAAAGAGTTGAGAAAAAGCCGTGTTATTACATAAAATCAATATTATGAAGGCATTTTACTGTTTCACTGCAGTACCAAAATAGATGTCTATAGGCATACGGCGTTTCTATAGCCACTGAAAGCCAACATAGGCCACAAGCAACACTGGAGATACGGTACAAAGAGTACATTTAGTGAGGGAAAGGCTCTTTCCTCTCAAGGAAACCCGCCGACAGTCACCGAATATTGCTTCCAAACAATATGATAAATATTTTTAGACTGTTATTTTTTCCTTATACACTCGCACGTTTTTTCTCCATCACTGAATTTTCCCGCCCACATTTTCACTAGATCTTCGTTCCGTGCTCAGTTTCTGGTTCCTCCACACTTTTATTTTTTGGCCTCAATATCGAATACCTGAGGTGTTTAATATCTAGATAGACTGACTTTTGTGGTAACAAATTGCTCTGTTGGTACTTTAAGGTGTATGTTATCGATTCCTTATGCCGCGCATATTGATTGAAGAGACCACACGTCAGGTGAAAAACACACTTTATCAGTTTATTAATTTTTCAATACCGTCACACTTCAGCACTCAATATTTGGGAGCATCGTACTGAGAAAATAAAAGGCCAACCGAAGAATATACAATAGAGTCACATTGTTATCATTTAATCCCCACCTTGACAATGCATTTTATTATGCTTAGAAACTTGATATATTTCAAGAATAATGTCTTCTGCAAGTTAAACACACTCTTATCGTCATATTTCATAATTATGGAATTTATCAATAAACTCGGCGGGCAGAGTTTGTTCGATACCTCATGTTTTATGTCACTTACTTTTTGATTTACAATTACAGGAAAAACCACAATCATTCAAAGAGTATTTACAGCGAAAAACACTTCCCCAACATTTTTCTCACAGCCACGCCAACCACAACTTGAGAAATGCCTTCAATACACTTGGGAGAAAATAGAAAACTGATAAGGGATTGTGTGTAGTTGGAAAATTGAGCGCATGAAACTCCTCAACGTGGCAAACCACGTACACACAATTGAACTCATGAATAAGACCCGGGTGTAGAAACGTGCCCCTTGAAATTCAAACTAGGAAAATATTGCCAGTGAAATTGAGAGAAAATTTATATTGATAGCGGGCGGGTGGGCGCGCGGGGATGAGGCGTTGAAAATGGAACAAAGACGAGCACTGGGAAATACACTATAGACAGACAGGCGAGCTCACGAAAAACTTGTGTGCTATAGAACTAATCACAAATTTCCACAGGCCTTCAATATTGAGTTATTCTCTGCCAGACCACACATTTCCTCTCCACCAGCAGCGTGATTTTGCAAGAAAATGTGAAAAATTGTGAAACTGTCACAAATACCATGAAAGTCATGTGAATATTTTTCAGCCAATGTCTCTTTTTACCCACTGGTGCCCTCACAGCGCCGAGGAAGCCGCGGAGAGGCAAAAAAAAATCATTGGGAAATTACATAATGTACCGCGCAATAATTATGAAGTTCAACTACTGTTAAAAATGATTATTAATGTGATTATTTTCAATTCTACACGTTTTTTACAATGCACACATTGGTGTCTCTGCGTGTGTGTGTGAGTGTTTTTTGTACTCTTCCAAGGCTGACCTACAAGCCATGTTTTTCGTGGTTCGTTTCTCTTTCAATTTCAACGCGCATATTGCGCTTTTTTAGGCAAAGTGTGTGGTGGTTTTAGCATTGAAAACTTTATTGCTCAATCTTCACATTTATTCTAATGCATTATGGAAGTGGTCTCTAATGAATCCCTCCAAACGTTGAAATTTGACTCTGAGAAAATTCAGTAAATATTTAGTTGGTCGTTGCCAAAAGTGATTATAATGTTGCTGAAGAATATATTCAACAGAGTTTTGCTCTCCTAATTGAATTTGTATAATGCAAGTCTACGCTTAAAAGTTTCTTCATTTCCTAGCTGAGCTTCTTTTCTTCAAATATATGCGGAAAATGCTCATAATTAAATTGTTACAAGTTTCTGAAATCCTTCTCAACTCTTTTAGTAGTTACTCTAGAGCGTTCTTTTTTATGTTCACATTTCATTTAAGAGAAAAGAAAAGCAAATATCCAAGGGCGCTGCTAGAACGAAAAGAAGCTCAGAGACAACAACTAACAATTAACAATCACATGATTTCAGACTTTTTATTTGCAAAGTTCTAATTGAATCAAAGTATTTCACTTATGATTCTTAAATTTTCATATTTCTCTTCATCGATTTTAGTGGAAGGAAAGCTCTTGTGGCCTAGTTCCTCACTCTCTCCCTACGCCCTTGCGCTAACCTAAATAGTTTGAAAGAAGGCCCAGATTAGTGAAAAGAGACTGAACAGCTCATTCCACAGTAATTCTGTGCTATTATTCTGTGGGAAACTCAAAGGGCTTATCACTGACGCGATAAGACCGAGGATAAAAATATCTACCCAATTATCAATAGAGTGACTTGGGGCAATTCCCCAGAAAAATAAATACACATTATGCTCATACGTGAGCTCCACTTGAGCACAGTAAATCATCGAGGCTCACGGTCGCACACAGAGACAGAAGGAGATCATGCCATATAGTGGAGTTGGCAGCGAAAAGTCCAGAGACTCTGGCTCGTGATGATGTAGAATTTAGAGGGAAATTGGATATACTTTATGACAGGGGACACTCTTCTAGGTCACGCCAGGAGCCACTGAATCCCCTGAGTCATGCGACTGTGGCTGAAAATGTCGTATTTGGTATTGAAATTACACCGAATAGTGGCTGTTACATAAGATCCGTGTTGGTCCCCACAATTCACTCTTTCATCCCAACACTCACCAAATCACACTCACACTCACTTGGCGCAACTGACCACCTCCACGCCGCCCATCCCCCGCGGCCAAAGGCGCGAGACGACTATAGCGAAACAAGTGAGATGGAGGAAATTAAAATGCCTCAACCACTTGCGGGTTTCTCAGCAATTGATACTAATTGGAAGCACTCGATTACACTTCATTCACTCTCGTCCAGAATAGGTCACACTTTTCACTGCATTGTGCCAGCAGAAAAACATATCATATATGAACGCTGATATGCTGACACTGTGTCAGGACGCACAGAGGTCCACAAGGACTCACACTAGCCAGTTCCTGGGAGCACTTTTCGCGCGGCCCGTTCTCCAATCTGCGCAACTGCATTTATACTGCACCCAGACTCACTCCTCCACCAGTGCATCTAAATATTGTTTCAGAGAAATTTGTACCTCGCATGTCATCCCTATATATGTGA